TGTCAACTAAAAAAAATCCAACAACTTACTTTTCGGTGTACAGGTGAAAATCTACTTCAGGGGGCCAGGGGCTGTTTTATATTAATTGCGGTCGAAGTGGGCGACGTCTTGACAGGAATCGTAGCGCGGTCGGTGGACACAACACTTACACAGCTGATTTTGACAATTCGATGTGCATGTTATGATAAAAACTCGAAATATCGCGATATTTTTAAACGCAAACACTCCGCACTGTCAAACGATCTCCATGACAGTCCCGACTGAGGCGCCACCGCGCATGTGCGCGCCGACGCACCTACGCGCCAGCTTTTTAATTTTAAAAGGGCCTCGCTAATCATTACCCGTAATTAACAATATTTGCATACGAAACGCGGATAATTAACGCAAATTGAACACTCTTTGCAAATATTACTCTCTACGAACGATTCGAATAGCAGCTGTGACTTCAACGCAAACTATGTTTCGCTAATCGCGTCGTACTTTTTTGTTTTTGAATTCGTCAAAGCTTACTAGATTTTAATAAATATAGTTCGACGCATCGATTAGTTGAGTTGCGGTGTTTTTGAGATTCGTGTGGGGTTTTAAAAACACATCACAGGAGTCTCTCGAGTTAAACCCGGAATCTCTGGAGTTTAGCCTACATTGATCCGGAGTCCGGAGCGGCGGCGGCACAGTTTACTATTTTTATGTGCAGAGGTCAGCTCCTGTTTAGGTGTTTTCAGGTTCATTATTAAACTAGGCTATTTTCGAAATAGGTCACGTTTCGGATTTATCTCTTTAATTCAGATAAAGGGTGGTCGATTTATTATAAGCTTTTTGTACATATTTTAAATGTTCTGTTAGCACAAGCGATTTATCAATGAAATATGTTTTTAGCCTGTTTGCACATACAGGGTGTCTCCGTTTTTTCGTTCTTAACTTTGGGAAATGATAGAGCGTGAAGAAATAATAGGAATCTTTCCTACAACATTTTTCCCTCGTTTTCGTGATACAGGGCGTTCAACTCTCGATAAAATATGTTATTTTCTTTGTTATCTACTAAACAAATAAATATTTTTTGTTGAAACTTGGTATACAGTAATCATAATAAAAGGTTAATATTTTGACGTGAATAACTTTTTCCGGCTATGGCCAGTGGCGTAGATATGGGATTTTGTTCTGTTTTGAACCACCAAAACTTCAACGCCAGTGGTGAAAAGTATTTTTTCAATACAAATATTAACAACTTATTTTAATTTTATGAAAAAACTGCTCTTGATAAAATTCGCTAGGAAGCTTCGTTCTTGAGATATTTAGTCTTTTTCTAATCAGGGTTTTCTTAAGCATTACAAAAATTTTACGATTAAGCAGGCATTGCTTGTTTCTAAGTTTGTAACAATAGTATTGACAGATGTCATGTCAAATCAGTTTGTTTGCTGTGCGGTCAGAGTTTGTCGAAGTATTAGTGTTAGTGATGCCTTTTAGATTTACTTACGAGTCAAGAATATGCAAATATTCATTTTGTTTATGGATTTTGTAACGGAAATTCCATCGCAGCTGCAACATAATACCGAAGACGATTTCCGAATGCAAGACATCCAGCGGTTTAGAAGAGTTCATCAACTTTTTTCGGAAAATGGTCTTGTGCTTAGGAGAGAACAAGGTAGACACAATAATGTAGTACGAAATAGAACTAGACGTGTTCTTCGATTATTCGAAGAAACAAGATCTATGAGTGTTCGCAGAGCTGCTCGTATTCTTAACATACCTCGAGCTACAATTTGGAAAACTTTGCGTAAAGATCGTCAAAGAGCTTACCATCTGCATCACGTTCAAGCTTTACATCCAGGAGACCACAAACGGCATTTAGAATTCTGCAATTTCATTATTAATTCCCTAAATAACAACGAACACTTCCTGCAGCAAATTCTGTGGACAGATGAGGCCCATTTTACCCGACGGAGAGTAAATAATTTTCATAATTTACATTTATGGGCTTATGAAAATCCGCGTGGTATAAGACCTAGAAACTTTCAAGCAGAATTCAGTGTAAATGTGTGAGTTGGAATTTATAAAAATAGTATATTTGGACCTTACATTTTACCAGACAGACTTGACGCGGTTACGTTTCTACAATTTTTGGAAACTAATCATAATGATATGTGGGAGGAAGTACCACTTAATGAGAGAAGAAATGCATGGATACAATTGGATGGCTGCCCTGCACATTACGGACGTCAGGTTCGTAATTGGTTAGATGTAATCTACGGGGAAAGGTGGACTGGTCGAGGTGGTCCAGTTGCTTGGCCAGCTCGATCACCCGACCTTAACCCTCTAGATTTTTTCCTTTGGTGCTTCTTAAAGGAAAAAGTATATGCAACTCTGGTGAACAATAGAGAACATTTTTATTATATCGTATTCGAAGAGCTTGTACTGAAATAAATAATGACATGTTAATTCGAACAAGACGGTCATTAAGAAATCGATGCTATCGTTGTATTGAAGAAAATGGTTCTCACTTTGAGCATCATTTAAATTAAATTGTTTATAAGCTGTTATTTTTATTTGTTTAATAAATTATTGATTAAGATTTTTTTAATTTCGCAAGATAACCCTGATTAGAAAAAGACTAAATATCTCAAGAACGAAGCTTCCTAGCGAATTTTATCAAGAGCAGTTTTTTCATAAAATTAAAATAAGTTGTTAATATTTGTATTGAAAAAATACTTTTCAACACTGGCGTTGAAGTTTAGGGGGTTCAAAACAGAACAAAATCCCATATCTACGCCACTGGCCATAGCCGGAAAAAGTTATTCACGTCAAAATATTAACCTTTTATTATGATTACTGTATACCAAGTTTCAACAAAAAATATTTATTTGTTTAGTAGATAATAAAGAAAATAACATATTTTTTTGAGAGTAAATTGTTATTATTATTATTATTATTATTATTATTATTATTATTATTATTATTATTATTATTATTATTATTACCTCCATTTCAATTAACCAACCTCCTCTTTCTATAAATTTTTTAACCTTTCAATGATTTTTCTTCGTTCTTGCGTAGTAATTTCGCAGCATATCTGCCTAATTTTATGATCTAAATCCTCTCTAATACGAAACTTTTTCTTTCAATAGTACTCCAGAAATGGGGATAATAATTAAATTACTTGTAATTTACTTTTCCATAAATGTGAAAATATTAAGAACAGCGTTCCTACATTAATCTTTTTAAACGATTTTTAAGATAAAAAAGATTTCACAAGAATCTGATAGCTTAATATAAAACAAACAGTAAACGGAACAGTTTATCTAACTTTGATAATTTTTAAATGAACAATTAAGTACATCAAAGTAAAAAAATGACTATTTGGGTATCCATATCTGAAGCACTTTAAAAATATGCAGATATACTTGAGAGGTTTTTACGGAGATGCTGTATTAGGATATATTACCAACGTTTAAATAAAAACATGGCTGATACAATTTTTTCAGATGTCACCCCTTTTTCTAATTTTAGAACTGGACGCCTGTGACTAAAATCAAATTTAGTTATATAGCCCAGTTACTGTAGCTGAAAATATAGTAATACCTCCGAATTTTTTATAACTGCATCGATTTTTCTCAAAATTTAGAATTAGGCCCATCTTACCCCCCACATCAAAACTTATATATGCGCTAGGTGCGCTTTTTGTTCTTAAGGGGTGAAAACCACCCTTTATTGGAAAAAAGAAAAAATACAAATTTAAGCATTTTATGTAATCAAATATTTTTTATTTATGCAGTATGAAACTTAATGTATCCCAAATTTTCAACCCGGAAAAACCTTTAAAATATAAAAACAATTTTTTCAACTTGAAACGTTTTAATCATGCACTTTTATTAAATTAAAATTGATTTCTTGATTAAAAAATCTTTTTTATCGATTGCAACTTTTCAACCCAGTCCGTTATATTAACATGTTTGTTTCCCATCCATATTTGTGTTTGTACACATACTAAATACGTATAATAATATATACAAAAATACTTCAAAATTCTTGTTTAATTTTTAAGTTACAGCGTAAAAATCGAATTTTTTTCAAAAATTTGAAAAATTAACATTTTCAAAAATTAGGTTTTTTTTCGAAATCATGCTTTGCAAGTGAGCCAAAGACCTACAACATATTCTTAGAATATAAATGAAGAAATCTGTAAATGGATTGCATTTAATTTTATTCTGTCGGCAAAGGCACTGATTAGTTTATTAATTTTTTCTTTAAAAAAATCTTATTTCGATCATATTTCCGTTAATTTTGATTCTAAAGACTTTTAAAATAGCTCATTTTAAAGTTTTTTTCAAAGTATTTTATAAAAGGTTCAAATAGTTTTTTTCTTAATATTTACGGTTTTGGCGTTATTTAACCTTAATTTAACTGGTTCCAATTTAGTTTTTAGCATATAATAATGTTTAAAAATCCATAACTCGATTTATATTGCAATTAGAGAAAAACAAAATAAGCCATTAGATTTGTTTTTTTATTACCTTTCTTATTGTTCATTACAACTTTTTCGTTAAATCCAATGGTTTCAGAGTTATTTGCAAAAAACTGTCTGAAAACAAACACTTTTTCAGTAAAAAATCAACATTTTCAATGACGAATTACTCGGAAAGTATTGGATTCCTGTGATTATTTTGGGCGTAAAAATTTCCACCCTCCAAGAAGTATATATGTTTTGCTCCTTGAATTATCCCCCACATTCAGTCAAAATTTCACGTCAATCGGTTCAGTTATAAAGAATTCGGAGGTAAAAACCCTGATTAACTGGACTAATATTATAATAGTCGCTTATTTTACTTTAAAAGTAATTATTTCATATTAAAGTGTGAAAATATTTCAATTTAAGTTAAGGGATGTAAGGGTGGCTCCATGAAACCTGAAACACAGTGTTAAATTATAATACTTTTACTATTCCCTTTATATGTTGTATATACAAAAACTTATCATATTACAAATTTTTTTAGGCATGTTTAAAAATTCATCAAGAATAATAAAAAACTTTATATGCACTATCATTTATTTTTTGTTTTCCACCACAGACATAGGTATCCAATGGTATAAAATCCAAATAAAAGAATAACCATTATCCAAATATTTCTGACTAGATGGTCCTCGGAAAAACTATACTTTTCTAATACTTCAGTACCTTCTTTTAAGCATAACAGGCCAAGCTGTTGATTTTCGCATGCTGAAAAAATGAATAAAGTATAGACATAACTTATTACAAAAAAAATATTCAAGCACAATCAATGCTCTTATCAGTTGCACTCAGTAGTGTGTATCGATATCATAAAGGTACTTACTAATATTTGACACTCCCCTCCATTGTATAATACTCAGTGACTCGACAGCATACATTAGAAAGGATAGGTACTTTGTCCAGTTTACCAAAAATGGTAATGTGCTGAGAAAAAATTGTTTTTGTTATGAAGATGTTTCTATAAAATTTTTTAGTGGTTTTCTTTATTTATTTTACCTTAATTTTACAAATAGCCCTGATGTTATCATCAACATATAGTCAAATGGTACCAGATATGCCATGGCTGTTGGTACTGAATCCCAAGCATTAGAAAACATAATTCCTGCAAATAAAAAAAAAGTTTAATTTTCAAATCAAATTATTATTTTTATGGCTAATCACTAGACTGCATTGTACTCAGAAAATAAATAATCGAATTTGCCATGAAACTGTGATAGATATCACATAATATAAAAAGATATTTTGATAAATTGAAAGCTTAATGATATGTAAATTATTTTTACTTAAACCTACAAGGCTGTACCACCTTTTTATTAAATTGATTGAAATTATTGATCTCATCTGTGGCATGACGTGTACCGTGTACCAAATTTAAATTAAATTCTCCATTAGTTCAAAGAATATAAAAAATTAGTTTTTTAAAATTTAGGGCCCTGAATCTCGAAGAGATTGGATCCAACGTTAAATTCGACTCACCCAGTATCACTTACCACAAGCAGACGCTACATTAGCAGTTAGGGTAGTTATTAAAATTGTAGTAAAAAATGCTTCTGTTGTAGCTTTTAATCCTGCCATCCAGTAAGCTATCATTGTCAACAAAAATGGTTCCAATATAAATCCAGGCAACTAAAAAATGAAAATGTCATGTAAAATTTGTAAAGAAGTGGTCTGCTTAACACTATGCATTGAAAACATCGTGTTCAAGCCTCCGTGGCGCAATTGGCTAGCGCGTTCGGCTGTTAACCGAAAGGTTGGTGGTTCGAGCCCACCCGGGGGCGTAGCTTTTTTATTTTTGTTTTATTATCATATTATAAAAGAATATTTTTAAATTATGTAGTATTGTATCATTGTTTTTATTGTACAGTATAAAATTAAAATATTTATAAATACCAAAGACAATATCCTGGACAAATAATACGTGGAGGAATGATACAGGCCAGATTTGTATTCCCTTAAAAATATCGCGGTGTTGTCTGGAAATTCGCTTAGTACTGCATACATAGGGGTAAAGGTGTTCTCCGAGACTAACAAGAAGACGATGCCTTGCACTGACTGGATACCACTTTGTGTAAAAGGGTTGGTGCCTAGATAGCTAAGTCCTATTACGAGAGAAACACCCTAAAAATTTACATTTAAAATATCTACATCTTTCTCTCAGTTCTTCAAAACCATTTACTAATGACCTGTTGGTTGGTGTTAACTTACAATTCTCTGAAGCAATTTTACGGTTTGTAGAGATGGATTTCTCCAAACTTCTATGAACCATCTGTATACAAGCCAGTATAATTTTGACCACAGAAACACTTCTTTGCTAGAAAAATATTATTTATAAACATAATTTGATGAAACAGCTTATAAACTTACAAATCTCTCCTTAGTTCAAATTGTTTAACCTATAAATGAAAAAGGAGACCTTTTTAGAACATGAAGTAACAATGTACCTATTATTTTTCATTACAAAAAATTATTAGTTATCTACTAGCTTGTTTATGGTGTTAAGTCTATTACATATCCAGATGTCAGTATCAAAAAATATATATTATAGCTTCATTTTATGAAAATTTAAGAATTTAGCTTTCAATTTTAAAATAAAAATGGTCACCTAGTAATTCAAAATACTGTTAAATCTATGAAACGGTACTCAAAATATTTCAAAAATCATTCTTATTAATAATCCCAGTAAATAATAAATTAATCATTTTAATTTTTATACATATAATGAGACATTGAATTGTTTCTGTTAAAATGGAACACAAGATACGGGTTAAAAAATATTATCCCTACCGCTCGTCCCATATGAAACTCATACTGCACTACCACATCTACTTCTTTAGCGTAATCGCTAACGGCAAAGTGATAACAGATCCTCTTGATAGCTTGCTTACTATTGTCTTCATACCCAGGAGCGGTTGCAATGACCTTAATAAAGAAATCTGCCGGACTGTAGGAAGCAGGGCAAGTATATCCCAATCTGCAACAAGTTTATTAAGTATTGTCTGAGATACATTTAACATTTTTACTGTTGAAAGAAATCCAAAGCACCAGTTGATGACCCCATATAAGCTATCCTCCCTTCAGCCACCAAGATCAACTGAGTGAACATGGCGAATATATCTGAGGATGGTTGATGAATGGTGCAAAGGATCGTGTTACCATTACCAGCCATTTGGTTCATCATCTCAACCAAAGTCTGTGCAGAATAAGAATCCAAGCCTGTAGTCGGTTCATCACAGAACAGAATGGGTGGATCTGTCAACAACTAATGGACGAAATCTATACTGTGCTTTAATTTACTTGTTCTATTACCTCTGTAGCAAAAGCGAGCCTCTTCTTTTCGCCTCCAGAGAGCGCTTTGCCATGGCCTATGCCTCCTATGATGGTATCTACACAATGGAATAAACCTAATTGTTTTAAAATTATGTGTATCTTCTTATTTTTGCTGGCTTTGGAGATTCTTCGGTCAAGCTTCAAATTTGCCTAAAAATAAACTCTTCCAGAAGACAAGTTACAGAAGTTTCGCTTCAATACACATACCATGATGGTCATATGTTCCTTTACTGACAATGTAGGAACAAACAGATCTTCTTGATGCATGTAACCACTAAGGTATTTCATAAAATTTCCAATTGGTCTTCCATTTATTAATATATCTCCTTCTACTTCCATACTACCTAAATGTTAAATTGCTATAGGATTACTAAGACCAAGATACAATCCGAGAAGTGTCTCACCTGCTTGCCTGTAAGCCAGAGCTGACATCAAGGTACTTTTTCCAGCTCCACTAGAAAGAATATGTGCATAAATATCAAACATTTGGAATAAATAAACGTTTTTTACCTGGCACCCATCAAAGCTAATAGTGTTCCTGGTTTCACGGCTCCAGATACTAAAATTAGCTGATTGCTTTAAATATTTTGCTGTCGATGATGAAAATATGGAGATGAACAAACTAAAACTGTACCTTACCTCCATTAATGATCCGTTTATAGACTAATCTCCCATTTTTCTTGACTTTGGTAGACACAGACAGGTCACTCCAAGCCAGAGTTATTCCTTGCTCCATGGGAGACCATCTAGTGTAAGTTCTTGTTCTGTTTCTGAAAGAGCTGGAGGAGTCAAGGAAACCATCGTGATCACTCTGAAAGAAAAATAAATACTTGACAATTTTTTATTTTAAATACTAAATGTCACAAATAAAGAAGCTGTATGTTTTTATACCCGAGGCCAACGGATTTATTTACATAGAAAAAGCACAGGTCCTCCAAAAGTATATAGATAAATCCTACAGTCCTCTAACTTAGTATTCAGCAAAAATTAACGATTGGGGTTGTTTCAATAAGAATAGAAGACGCCTGATTTAGAGGCTAAATATTACTTATTACTGTTCTATTTGCAAACTTCATAATATCGTGACTTTAAGAAAAATTGAAATTATGTGGAAACAAAAGAAAACGTAAGTTTTTTATGTAGATCTAGAAATGATCTTCATCTACAAACTATATAAGTATGTCCCACGTTTCATTATCAAAGTATGACCACTTTCATTTTCACAAGCCGTCACTGATTGTAGCTAACAAAGATCCTCCATGGAAATATTGGTAAATGGTTTGTATACCATGTATTAGGGTATTAGAGTATTATTTTGTTTTAGGGTACATACTCTACGAAGCAGCAGCTGTCTATACATTCAGTAATATATGATATACATACATTTATTTCTATTTGATGCTACATAAAATTTTTGGCCGATGCAATTATTGTTGTTGTAAAAAAAAACAATGAACTGTTTATTATTTCAGCTACCCGTTAGTGTGCATAGGGAAACAGTTGTTTACAGAATATTTAACTGAAATATAATACAGCAATATCAATAAAATGATATTGTAATTTTATCTGCTCTGCGGTTTTGTTCCAACGGACACAAGCAATATTATCAATCATTCAGTTGCGTGAAATATTTCAAATCGTTGGGAATTTATGTATTATTAAATAAACAACGCAGACTGGTCGTAGTGAGTTCAATTTTAAAATTAAATCAGGGGGTTCGATTAAAAATATCTGTCCGAAACAAAGAATTCATTATGTTTATTTATCCCGCAGGGACTGATAAAAATAAAATTTTATTACAGACAAGCATTAATTGCTATGTGGTTTGTCCCTAAATATTTGGTATTAAAGAACACACAGTATGCGCTCCGAGTGTGTTGTAAGGAGTAAAAACATTTTTATTCGTGAATTTATGTACAGGGTGTCCCAACATTCGTCTCGGGCCCATAACAGACAAACGAAAAACGACAGTGAAAATCTGTTTAGATAACGCGATTCGGGACTCGCTAAGGTCCGTTTTGCACATGAAAAACATTTGTTTCGAAATTCGGAAAATAAAAAATGACGTCATCAACTTTTTTTCCACGAACATACCTATTTTTTATGATATCTAAAATTATCTATTTTCTATGAACATTTTTGGGCAGAAATTTTTTTCTCTATCTCTTCTCTCTAAAAAGTTACAATAACAATCATTATACAAAAATGTTTTTCTTCAAGCGTATAATAATACTTATATTATATAGTGCAACACCTCCTTTAGAAGCAGCCTATTGTTTAACTAGTACAAATATTTTTCATTTTTTAACTAGTAAAAAAATGTAACAATGTGTAGATAAGTATCCTAGCAACGAATTAAAGAATCAAGAAGCTTTGACGTTTCATTAAGTGTCAGTTGAAATTTGATGTCGCGTCGGGTCGTTTTTAAAATGTCTGAAGAAATGCAGTGCACACCACCAGAATTACTGGAAATTGCAAATACATCAGTGGCAACACTTATACCAACAAAGTCGAGAAAAATTTATGAAAATGCTTATGATAAATTCATAAATTGGGCAAAAGAAAATAATGCACATATTTATTCAGAAAATGTGATGATAGCATATTTTACAAGATTATCCAGAACACTGAAAAGTTCAACTTTATGGGCGCAATATTCAATGGTAAAATCTAAATTAAACATAGAACACAATGTAAATATTGAGAAATATTCAAAATTAATTACATTTTTGAAACGACAAGGTGAAAATTATAAACCAAAAAAGTCGAAAGTTTTGTCTAAAAAAGAATTTGACGAATTCCTGAATAAAGCACCTGATGATAAATATTTAGCAACCAAGGTATGTACTTTTTAAATTATAGGTAGATATATATTTAACCTTTTTATATTTGTAATACAAAATTTTGTTATAATTTGTAAACTTCAAGTTATTTTATAGTATCCATTACGAGAATAATAAACAATTTTCGGAAATAAAGATAGCTCATTGGAAGAATGTTGTAAAAACTCATAAATATAGATGTCTTAAAATTACGTCATGTTTTAGAATTTCCTTGCATTTTCCAACTTTTTTTATTGTTACAAAATTAATAATTCTATATTTTTTAGGTTGCACTAATATTTGGAGTCACAGGAGCTTGTAGATGCGATGAACTCATTCAAGTAAAAGTTAATGATGTAAAAGATTTGGGAAATATAATATTAGTAAATATTCCCAATACAAAAACTAAAAAACATCGTTCATTTACCATAATTGGAGAGTTTTATTTAAATTTATACAGAAAATATGCTACTCTTCGGCCAAAAGACATAACTTTTGATAGATTTTTTATTAAATATCAAAATGGCCATTGTCATCGTGTTGTAATGGGCATACATAAAATTTCAAAAGTGCCAAAAGATGTTGCATCATTTTTAAGGTTGCCAAATCCACATGAATATACGGGGCATTGCCTTAGAAGAACCTCGGCAACTATCTTAGTTGATAATGGTGGAGACATTACAACCCTAAAGCGACATGGTGGATGGAAATCTACCAGCGTCGCTGAAGGATACATTGAAGATTCTGTAAACAATAAGAAACAGATAGCGATGAAAATATTAAACCCATTAGAGTATAATGAACCAAGTACATCAAGCGAAACTGTAAATATTGATCCTGAAAATAATTTAATCGAAGACTTTTCTGTTAATAATGGTACAATTGTTAACACTGAAACTGAGAACCTTATTACAAGTAACGTATTCAACGACAGAACTGTAAACTTTGAAAAAAAGACAGCCAGCAGCGCTTTAAATATCAACAACTGTACCATACAAAATTGCACATTTAATATTCATGTTAATAAATAAAGTTTGATGATAGACATGTAGGTAATTTAGATGTTTATTCGTTTAATTCAAATTAAAGAAAAATAATTGTTACATTTGTTTTTTTATTCATGAATAAAGTGGTTAAAACTGTCATGTTTAATTAATCAATAAAATGTATAAAATGTATAAAATAAATAGTATTACCTACCTACTGATTTTATTTTGTGCTGAGATTGAACATCGCGTTATCCGCTATAAATTTTCAAAATTAGTAATTTTTTATATTCACGCTTGAAGAAAAAATAGTATATGTCACTCGGAGTGGAAGGCTCATTATGTGTTTTGCCCAATTTGCTCAGCCTCGGCTAACGCCTCGGCGAGCAAACTTTTGGGCTCAACACATAATGATCGCCTTCTACTCCTAGTAACATAATATACTATTCTTATTGTATTGGAATTAGTCATGATTTAATCAACATTGCTGTGAAAATAATAGCTGAAACTGCTGTCACAAGTATGTTTACATATTAGTTTCTGTCAAACGCTATTTCTTGCTTGATAAACAAACTAGTAAAAGATAAAAAATGCTCACGAACAATGAAAAAGTTGACATGATTTTAATTTATGGTGAATGTCAAAAAATGCCAGAAGAGCCGCTAACTTATGTCATGAGAGATATCCAGAGCGTCAAGCTGTTAACCCAAAAATATTTGCCAGATTAGAACGAATTTTGCGTGCTAACGAAAATGCATTTTCATCAAAAAAATGGAAAGGAATTTCAGTCAATGTAACGATATTACCGTAGCTAGGCTATTACAATATTTTGAGGAAAATCCTAGAAATTCTATAAGGCAGGCCACTTTTGCATTACATTTAAAAAGAAGCTCTGTGCAAAGAATTTTGAGCTGCAATTGTTACCATGACTATAGGCTAAATAACTTGGAGCACTTATCTGACATACATGCTGAAAAAAAACTTAATTATGTAGCCCAAATAATGGTTAATTTGGAAATAGATAATAGACTCTTACAACACATTCTTTGGACCAATGAGAGTCGTTTTATAAGTAATGGTAAGCCAAATAAAAAAAACGAACATTATTGGGCCACTGAAAATGCACACTATGTTAATCCCATTCAAAATCAGGGCCATTATGGAATAAATGTTTGGTGTGGCATTATTGGAATGCATTTAATTGGTCCGTACTTTTCTGAAAGTGTATTGAACGCTAATAGCTATTTACAGTTTTTGCAAGAGGAGCTTCCAGCACTGCTTGGACATGTGCCGCTGCAGCTCAGGTTGAATATGTGGTTGCAACACGATGGTGCTCCTCCACATAAAGCTGAAAGAGTTACAGACTATTTAAAAAATGCTTTCGGAACTAATTGAATTGAAATTAATGGGCCTGTAGAATGGGCTTCAAAGTCTCCAGACTTAACCCCCCTAGACTATTTTTTATGGGGAACATTAAAAACATTTAAAGCAAAAGATTCTACATGTTTGTGAGAAAGAAAAACGTTGTTTAAAGCTACAAGGGAAGCTAGGAAAAGATTGGATAAATGCTTAGAAGTAGGAGGCATGCATATCCAACATTTTTTAAAGTAATAAACATATTAGTTATTGTTATATTTTATTACTTAAATTTAAAATTGTTCAATATTTTCTATATTTGGTTATCCTTACCGTCATTATGTGTATTGTTCTATTTTTCTTGGTGGAGTGACCCTTCTTAAGAAGAACATAGCAACTAATATGTATACAGATTTGTGACAGAAGTTACAGTGATTGTTTTTCACAGAACAGGTTTTTATTGTTGTTTTTCGTTTGTCTGTTATGGGCCAGAGATACGAACTTTAGGACAGCCTGTACACAAACTTTTAAAAATGTCATTACTTTCTTGACTATTTGATAACTATTTTTTGAAAAAATTTAAAGTGATCACTAGCAAAGTATCTGAATTTTTTTAAATATCCTACGTATTTCGTAAATGTGAAATTTTAATTGTTTTTCAAAAAATATAATTAAGTACCTCATTTCTTAGATACTCTTATGAAACCCGTAATTAAGTAAGTTAATTAAAAATTTTGTGATTTAAATAAAAAATAAATTAGAGAATAATTAGAAGAATCTACATAAGTGACTTTTTTTTATTTAGCTGAGTATTTTGCAAATCTTGAAAAAAAAACCTTACTATTTAGATTTCGCGCATTTCAATAAGTTATTGACTTTTCGAAAATCAATCTGTTTTCGATTTCAGAAACTGGAATAACAGAATAAAAATAATAATACGAAAAACAAACGAAAATAAATTTATTTTCGAAACGTCAACTTATTGAAGTGTACGATATACATGCTGCTACAAATTCGCTTCTCAGTACAGGGATCTCGAAAACCTAGAAATAACTATGGGCACGGGATTAAAACTATACCTACCTAATATTGTTTTATTGTAACGTGTGATGGTAATAGTTTAAATAACTGGGTGGATTTCACAGGGTCTAACGACACTTGAGTGTACCATAATTCAATCAACATAGAAATCTAAATAAAAAATTTAGATAAATTTCGAACGAATACAATGAAGATGAATTTTTCGAGACAAAACGTCTGAATCTGGTTCGAGCTGGGGCAGTACAGTATTGGGGGTCATGAAGGCTTGCAAACAATGTAATAAAATTTCTAGGCTCGTATTTAAAAAAATGAAGTTGATAAAGGTCCTGGAAAGACGAAACGTTACATATAAAAATTGATTATGCCATTCGACAGAGGGCAAAAAGTTGTCATTAGAAAGTGTTCTTCTTTTTTCTATATGACGCCAAACAAAGCTGAAATGAAACAAAAACGGATTTCCAAAATTTCGTCATCATGTTAGCCTCGATTTTTTAGAGGCATAATGTTGGTCCCCTGACTTTGCCCCCATTTAAACTACTTCGTATCTTTTACTGTCTTCGAGATCCCTGTAGTGAGAAGCGAATTTGTAACAGCCTATATAGTGTGTTCTAGTGTTTTACTTGTCTGCTTGTTGTTGTTTGCTTGTTTGTTTCACTGAGATTTTGGGGTTAAGTAAAACTATTTTCAGGAAAATAACCCTTAACTGATTCTTGATTAATAATTTTTTTATAGGCATAAAGTAAAAACTAAAATTATGCCATAAATAAGTAACTTCAGACAATACCTAAGTAATATGAAATATTTATTTATTTTATTTTTCAAAACTGAAAGTTATACATATTTATAGCCCTGTTAAAATCACTATCAATATCTCTAAATGAAGTTTAAAGTACTTTGTCTGTAGGTAGAAAATTTCAATTTTATTAAAAAATGCAATACTCTGTATATAAAATAAATAATATAGTGATATTCCTTAAGAGTTTGGGGACAGGCAGGAATTTTTATAAAGAATCACATTTTCTCATGAACTTTCTCATAAATTTGTAGATTTAATTAGAATTATCAATTATAATCTATTTTTAAAGTAAAATGCAAAAGTTAAAAAAAACAATTAAAAATCACCAATTTTTTAATAAATAGATTTTTTCACAAATTTGAAATATATTTTATAAGTAATATATGAAAAAAACAAAAACTCAAATAAAGTTAGCAGGTATGCTGAAAAATGTATAAGGGTGTGGTGGATGAAGTTTGTTAATTGTTGTACAGTTTTGTGTATATTATTTGTAGAACTCTAGCAAACTCAGCCGCAATATCTTAAATATTTCAATAGCAGGTCTAGAACTGTTAACAACGTTATACTTTTTAAAGTCATTTTAACAAGTTATAATAAGCATTCGCAGATAAAATAAGCAAAATAAACATTTTGAACGAACAGTAAGGTCTGCATGAATTACCGTCTACTTGATTTTTATTACTTTTTAGGAAAATCATAAAAAAAAATTTTCGTCACTAATATTTCCACGGTCCTGGATATTAATTTAAAAATAGTTCATTAACACTCAATAAAAGAACAAAAAAATTAAATATTCTTTGGATAAAACAGCGTACTTACATTTGAAGCTGAAAGGTCATCAGTTCCATAAGATTTGATAACATTCAGGCTGGTGCCCTCAATATCATTTACCTTCATGTTAAATCCTCAATTTTTTACTTCTCAACAAACACTAAATGCAGATACATTGTTCTCCTCTCTTCTGACATATTTTATCTCGATGCAAAGGACTTAGATAATTTTTAATTCAAATAGAACGATGCAAATACCAAGAATATTTAAGCCGCCACACCGAGAAGCCACAGAGAAATACTTGCAAGGGAAATATTAGCTGTCATTTGCTTCTAGTTTAGTAAATTGATACTCCCTAGCTTGTACCTTTTTAAAAGAGAGCGTCAAATTGGATTGGCTGAAAATAATATCTGTCGATATCCTTTCAGCATGAGTGCATCGTACCAGTTTTCTAGCTTATGCTTTCACGTATAATATACTGAGAAAAAGCTTTTAGTAAGGTATGGCATTATTTTAGCTGAACATCTGCTGTTATGTATTTGGAAAAAGTGTTTCACTAGTTCATGAAATTATATTATCGAATGTATTTTGCTGTACATCTAGAGATGTGTTAGTAAATATCGAAGACGAAAGGAGTCGAATATGAAAACATCATTTTGTTAAATGGATCACAATCTATTATTAAGTTAGGCTATTATAATTCAAAGGATTATGACAAGAAACAATGTTTTTGTTTAGATATTTTAAAGCCCCCCATACACCTACGAACAAATTGTGCAAACGTACGTTGTACAACAGGCTGTTGTGCAAACAAGGTCCCCATACACTATACACATTTTTTTTGCAAACTCCAGTTGCTTTTGTCTTGTTTTAATAGTGACATGGCGTCTCGCGACGAAACCTGTTTAGCTATAATAATTTCTATTGCGTTGGATGTTGGTGTCAAAAAAGAAAAAGGAAGCAAAGAGTCTGGATGAAAGAGTATCTTCAAAGAACTTCAATTGAGTGCACCACTTGAATATAAAAATTATTTGCGAATGGACCCCATAACTTTTGGTGAATTACTTGAAATGGTAACACCATTTATACAAAAAGAACCTGTTATCACGCTTGAAAACAACTGAGGTGATTGCACAATATGTCGTGAGTACTCACATACACGATGAGACAGTTGCGCTACGCCTCTCGTTGTGCAATTAATTCCAAACAGTTTTGAATTTCTGCAACTAATTGCACAGCGCAGCGCCTCAACCAACACCTTAGTTGTGCAATTTGTTCGCAGGTGTATGGGGGGCTTAATGGATCAAGTGAATTATGTATGGATTATAGCATCGATTATTCGAGGGTTATTCTATAAAACTGTTTTTGTCATACGCACTGAAAAAAACGAAATAAAAATACACATCACTATATCACGCATTTTACTTAATTAACGTTTTGAAAATCAATCTGCTTTCGTTTTCAAAACTATGAGTGATGTTTTTTCTTCAAATATTATAAAAAAGAAGTAAGTAGAACATATTATAAGAAGTGGATCTTATTTGTGGAAGGGCGAAACGGGCGGTGATTATGAGACGCCTTCATTATAGCCATCCTTCTCTATCTCATGGATTTCTATGGCTTACTTTATCGCTCTCACGTAACTTCAGATAGACGATCGGTACTTTCCTACACTGTATAGGACGAACCTTCTGTTGATAGAATATTTTTTTAATTTTTTGAATAAAGCTGGGAAATGAAAACTAGGAATATTTTTAGATTTTTAGATTTTTTCCTCAAAATCGAGAAGAAATGTCACGCTATACAGGGTGTTTCCTAAGTACGGTTTCTAAATTCAGGACACAATTTCTTATCGTATTTAAAGAAAAAAGTCCCTAGAAACATGTGTCCGGAGTCTATACGAGTCACCAGTTAATCAAGCTGGTAAAAAGTATGGTCCAATAAGATAGTCATGAATAATCCCTATCCATACATTCATCGAAAATGATTGCTGAAAACGACCATCTCTTATTGCATGTGGATTTTCGGCCGCCCAAAAATGTTCATTATGAATATTAATAATTGCTTCTCCCGAAAAAGTGACCTCATCAGTAAATAAAATTTTCGTCAAAAAATTGTTATTATGTGCCACTGTATGGAGTAACTTACCAAAAACCTAGCTTTGGCTGAAAAACACTGGGCAGCAGAGCTTATACCCGTGGTATGTGGTACGGGAACAGCTGACAAGCTTTCAAAACCTTCCAAAGAGTCTTTGGACTTACATGAAGTTGCAATACTATCTTCCTGGTACTGGTGGAAGGATCTTTTTCTATCTCTCAAAGTATAGCTTCTTCTAACTCTGAGGTTGTTACTGTTGAAGGTATTCCCATACTACGCTTAAAATTACCAGTTTCACTCAATCTGAGATGTAACTTTCTAATTGATTTAGCACATGGCGTTACTCTGTTATGATAACGTTCCTGATAAATTCGCCGTGCTTCTTCCCCATTCCCATTTGCTAAGCTGTAGATCAAATGCATCTGACAGTGAGTCATTTCAGCGTTAGTAAAGATTAATTTTCGAATTTTATTGTTTAATCCGCAGTTTTGATTGACAACTTATAACTAGCAAAATGCCAACAATCTCGGTACCAAACAAGTAACTGAGACAACAAAAAAGGGCATACCATAGTGTCTCTTATTTGTTGCCGCTGAATTAAATAAATAACTTTTTTTCTAAGAATAGGTTAGAATTAGGCAAAAAATTGAACACACCTTTTTTGTTGTAAAATGCTAGGCGAGTCCGAAAATAATAAAAATTAAAAAAATCCATTGGCGTTCTACATTTTATGACTAACACGTCGACAGTTTATACTAAAAATGTAACTCTTTACCAACGTACAATAACTGCCAAATTTTAAGAATCTAACATTGACTGTTCCAAATTTATTTCAAATATTAATATATTTTTTTAAATTTTCAACACCCTGTATCTTGAAATCTAAAGGTTTCCAACAACATGTTTATAGGAACTTCTTTCTTTAAATACCATAAGAAATTGTGTCCTGAAGTTACGGATCGTAGTCAGGAAACACCCTGTATATGGAGACCAAATGATTTTCCATCCATACGTCAAATAAATCTACACGTTTAATTTGTGCAAATAAATCGTGATGATTTGTCGTTACTTGTGTTGTTAACAAATGCGTATTAATTTAAAATAATAACATATCGAACATTTTTGTAGACTATATTAAAATCCTTTGAATATTCATTTTCTATTCAAAATATTTTTATTGCTCAGTAACTGTTTGGAAACTAATAAAAATGTTTTACTTTTAAATAATTTTTAATGTAATGCGTTGTGAAAACCTGAAGAAAATACGTTAGTACACATCAAAAAATTGTTAGTTGCATAAAAAGTGTATCTTAGATATAAAACACATTTCCTCTGATCATTTTCTACTCTTTCTGATAACTTTTCCACACTAATGCCAAAAACGCCGCCATTCTGAATCCCAGTATCAGAGAAAACAACCAGATTATATCCATTGATAAGTGTTCCTAAAAATTAACTTTCATCAGCTAATATATCAGTAATTAACAAATTTTGCTTACTTCTGAAAATGCGTAGGTCTCCAAAATAATATGACCATTGGGGGAACAGGTGGCGTTGGCGTTTGGACACAATATGTCGGTGACATTCTCCCATTGGTTGATCATCAAAGCTTCATTGCCATATTTGAACCAAGAGAAGTAAGAGAGCCACTGAAGATATATAGGAATCGACCTGAAAACGAATTAAGTATGAATGTATTTGACATTCTCCTCCAAAAATTTATAATGATTTTAGTGCAATTTAATACTTACTGGATATTAAGGAAGAATCCTCCAAACAGAAGGAATGGTATTATAAGTGGTGGTCCCACCGACAGAGCCATAGAAACATTACCAGATACGCATGATATCATGTAACCTGAAGAATAATAAACAATAACTTTATTTCTTCTTTTATATATTTTAAATATCATTGTTGTTTTAATTTTGTTTTTCTTATCTCGTTACATAAATCCAAATACAAATTATTTGCATTTCCATCACATCAGACGCAACATATTTCAATCAAATAAGACAGTCAGCAAATATTGCGAAGCAAAAATATAAAGGTAAATACATTATTTAAACAATTTGAAAGTGATAAATCTAAATATATCTGACTTACCAAAACTAGTTGAGACATTAGCGACCAAGGTAATGATCCCACAGGCAATAAGGAATCTACTCCATTCTGGATTCAACCCTATTGAGAAGTAGCAGATGGAAGTAAAGATGACTGGCATCAAAAGGAAAATTGGTGTTTCGGCTATTGTCTTGCTGAGAAAATAAACATCAGTACGGTACATACCGCTCCTGTGTTCCCTCAAGAAAACTGGCAGCTCCGAACAGAATACCTGGAAATTAGGTCTTCATTAATTGAAATTTAATCACTAAATCACGTTTTAAAGATGCTACTTACTGTAATCACAGCAAAAACATTCTGGAAAGTCATGTTCGTTAGAAAAATGAACAGCGCGCCGTTGATATTCATCACTCCGTCTTGATCCAACTCTTGCCCGTAATAAATAGATGTCAACACCAATGCGATCATCTAAAATGCCACTAATTAAAAATATGCCCAGTGTCATATTAAAGCAGCCTTCTTACTACAGTTTGAAGTAGTCTAACTTTTACAAGCAGTGGTTCCTTTACGATACTTAACCAGGATCTCCAAAGAAGTGCTCTGAACTGAGCAAACCAAGATGCCTTGTACCGGCTGCTTCCATTTTGACCATTAAACCATATGTCGGCTTCTAAGTCGTTCAGTTCAGTTGTCTAAAAATAGGAACAGTATTATAATAGTCCAGTTGGTAGAGGTTCGGCCTGTGTCAAACCTTGATAACTCGGAAATAACTACACAGGCCTACTTTAAATGATGATTACAATAACAGGCTAATTTGCTGACAAAGTATTTTATCAGGGAAAAAAGTTATTAACAATTTAATTGTGAAAAAAAATTTTTTTAGTAGTTTTCTTTAAATAACTCAGAGGGATGACTGTACGAAAAAATGCTTAGGACATGATTTTGTTCGTAATAAAAATAGCTACAAAATGGCGGTGGACCGATTACGAAATTTGCAATAACAAAGCCGTGAGATTTAAAAAACGGTATAAAACGTCAATTTTTCAAAGTTGCTGTAAAATTGTCAGTTATATGTAAAAAGTGATAAAAGTTTCGAAAACTATAGTTCAATATACAGGGTGTTTCAGAAACACCTCCCGTAAATTCAGAGGGTGATAGTAGGTACGACAAAAAATAAGAATTTTTTGTCTTATGAACTATATGTCTATCTCCTCTTGTTTTTGAGATACAGAGGGACAAAATAAAATTTTTTAAATAGAATTTTTACGAAAATTTCCAAACGGCGCGAACTATTTTTATGAAATTTGGTATTCCGGGGTTTTTAAGGATGCCAAATACGCTGGTCTAATTATTTTTTGGATATTTCATAGAGGGCGCTAGTTATGCTACATTCATATTACATTTTAAGTTCTAATTTTTTTAAGGTTAGGGTTTTTACCATTCGGGCTCCAATTTCTAATGTACAATTTTATTTTCCAAAAATAATGTACTCTTGTTAGAACTTCCTAATGTGAACGGTTTTCGAGAAAGAAGACTTTCAATTGAACTGTTACAGTATTAGGGTGTATAAAATAAGTGCCTTTTCTCAAAGTAGGCTTATGTCAAAATTTTTTGATGGATGTCTCATAAACATCGCATACATTCTTAGTAATATTTTAAACTCCAATTAACTTTATATCAAAATTTTAGTGATTGTTAGTGACTGTAGTTAATAATGACTAATAACAGTCACTAAAATTTTGATATAAAGTTAATTAGAGTTTAAAATATTACTAAGAATGTATGCGTTGTTTATGAGACATCCATCAATAAGTTTTGACATAAGCCTACTTTGAGAAAAGTCACTTATTTTCTTCACCGTAATATTGTAAGAGTTCAAGTAAGTCTTTTTTCTCGAAAATCGTCCACATTAGGAACTTCTAACAAGCGTATATTATTTTTAGAAAATAAAATTGTACATTAGAAATTGGAGCTCGAACCTAACCTCAAAAAAATTAGAACTTAAAATGTAATACGAATGTAGCATAACTAGCGCCCTCTATGAATTATACAAAAAATAATTAGACCAGCGTATTTGGCGTCCTTAAAAACCCCGGAATATTAAATTTCATAAAAATATTTCGCACCGTTTGGAAATTTTCGTAAAAATTCTGTTTCAAAAATTTTATTTTGTCACTCTGTATCTCGAAAACAAGAGGAGATAGACATATAGTTCATAAGACAAAAAATTCTTATTTTTTGTCGTACTATCACCCCCTGAATTTACGGAAGGTCTTTCTGAAACACCCTGTATATATAATAAAGATGCTAAAGCCGAAAATCAGGAGAGCAAAACTTTTTGTTTTATAAGGTTTTATACATCCATCGGCATCTGAAACTCGAAACTTTGCCAAATTTGTTCGAAGCTTTGCTGACACTTGAAATTTGGAACACACGCATAGTGTAAATATGCAGAAACCAAAAGCAATTTGCAAAATTCAAGTATCTTCATTTTTGCAGTTTTGATAAGGTTTTATACGTCACCCTAGTTTTATACGTCACCGTTTTTTTAATTTTTGGGTATTTATGTATATTTATAAAATATTCCATTATGGTAGATTAGCCAGCACAATTACCTATAATTTAAAAAATATATATTTTCGTTGTTTAGATCCTAAGCTACTTAATATTTTGCGCCTGTTAGCCGAAGTCGTACATTATTCAACATATCAACATAAAACAAAAACGTACGTGTGGGGTAAACCTTTAACTTTAAGTAAACAATTGTTTAAATTTACTGTTGCATATTTCTAATAGAATACAAGCGCCGAAGAGCGGAGCTCGCCCTCGAAAATGAAAAGTTAATGGTTTACCCCACAGTACGTTTTTGTTTTATGTTGATATGTTGAATAATGTACGACTTCAGCTAACAGGCGCAAAATGTTAAGTAGCTTAGGATTTAAACGATGAAAATTAAATTTTTTGTTTTAATTGTAGGTAATTGTGGTGGTTAATCTACCGTGATGGAATATTTTATAAATATACATAAATATACGTCCAAAAATTAAAAAAAACTGTGACGTATAAAACTAGGGTGACGTATAAAACCTTACCAAAGCTGCAAAAATGAAGATAATTGAATTTTGCAAATTGCTTTTGGTTTCTGCATATTTACATTATGTGTGTACCAAATTTCAAGTGTCAGCAAAACTTCAAACAAATTTGGCAAAGTTTCGAGTTTCAAATGCCGATGAATGTACAACACCTCATAGAACAAACAGTTTTACTCTCCTGATTTTCGGCTTTAGCGTCATTATTGTATATATATTGAACTATAGTTTTCGAAAGTTTCATCAATTTTTGTTTATAATTGACATTTTTACAGCAACTTTAAAAAAATTACGTTTTATACCGTTTTTTCAGTCTCACGGCTTTGTTATTGCAAATTTCGTAATCGGACCACCGCCATTTTGTAGCTAGTTTTATTACGAACAAAATCATGTCCTAAGCATTTTTTCGCACAAATTCACACCGCTGAGTTATTTAAAGAAAACTACTAAAAAAAATTTTTCAAGATTAAATTGTTAACTTTTTTTCTTGATAAAATACTTTGTCAGCGAATTAGCCTGTTATTGTACTCATCATATAAAGTATTCCTGTGTAGTTATTTCCGAGTTATCAGGGAAATGTCACCAACAGTAACTTTTCGGCCTCTGCGGACTGCACTATAAGGGAAAAATCAGATTGTCACTCAATGCTCACCTTGGATGCAGAGTCAACGATCATTTTCACGCCTATATCAGATCTCTCGAAACTGTCACAGATCATTGCAATGGCTTGTTTGCAGGATTCTTCTCTTCCAGGTACTACGGCTAGTAAGTGGATGAAATAGTCCGCCGGGTTGTAGTTTCTGGGACATGGCGCTTCTAAACTACAAATAATGATATTAAATAATTTCGTTCTATTACCTTTACATTAAATAGTTCTGAATACAGACAGACTGGTTTCTTAGAGTCAAGCAATATTTTAATATTAGTCTGCTTATAGTAAGCCATTTCTTAAAGTTACGCCTTTGAAATTCAACGACAGTCAGGTGATAATTAAGAAAGAGAAAAAAATTTTTCATCAACTGTGTGTGCTTGAGATGTAACTAGTTTAGTGCAACCTTGCCTAGCAAGTACGTATACAGGATGAGTCATTAATAATGGTACACAGTTTATTGGCAGATTGTTAACGTCAAAATATAGAGATTCGAAATAAAAAAGGTATACTTGTTACAAATCGATAAGCTTAAGAAGCTTAAGCTTATCGATTTGATATGATTTTAAGCAAATGATATCCATGGGCGGCGCATCCATAAGGGTCTCCTATTGCATTTATTTATGAATATTTTTGGTTACAGATATCCCATATATACTTGTCATATTGAAAAGTCACCTTGTAGAGAATTCAAATATTTACCTCGCAAAAAACTCCTGAGCCTCATCTGGCGTCCCCAGAAAGGCCACCCTTCCCTCCGCCATGAGCAATATTTTATCAAACATGGCGTATAACTCGGAGCTAGGCTGGTGTATGGTGCACACCACAGTTTTCCCAGTCTGCGCCATCGATTTCAGCACTTGTACGATGTTAAGGGCCATGAAGGAGTCTAGTCCAGAGGTAGGTTCATCGCAGAAGAACAAGGATGGGTTGGTGAGAACTTCTGCAGCGAAGGAGAGACGCTTCTTTTCTCCTCCCGAGATTCCTTTGAGACGACCTGGGGTGCCTATGGTGGTGTGCTCACATTTTTTTAGTGCCAACTAAAATAAAATACTTCGATACATTATTGGAATAATTTTAGAATTATAAATTCCAACACAGTGCTATTTGAATGGCCACTGCTACTCAATGCTTAAGTCATCTGTGCGGCCGAACTGACAAAGAGTGACCTGCTATGTCGCCAGTAAGGAATTAAAGCAATTTTTAAAATTATACGGTGAAAAACAGCTACTCTGTGAATAGCTCACCTATGGAATACTCATGACAACTCATTAAGTTAAAAATCGGTATATGTCTGGTGGGTTCGGCTAACGAATGATACTACTGTTGACTAGATTCAATGTTGGTCAGGGTAAACGGTATCGCTATTTCTCGTGAAAGTGAAAAAACTAAAATGCTATGTAAAAATGTCTTACAACGCAATTAAGAAATTTAACAAGTATGATGGTAGATTTAGAACATTTTTCAAAAGTGTGTAGGGTGTAACACCAAATAAATATAAGTAAAATTTACCTCTGATATGACTTCCTTCACTCTGTTCATTCTCTGGTCATAGGAAATGTTACGATCCATCCTCACTAGTGCCTAAAAGTTTTAATTATTTAATTGCATATGTAAGTTTATGATCAGAGAAAATCCCGACCGGTTGTCACATTATCGGTTTAAACTTCCTGAAATTTCGAGACATATCGCTCTTTTCTTAAAAACAAACTTTAAACTAGAGATATAAGTTTTCTGACCGATATTTATATTTGATTGATTTTTTTGTACGAGTTTCTATTGTTCTAGCCCTCATCGTAGTTGAAATTATTTCGTTATTTTAAGGTATATAGTAGAGATTTGACCAAAATCTTTTTCCTCTTAATAGAATTCTTGAATTACTTAAGTCTATCTACAATATTTTAAAAAATACAAAAAAAAACAGTGTCTCATTGTTTGACCCTAAATTTTATTTTTGTACAGTATTGCTATACACATTTTTTCCGATTAGTGCACTTATTTTTTTTAATTTTGATGAATTCATAGATATACAATGTGGCCAAGATAAAGATGGGATAGCATTAAGATCTAGGAAATGGTAAGAGATACGGGGTGGCTCAGATTAGAAAAAAGTTGTTTTTTTATACCTAACAATATGATTGATTTTTTTATCTAAAAAAAATTTAGTTATTTAAGACACAGAAAGATATACTTTTTCTAAGTTTCATCAAAATTAAGTTATTTTTGCGGAAATGAGAAATAAAAAACGAGAAATCAGAGAAAAACGGTTTTTCGAATTTTTCTCGAAAATTTTGAGGTTATATTAGAAAGTGACCTCTACGAAAGTTGTAGATTTTTTCATGATCTACAACTTTTGTATTGGATACTTTTTTGTTTGATGTCAACTTTCTCCAGAAATCCCAATGATACAATTTTTCACAAATTTTCAACCCCCCACCCCTGCTAACGCATTTTTTTTTCGTTTATTATAATAAGCCCCTTTACCATTTCCACTTATAAAAGTCCAGATAACAATTTTCTTTTTTTTTCCTATAAATGAGTTATTTCGATCAAAACAATTAAATCAACATAATTTAAACAAAGTTGATAATCTAAAATTAGATGGTATTTGGAAATGACATCAGAAAACCAAAGCCGAAATTTCACAAGCCAGTGATTTTAAACATCGAAAAGATGTGGACCAGTGTTTGTGTACAAATCTAAATATCGGCAATAGGACCTAATCTGTGTTTTCAGATTATCCAGAAGAAAAAAATTTAAACCAGTGACGTTGCAGTCAGCCTGGAAACTGTTGAAGGCTTGGCAACTGCCACGGAAATCTATAAACAAAACAAATATTTTGAGTTCTTTTTTAATTTGCAATACTTTATGTATCTTTTTTCTGTAATAACCTAACTCCTAAATATTATTATCTAATACCTGTGACAAAACTTTAATTAAAAGTAAAATATGTAGATTTTCTAGTGAGTATAATTTAAAAGATTATACAATTTTATTCCATATTTTCGCATAAAAGAATAAGTAATGTTAGAAAAACATGGCCAAAATCGAACTAAATCCACCTTTTCTATTTTGCAAGCATTAGTAAATTAGACAAATTTATGTGTGCCTTTCTAGGCTTTTTGTCGGAGTGCGACGCGACGGGAATGAATAGAACCATATGCGCGTCAATTTAACTACCAAGCTCTGCCAATTTAGCAATTGCGATAAGCAATTTAGCGGAAATTACCCGAAATGTAGTTAATTTATATTTGTCCGAATAGATGCAATTTTAATTAGATGGATGGATGGTCACGCTGCTGGAGTACGGCATCCATGCGAAAATTTGCAACCAACGAAAACCGGGAATACAAATGAATTGTAGAAAAAATGAAAAACACCCTGTACATTTTTTGTACAGTAACAAACTTTTTACGCATTTTTTAAATGATATTTTTATGGCATTTTCTGTTTTGCCTAAAATATCTGCAAAATTTTGAACCGGAAAACTTAACAATACAGAGGGTGTTTTGAAAAAAGCCTCCATAAGCTCAGGAGAGAGAATTATGCTTTAAATTAAATTTTTACCACTATTACAAAAAAATAACAATGTATTGTGGATATTCAATACATCACTGTTGTTAGTTTTCGAGACTCTTGTAGAGACCGCTGTCCATCACATATTAGAGTGCAAAATTTTATTATTTTACGCAAAAAACCGTACTCAATTGCTGAAAATGTACAATTTTCGAGGAAAATACAATTAACTGTGCCAAAGTCAATTTCCTTCTGTAAAGACGGAATATGTTCCCTAAATATATATCCCGAGTGTGCCAAAAAGACCTGAACTCGCCCGATAATTATCAAAAAAAAGTTTCACATGAAATTTGTAAAATATCAAGAAACCAACAGACTGCTGACTTTGAATTTGACGTTGACCTTAAATTTCAGGGTCGAACTAAGGTCAATTGAAAATATCAAATAGAACACCCTATTTTTCATGCAAGAGAATCAAGTTCAAAAAATTTTCAAGAACAATATCCACATCACCGATTTACTTAGTATTTTATGTATTTTTGTATCCGCCTGAAATATTGGAGGTTTTTCTTAAGTCATTTAATCAATAATTTTACATTTAATGAATTAAAAATTAATAAAAACTGTATTAAATAAAGTTTATATCTACTTTACATGATATAGTTAATAAAAAACGTTTTTATGGATAGGAGGTCACTTGAGTTTAGAAAAATAGAGTAATTTCAATTATTTCAACAATATTACCCATTTCATGTAAAATAAAATTTTACGTATTAGAGAAGTTGAAACTATATGAGCAAGAGTGTTAATGTTTACACTCTAATAATTGACATACAATACTAAAAACGTAATTAAAAAAATATGTTTTAGTATATCCCTGAGAAAGTTGGTAGGTAGCGATATTTAGAAATTAATTAATTACAAAATTAATCACAGTGCGTATCTAGCAATCTCAAAATCGCACTTGTACTTCATCTAAAACATCTTGCAATCATTAAATTTAATTTTTTTCGGAACTACTCGAGATGTCTTAATGAAGTTAAAATTGTTTATAAATGTTTACGAATTACATTACATATTATTTAGATTTTTTCCAGAATTTTCGCTCGATTAAAAGCGATTGAAAACGAGAATTATATTTTTGGGGGGGTGATTTTTTATACCAACCCGCGAAGTGACACCTACCAAAAAAATACAGTTTATTCATTTATTAATCAGCTATTATACTTAAAAACTACAGAAGAATCAAATTGGTAGAACATAGTTAAAGAAATAAAATCCATATCAAATATCCAAATAAAGAAGTGTAATTTGACAGAAACAATCATACGAAATATACAGGGTGATTCATTAACAATGGGAAAGTCGAAAGCTGAAGATACTACACGTGAAATGGTGACCATTGGCGCAAACATGCCTTATACGAAAGTTGATAGTTTTGGAAATACAGAGTGTTGAAAGTTAAAATTTTAAATCGTTTTTTGCGATTATTCTGAAAATATATAGGTTAGGCACTTGAAAATTTGTGAAACTATATTTTTTTAGGCGACGAATAAGATGCGTGTTGTAATTTCAGCATTGCTCATAGAGGGCGACACTTACGACCAATTTTACCGAAAATTTAGTTAATAACTTTTTACCATATACGTATGTCTAACATGAAACTTGATTCAAAACCTGAAAGAGCAATCATTTTTCCTTTCGAACACTGACTTTAAATCATTATTACGAATTTCATTCGCTTTATTGTTAATCGTTGTAATAACACGAAGAAACACTTGGTTTGTTTCGCTTTTAATTTCTCGTATTATTCGTTAAATCGATTTTTCTCGAAAACGGATCGAGATATCGAAATGAAACAAGAATACACAATTAATAGAAAAATGATTGCTCTTTCAGGTTTTGAATCAAGTTTCATGTTAGACATACAGGGTAAAAAGTTATTAACTAAATTTTCGGTAAAATTGGTCGTAAGTGGCGCCCTCTATGAGCAATGCTGAAATTACAACACGCATCTTATTTGTCGCCTAAAAAAATATAGTTTCACAAATTTTCAAGTTTCTAACCTACATATTTTCAGAATAATCGCAAAAAACGATTTAAAATTTTAACTTTCAACACCCTGTATTTCCGAAACTATCAACTTTCGGATAAGGCATGTTTGCGCCAATGGTCACCATTTCACGTGTAGTATCTTCAGCTTTCGATTTTCCCATTGTTATTGAATCACCCTGTAGATATAACTACAAAATATAAAAATTATTTAGAATCGGAGGTTAATCACCATCACTATTTTCTTCAATAGTTGTAGTTGTCATAATCGAAACAGTGGTGTCAAAAGAAGCATTTTTGCATAAATTACAAAGGGCGTATTTTATTTGCGGTTTCCATTCCAATCGTTTACACTGTACAGTTGGACAAATTAAGTTTTATTCTAGATTAGTGACTAGCTTGTCTAATTTAATTTGCTAGATATTGGGGGTGTAATTCAGTGTCAGTTGAGGAGTATCGTTTGAATCAGCTTAAAGTCTTTAAAAGTACAAGATTAACTTTCGAATAATCTTTATCTATTTACGTCAAATAAAGTTATTCTCTAAATCACAACCTGCATGTTTCATGTTTGTCTACAGATGTTATTGAAACCCTTCGAGATTCATACAATTGACTACTCTCTTACGGAGAAACTATTATCTATATTGAAAAACTTTCTTTCTTCAGATTACTTTGAAAATGAGAAAATTTACCTGGAAGGTCAAATGTTCCCTCACTGTCAAGTTGCCAATGAACAGGTCGTCCTGTTGGACGTAAGCTGACCTGCTCGTCAGAGTCTTAGGAATAGCAGGATTACCATTGACATACTTCATTCCGGTCACAGTGATAGTCTTTACAGACCTGAAAGTCAAGGCATTTAGTAGGGTGGATTTTCCTGCACCACTAGAGCCTAAAATAGCCAACAGTTCCCCTGGACGCGCTATTCCACAAACTAGAAACAACGTCGCACAAAAATAACCTTACTAGAAAGGTAAAGCACACACTTACCGTTCTTTAAAATATGTTTTCCTTGACTTTCCTCGGTAGAAGCAGCCCTTTCCCCAAAACAGATGTACCTTCTTCTATAATTCTTCCTAGGGCTTGTAAAAACGTTAATGTTGCTCCATGTGTAGGTTATCCTTTCTCCAGTTGGTACCAGCTTGCCTATAGGTCCACTGTCAGTTCCATAAAATGGATTCCTTATTATACTTAGCTTCACGGATAAAGATTCTGAGCTGCTGGTTTCCTAGAATAGATTGTTGATATGATCATATTTATCATTTTTGCAGCTAAATATTTTCAGATCAGAAATATCAAAACATTGTAGGAAATTTAACGATAACGCACTCGTTTGTTGCGGATAGACTGTTTGTTATCACTTGCATCGATTCTAGATGATGTTGATTGTTTATTACGATTTACTATAACCGACTGGAGTATTATCGATTATGTGGACTTACATTTTGCGTTTCCACAACGCTAACTGCCCTTCCCGAAGGTCCTGCCAAAAGTGGCAGTTTTTCTTCATCCATTTTAAAAATATTACGCTTTCAGTTTTTCTTAAACAACGCACATTTCGTAAGATTTATAAACAAAACTAATTGTATAAATCAGAACTTCAGAGCGGTATGTATTTAATTATTTGAATAAGATAGTACTATCTTCAGAGCAGTTAATAAGTGGGTTGTTACTGTTTGCATAACTAGGAGTCGACTATGTCGCAATTCAGTTGATAATTTAAAAAATGCCCTGTAAAACGAGACGTACCGTAGGTAGCCGGTTCATTGATCATATCGTGTGACACTCCCTCTAAATCAACTTATTTACGCCCAATGGTTCTCTTACGCTAATATTTCTGTCGATTTTTACGAGGGTTGCACAAATATTTTGCTTTTCCTCGGGTTATTGGGTACTTTCCCAACTGTGAAAAAAAAAAAAATTATAATATACCCTGGCACCAAATGTATCAAACAAAAATTATTTTTAGGAAACTGCTTGTACTTAATCTAAAATTTTATATTGAAAAAAGTGGGAAAAATTAGTTGAGGAAATAAAGCACTAAAAACGGCCTTACCTCTGAAATCTGTGCAGTAAGATGGATTGTGATGCGGTTTTTTGCATTCGATTCATTAGAGCGTCCAGAAAGTTTGTGACCCTATGTGATCAATAAGAATTGAAAATTTCATCGGTGCATAAGAAAATTGCATTTTTAAAATTGCATCTTGAAGAGTTAAAATATGAAAAATTTACAACTCGGAAAATATTGACGGAAATGAGTTAAATTTTACTACTCGGGGGTTCTTGGGGTCGCTGAACACGAATATTACGACGGCAACGGTCTCCGAGGTACCTAGTGTCCAGAGTGGCCACGTTTCCACGTCGTCTCCTGGAGTCTTGTGAAAATTCGTTATAAACTTAGCCAAAACTCGTTACCTCGAGGTTTTTGAGATCGCTCAACACGAATATCACGACAGCAACGGTCCACCAAGGATCATGATTATGATTTTCTGTGGGTGAAAAAGCCCAAAAGAATGTTCACTAAATATAATTGATTAACAACTAAACCAAACATATACAGGGTCGGAAAGTCCCCATGGTTCATCGACCGTTACGTGAGAGCGATAAAGTAAGTAATAGAAATCCATGCTATAGAGATGGATGGCTATAATGAAGACGTTTCATAGTCACCGCCCGTTTCGCCCTTCCACAAATAAGATCCACTTCCACTTGTAATTCAGCGACCGGTGGTCATCTTTGTTTTCGTCGTTTACCTTTTCTGTAATAGGTGTCACTACTTATACAATTCGTTATACAATTCCGATATGTTAATACAATCCGTTAACAGAGGGTAGCAGAATTTGTCTAAGGTGATGCGCAGCTCTAGAAAGAGTGATGCCAGATCTACAGATTTTATTGGAATTGGGGAAATAGGGAATTTTGCTTTATTTCTTGGGATTTTTAAGTCATTTTAAAAAGTATACTTAAATAACAACTAAATGAACTTTAAATGCAGCTGAGCACTATACTCTATTTGAATAACTTCTCAGTAGGGGAAACAAGGTCACTAGATTTACAAACAGAGGTATCTACTAGCTACTGTAAAAAGTTTTCTTTGTTACGCGTTGTGCTGCCATCTGTTAACGGATGGTATTAACATATCGGAATACCGAAGTCGAAATTGTATAAGTAGTGACATCTATTAAAGAAAAGCGAGACGACGAAAACAAAGATGACCACCGGTCGCTCAATTACAAATGGAAGTGGATCTTATTTGTGGAAGGGCGAAACGGGCGGTGACTATGAGACTTCATTATAGCCATCCTTCTCTATCGCCCGTGATTCATTCGCATTCTATGATTTACTTTATCGCTCTCACGTAACGGCCGATGAACCATGGGGACTTTGCGACCCTGTATACATACACACACATATATGCATATACACACATGTACACATATAGTATAAATACAGTATAAATATACTAATAAAATACAATAAATAACAATAATGTAACTATCTGTACTAACAGAATGTTATTTGTTTTAGTGCTCTCTTAAAGCTAGCTAGTGATACGCTAAATTTATCTATATTGGAAAATAAATTGTTGTAAATTCTGAACATTCTATTCAACGGCGAACTTTGTACAGAGTTAGTGTGATAAAATGACTCTTGGAATAATGTATTAATTCTAAAATTTCTGGGTGGTATATAAATATTTACAAGATTTAATAAGTTAGGAGAGTCAATTAGATTATTTAGAAGTTTGAACAAAAATATTACGTCATTCTGATCTCTCTTATTTTCTAAAGATCCAATTTTAAATGTTTGTTCTAGAAAAGCCGAATTCTGGAAAGTATATAGCCAGGGGTCGGCAAGTAATTTTAGGTGGGGTCCGGATACTTTGGAAATTTTGAACGAGGTCCAGAAAGAAAATTCATATTTCTAATTTTTTATTTTAATTTGAACTCAAATTTAATCTGCTTACTAAGTAAGAAGTCAAAACACTCACACAATTGTAAAATACTAGAAAAAATGATAAGATTGACACTTAAACGTAAAAAACATTTTTTAAATAATTTATTTGAGTAATTTATACTTTCAAAAAATTTTTGGCGGTCCAGTATTTTACCTTCCGCGGTCCGGACCTGGACCGCGGTCCGCCAGTTGCCGACACTTGGTATATACCATAGTCACTTTAAAATTTATGTATCTAAGAAATTTGTTTTGAATCGCTTCAAGACGGGAGTTATGAACCACATACTGGGGATTCCAGACGGTTGAAGCAAAATTTATCTTACTATAGACATAAACAAAATATAACTACTTTAAGGAATTTGCCCATCTAAAATCCTTAGATACTTTAATGGTAAACCCTAACATCTTACTACTTTTCAATGCAATGTAATCTATATGTAGGGAAAAAGTTAATTTCTATCAAAAATAACACCTAGGGCTTTTCCCCTGTAAGTAAGAAAGCCTTTCGTTATTAAAGTTATAGTCAAATCTAAATAAACTTTTATTGCGAGTAAAACAAATATAATAATATTTCTTGAAATTTAAATGTAGTTTATTCAACAAGCAGTAGCTATAAAATGTATCAAAATCATTTTGAAATAACATACAATCCGCAAGGTTATTTATTTTAGAATATATCTTAAGATCATCTGCATACATTAAAAAATTACAAAATTTAAAACATTTATTTATATAGTTTGTATAGATTAAGAATAATAATGGACCCAAGTGAGATCCTTGAGGCACTCCAGAAGTAACTGTGAATGAAAAAGAACGGTAACCATTAACCGTTACCAGCTGCGATCTATTGAAAACATATTATGTAGGCTATTTTAAAAACTTCCATGCACGCCGTTCTCAACCAATTTAGCTATAAGATTGTTGTGGTTGATTTTATCGAACGCCTTGAATCTACCTGAATTTGACAATCCATGTAGTTATTAATAGATATTGTAGGTGTACTTCAATGCTGGTTGGGGTTTTAGTCCACAGAGTAGTTGTTCCCACAGTTTAATTAGTTAAAATATCATGTGATGTTTGTTATCGTCCTTTCAAATTTGTTCTTAAACCAGAGGAAAAGAAACTAAAATTTATGTGTCTTGCAAACGTTAATTTTTTTACACACCGTTGTTGTGTTAAACTTTATATATTTAGGGCAAACTATAGAACTATTAATTTTAGTAATAGGTCTAAGAATATTTTAAAATTAGAGAAAATATTTAGTTTCTGCTTTTTTTAAGACAAATAAAATTAAATTTTCATGTACAGTGTCACAGGTGATATCTGCTAGTAAACAGACGAAATCCATGTCCGTTTGAAAATGGTATCTACTTATAAGATATTGCAGACATCTACTTCACACATGCATTACCACTAACACAAAGATATGAAGACAGATGGCATTAGCTATACGTATCTAAATCTAAAGGTTCAAGGGGAAAAGAAATATCGGTATTAATGTTGTAACGATAATCAATAACCAATTGTCTAGAATAATATGTAACCAATAACGATGTGAATCTACGTTAATGATTTTCTGCTGTTCAGTCTTATTTCTGAACTACACAACAAGTAATTTTTGATGTTATAGTATTTCCCAGCAGTGTGGTGTATTTTCCACCCCTTTTCGTTCAATATAAGCGGGCATACAACCCTCTTCTCGATTCATCTAGTCGTATCAGTTGCCAGTAACGGCACATGGATGGCGCTTTATTTATTGATACCACCGCATACTGGTTGTTACCTGAAAAATAACAGACTACGGTTTTTAATTGTTGCGGTAATGGTAAGCTTTGCAGCTTTATCTCGTAAAAGACTAAAACAGTTTGTTTCTAGGATTCAATAATTTTTTTAGAAAATTTTAATTAGGTTCTATTTATGCAGAAATCTACGTTGGGGACGTCCTTCCTAGACGTCAATGATACTTAACTTGTTTTGCAGAACTTGGCCAAAAAACTATGTACCAAAGTCCCGCCTATTATCAAGTGATGTCATTTCCACCAAAGAGTATAAAATTATCAGTCTCTTCTCCACCGAAGTGGAGAAACAGTTGCGCTCTTGAACTGCCATTGCAACTAACGTATATAATAAACTTTAGTTTGCTAATATACGAGTAAATTGTTCTAACAATGAGTTATGAATTCTTTAGTGCCTTCCTCTGTCTGTGTCTTCTATGTAAGTTATCCAATCATATTTTTAGCTTAAAATTAGCTTAAAATTCAGTTACTTTTATGGTAGAAGAGACGGAGTCTTACTATTTTATAATTCGCGATTCATACAATCGATCTCATAAGAAATTATATAAATATGTATAAACAATTACTCAATACATTTAAATGGAATTGTATCTTTATAAATATGTATATTAATTTCTAGTTAAAAATTAGGAATGGATATTAAGACGTGCGTGTTTACGAAATTATAGCAACAAGTAATATTACTAAAAAAAAAACTCGAAACAAGTTTCTCACGTGATTTTCATAATTATATTTTATTGTCTGGTATTAAGGTCTATCTAGCTGTAAACATCAACATATTTATCTGTAATTAATCTTGTCTTTTTTAGTCGCTCTGGACCTTCAAAGCGTTTCCTGCGGACTCGGGAATTCTACATACGTAAGCCGAAGTGGACAGAGTGAAAGCGATGAGTAAGATAAAATTTTTAACTTAGGTAATTCAAATCAAGTTTAAAAATTTCCCTATAATTAATTATAGGGAATTATAATTTCCCTATAACTTATACACAGGGTGTTTGCAAACTTAAACAGGATATTTGAAACGTAAATAAATTGAAGTGTGAAATGATTACCTAAAACTGAACTAGCTAATAATTTTTCTATTTGCTACAGAAATCGGGATACAGAGGGGACCACACGTCATTTACAGTCACCTATTCTCCACTATTTAAGTAGTATGTAAGCCGGGAACGATTCCAGTGGTTCTCAATAAATTCTAGAAATTTTAATTATTATTAATTTTAAGCACATTTTTGCATTTTCAACGATTTTGATTGTTGGAACTGTTTATTGTTAATGAATTCTACCTACAATTTAAAAAACCTCTTCAAGTTTGTAAGCATTCTGATTGCTCTTTGTCACCAACATCTAAGTGTGCTAAAACGCAATTTCAACTATTAATTAGTGACTAATAATATGCAAACGACTACTCTGCGGACTAAAGCCATAGAATTTGATGTCAAATGACTGTAGGCCATAATTTTAGGAACAGTTTAGGCTTTATTTGAATTAACTTACTACCATTTAAAATAGGGTGAATATTCGAAAGCTAACATTAAAAAAAATGTTATTAAAAAAGCAATTTAGTTAAAAGCACAAATTGGAAGGGATATTAGAACATGGTAGGCAAAAATAAAAGTAATAATTAGTATTAATCTATACACATTGTCATATTTTTTACATCTTGTATTTTGTATATTGTTTAATATCTATAAATATTCAGATATTATTTCCAGTTTTGAAACAGCAATCCTTAAAACTATTGTGGTTTATTTAAATATTTAAATAAGTCAAGTATATACTTTCTTATTAATAATATTTAGATAGATTATTATAACTTTTTTGTTTTAGATAATTACAAGGATAATTATTAATTAATATAAGTGAGATATAACTATAAAATACTAGATAAGGCGTGTAATTCATTCTTGGACGGGGCTATAATCCGCTGAGTAGTTGTTTCGTGCAATATCATTAGTGGTTCATTAAAGGCTTAGATTTTATGTTGTGTTTTAGCATATTTAGACGTTGTTATCAAAGAGCAAATATAACTTCATCAGAAGTTTAATATCTTACATAAAGTAAAAATATAAAAACTAAAAGGATCAAATCTGCCATTTGAGCACTGATTTTTAAACTATTTTCTTGAACATAAGATTTTCATTAAATATAAGGAAAATAGCAGAATCAATAACGAAAAGATAACTGTTAGAAAGACAAAACGTAATATTTTATCTCTAGTAACTACACAGCAGCTAGAGAAAAACCGCATCCATCGATATGGTTTCTTTTAAATACAGTTAACAATCATCTATAGACCACATTTTTTTGACAAATCATGGCTTATTTGCTTCTTTGATAATATACTTTTACAAAGTATATATTTTATTCCTACTAACTATTTGGAAAAACTAAAGTCAAAACTAACACTTTAATTCTAGTATCTTCATTTTTTTCAATGATTATTATTATTATTATTATTATTATTATTATTATTATTATTATTATTATTCTTCTTTGTTTTTTCTGGGCCAAGACTACGTCTATTAGAAACATAGAAACAGATACATTGTAAGTGCACTAGCCTCACCCGTTGCAATACTTTTAGGGCTACGTGTGAGTTACCACCTCACCCTAAATATGGAAGATGGTCTATTCTTAACGGAGAAGGAAGACCTGGTGACCACATAAAGCAAAACAGCGTGGTAAAGTTTGAATGCGATCCAGAGTACAAGCTGTCGTCTCGAAGTTCCTTCCTAATATGCGACGAGCATTGGAGTTTGTCCAAGATTCCGATTTGCGAGAGTAAGTGGAATCTACGAAACCGTTTAGCTTTCTAAATGGATCATAACTGAAAGACGCTGATCTCTTATTTACATTTTTTATGAAGAAATATATGAAATTTCACTGCATCGAAGTCGGAAGATGATTTTTTTTTAATTGCATGCATCTTCATTATTCAAATCTTTTGCTGAAAAGTATAATATTTATAAAAATTCGCTGTAAATAAATACTAGCTTCCGACAATCACAAATAGGTTTTAAATTTTACCGAAACCTGTTTCTTGGACATTAACTTACATAAATATATACCATATTTTTTAAAGCTACTGGAAAAGCATATAAAAATTACGAATTTTAAACATCTAGATACTTATTTTAAATATTGAAACAAATTAAACCTTTTTGTATTTTCTACATAATTCTTGCTACATCAAAATTTTCTCTGAATGTTGATTTTGCCTCGATTATTGTAGAAAAATGTTCACCTAAATATACATCACCCACGACAATTGTGAGATGTGAGGACAAGTACGGAAGAGAAGTATCATGCGACGAAGCAGTAGATGGAACTTATTTATCATATAACTGTATCCCCTTCTACGAAACTCCTTTTGGCTACAAGAAGACCATTCTCTGCGTGGAGGGCACTTGGAATTTTCCAAACCCAGTCTGCCAACCAGGTTAGTGGTTCTGTACTTTTTCTTAATTCCTACATTTTTCCCATGAAAAATCTTCTTAAAAATAAGCCTTAAGTACTATTTTTGGTTATAGTGTGCGGTAAAAAAATTGACAAAGACACAATAAAACTAGTAGTTGGAGGACAGTGAAGGAAAAAAGGGAATACCCATGGATCATTGCTGTATTCCAAAAATTGGGAAATGAATTTACCAACATATGTGGTGGAACGTTGGTTAGTCAACGGATTGTTATTACTGGTAAATGCGGATTTTCTGTCTATGACTTTCATTTAAGTAAACTTTTTGATTTTAGCTGCTCATTGCGTAGCAAACGATTTTGGAGATGAACAGCCTCCAGAAGCATTCATGGTGGGCGCAGGAAAATATTATAGTAAATTTAAAGATCCTAGAGACCAGGGTGCTCAATATTCAGAAGTACGATTTACAATAGATTTTTTATGATTTGAAAGGATGAATTTATGTCATCTTCATCATGTTCGTAAAATTTATTTTAATGGGAGTGACAGAGACTTCTTCAAGTAGTCGTTTTGAATGAACGAATAATGATTATCCTATATTCCAGTATAGTTAGTCTTATTTGGTAATACTTCTTTTTTTTTCCTTAATTGCAGATAGCTCGAGTTGTTGCGGAGCCAGGATACAAAGGAAATTCTCAACGTTTCTTGGCAGACATAGCTTTGCTTATAACTAAAGACTTGATAACGTTCAACGATGTAATCCAACCTGTCTGCTATCAGGATTTGTTCAACATTCACCTTCAAGCGGGAAAAGTAGGAGTGGTAAGGCGAGAAGAATATCTTAGATTACTACACAAGTCTTATGAAGTCGATATCTAGCTAATAATGACTTTACAATACTTTTAGGTAGCTGGATGGGGGAAGACTGAAAGCGGGAAGTATTCTGATGAGTTGAGAACGCTGGAAATTCCCTACAAATATGAAATCTCATGTTCACAAGAACTTCCCTCAAACTGGGCGGAAAAGTATAATACAAACGACAAAATCTGTGCAGGATTTGTCAACCAAAGCAAAAGTGTTTGTACGGGCGACAGCGGAAGCGGTTTGTACTTTCAAAACCCAGAAGATAACAGATATTATATTCATGGAGTGGTCAGCATTGCTCCAGCAGAGGATGGGGAGTGTAACCATCAACAAAACTCACTCTACACCAAGGTAGCACATTACTACGACTTTGTAGACCGACAAGTTACACGGCAGTACGTAGAGCAGTGTTCTCTACCATCGTACCCCAACAATGGAAAATGGATCATTCCAAAACAGGACAAGAAGCCAGGGGATATCGTACCTTCCAATACAGTGTTGAAGGTGGAGTGTAACCAAGGTTACGAATTGTCTTCTGACAGTGCTTTCATAGACTGCGAGTCGTCATATGCCATACCAAAATGTGAATGTAAGTTTTTGAGGCACTAACAAATTTAACATATCGTTAATCAATTGTGAATGCTGATGGAATTACATCTATTTCAGTGCTCTGTCCAAAGCTTGATTTCCCGGACGGCACCACTTACAAGTGCACCAGCAAGAGAGGAGATGACATAGATTGTTCAAAAGCAGTACACGGTAGCAGCCTCACCTATTCCTGTCCAGAAGGCTACAAGCTACCATCTCGCGGCAACAAAGTTAAGTATTGCAAAGGAGGATCTTGGGGACGTCATAAACCTAAATGTATAATGGATGATGATATCAAGCAAACAGTGGCTATCGAGGGAAAGAAAGTGGTGTGTACTTACGCGAGTTGGTCAGCCCATAGTGGAGTGTTTCCTGAAAAGTTCAACGCATTGTTATGTACCCATATCGTATACGCTTTTATTGGCATTTGGGAAAAAGGCGATGTGAGAGTACAAGAAGATGAGCTTGATCTTGATGGGGAGAGTAAAGGTAAACAAAACCTCACTCTGGCCTGTAGAACTTAATGTTTCTCTAGGAAATAGATATTTAATGCTTAAATAATGTTTGTTCCAGGTCTTTATCGAAGAGTTACTGATTTGAAAAAGGATAACAAAAATTTGAAAGTTCTGCTAAGCATTGGAGGTTCTGGAGCGGCAAATTCATCTCTCTTCTCTGACATGGCTGCCCATGATAGTAAAAAAGCAGGATTTATTCATAGTGCTCTATATTTCATTAAAACATACAATTTTGACGGTGTGGATATAGAGTGGTATTACCCAGAGCCAAGCGATAGTGTAAATATTGAGTCTTTAATAAAAAGTAAATGTAAAATTAATATCCATATTTTATTTCCTGTAGATTAATTACATAAACCTATTGCGAGATTTTAGAGAGAAATGTGATGAAAAAGGATTGCTTTTGACAGCTACAGTTCGACCTCATCTTGAAGGTACAGGATACGATAGCAAAGAAATGGCTAAGTGAGTACAACAGACTATTCTTTAATCAAATCTCCAGCCCCCAATCAATCATATTTTTGACTACAGTTATTACTAAAAAAAACTTTACTTTTCATTTGGAATATATGTAATTGTTATATAACTTAATTTCTTCGGTTGTAGGTTTCATAATATTATTGATATTTGTCTTATATTTAGGCTTTTGGACTGGGTGCACATAAAAAGTTATGACTTCTATGGCTCTTGGAGTGCATATACTGGCCATACTTCTGCTCTATATCCAGCGTCGATTGAAAATGATTGGGAGAAAAACCACCTCAACATCGAGGCAGCTGCGAGTAACTGGATTAAATCTGGAATGCCCAAATCCAAACTGATTTTGAGCATTGCTTTTTATGGCAGATCCTTTACTCTTAAGGACAAAAATCAACACGGCGTTCACGCGCCAATCAAAGGCGCTGGACCAGGCGATGTTGATGGATTCATTAGATACTCAGAGGTAATATGCACATTTCCTATGAGAAATTTCAAATATTCATTGGATTCTTTTTCAGATTTGCGCATTTAAAGACTGGACTTCGATGTGGGATGATGAACAGAAAAGTGTTTATTCGTATAAAGATGATAAATGGGTCAGCCATGAAAGTAAAGACACCGCCTGGATAAAGGCAAGTTGTACTTGAAAGTAAAAGTCGGATTTAAAGAATTAATTGCTTTTATCAGGGTGCCTATATCAAGGACAATGGATTCCTGGGAGTAAACGTGTGGCCCATAGATGGAGATGACATCCACGGCAAATGCGGATCAAAACAAATACTGCTGAAACATGTTCACGGGGGTTTAGGCAACAATCCCAATTTTGATGATTAGTGTGAACTTTTTTGTTATTGAATCAGACGGGGTACCATACGTGTTATACGTGTTGCGTATGTCTTTAACCCTGCTGTTAAAAATGTATTGGTGGATTTTCAACCAATGTTTGTTACGTCCAGGGTAATAAATTCAAAGACAAACTAAAAGAGAAATAGAATTGCTCAAATATAAATTTTTCTTTACAAATAATTGTTCAGTATAAATGTATGAGTTTTCCATAAGCTAGGCAAGTCATTCCATAGCGTAAATAACATAAGTGTGAAGGGGTAAATTAAAATTATTTTTAATTCAGTACAAGCATTCAGTTTACCTTCCTGCCGCTATTTGGGGGAAATCAGGGAATATGAAGGTGATCTGATGAAGGTGATTTGATGATTCTGAATAGTAGAACATATTTGAGAGTAAATTGCTTGAATGATTTTAATATGGTGATATATTTAATGTTTTATTTAATTCAAGCAGTTTGAAATTAGGGGGTGAATTTGAATGCCTGTCGAATTTAGATTTTTTTTATCTCATGTAATTTCTTAATAAATTTCAAAATAAAGATCAGGACCTACGGACACATGGTTTCCTTTCCAATATCTGGTTTAGCACATCAGTATCTAATATTCGTAGATTCCCGTAATTTTTCTTTTAATTAGAATTACATTTAAGTAATCATTTTTTATTCATATAAATATTCTTTTATTAATTTCTAATAGTTTTGAAATGTACGAAAATAAAATTATTTTAATCACATTAAGCAGTTTTCAACATACGAGGCATATCCACAAAATAATAGTACCCAATTTTTTAAAAATCGAAACGGTAGTTGAGTGTCCCATGGTGACAAGACATTAGACATATTTCAGAGACTTAATTTTGAAAATTTGGGCAATAGTGTTTTCGGGTATGCCCTTCTCAACTAAATTAATGGCGTCCACCTAACGCTTCCGGAATTTGACGTCATCTTCGTTATTTTAAATGGAACACCCTGTACATTGTTGCAGTTTTGGATTCTACGTCAATTTTTAGGTGAACTTTCATAAAGGTTCTTAAAGTTTTCTTTGACATATTTAATTAAAAAAATTACAAAAGATGTGTATTTTACAATAATAAAGTTGGGGCGATAAAATTTATAGGAGACATAACTAAAAGTCTAAGCTTCTCTGCCATAATTTCAAAATAAATAACTTAATTTCATACAGGGTGGTAGAAAAATCCCGAATTTAGTCAATTTTAAACCATCTTAACTTATTTTTTTAAATGGAATACCCTGTATATTTTCTTATTTCTTTCTCTTCCGAATGGTATAATGGTTCCCTATATACAGGGTGGCACAAAAGTATGGAAATCCCTGAATAACTCGTCAGGAGTATTTTCTTGAAAAATTATAAATACATATGTTTTACGATTTCTTCCCTGGCTATTCAATGGCGCCCTTGTATTCGACCTTGATCTTGACCTTCAAGGTCATTTCAAGGCCAAATTGATTTTTCAAATGGGAACCACTATTTTTTATTGTGGATTTGGAAAAGCAAGAAATTTTACGTCCAAATATGGTTTCGACCATGACTTTGAAAATGACCTTCAAGCTCAAATGTGGATCGACTTCCAAAAGTCCCGGTACGGTAGAACTTTTGAAGAATGTATTTTGGGAAAAAAAATGTTTTCAGACAATAGTGTAAGGATTTCTCCCTGGCTATCTGATGGTGACCTTGGATTTGACCTTGACGTTGACCTTCAAGGTTATTTGAAGGTCAAGTTAAGTTTTTTAAATGAGAACCCCTATTTTTTATTGCGAATTTGGAAAGAGCAAGGTCATTGTCAAAGTCATGCTCTTTCCAAATCCGCAATAAAAAAATAGGGGTTCCCATTTGGAAAAACAATTTTGACCTTGAAATTACCTCAAATGTCAAGGTCAGGGCCGAATACAAGGGCGCCATTGAATAACCAGGGAAAAATTCTAAAACCTTTGTATTTATCATTTTTCAAGAAAATGCACTCCTGACGAGTTATTCAGAGGTTTCCATACTTTTCTGCCACCCTGTATATCTTCTGGTTTTTAAGGTATTTACTGTTTTTCGTGCAGTCAACGGATATCGCATAATTTCTTGCGAGGATGGCTGTGAAATTGTTAGTGGAACTTCAAAACAAGTACCTAATCTGTCACCAGTTTTTTGAAATGAGGATATCATAAGCACCTATTGTTTGTCTTCAATTTGTCGCGATGGCTTACAAGAGAAATTATTGACATTTTCATTTTTACACAAAAATTATGTCATTTATTAATAGTTTTATGCAGACAATTTTTTTTCAAATGATTGTCATTGTAAGTGTAACGAGAATTTATACGTATATTGATCGATTTCAATCTATAAATGTAGTTGTTAACTTTGTTTTATCTGCACATAATATGAAAATATTTATTTTTCTGTTTATTTTTTTATGTTTTAAGATTGTTAGTAAATAACAGAAATGTTATTTTATGTAAAAATGTTTCCTTTTATAGGATGAAACTCTAAAGTGCGAATGATTTACATGTAAAAGGCAACATGTATTGACTTTATGATAGTTTAAATAAAATTGTGTTGCATTATTAGAAGAGCGACTTTTATTATTACAGAGATTGTATAAATATTATAATGGCATTGTTTATTACGTTTTGCAGTACACTTTTCAAAACGAGGAATAGATTTAAATGAGTTAAACGTGTTTTTCCTGAATAATACAATTTTGTATAATGGCATTTTAACAGTTATAGTAGTAGTAAAATAGTTGATACTGTAATTAATCACTAAAATTTCCGTTTATTGATAACCTAAAGTTCACTGATGTTTCTCCTATTTTCTATAACTTGTTTGAACGCCAACAACTCATTCTTGATCTGTTGTTAAATAAGATACTAAAGTACGTATTTGGGAAGGCCAAGATCAGTCCTTCTCCATCTATGAGGAGGAGCAAGACACAGTGTAAACAAACATAGCTTGCAGTGGAAATTTTTATATTATGAATCAGTGTTTTGTGTAGTTACATATAATAATGAATTACATCTCCTCTATTTTTCTTGTAAGCATATATTTACTTGGTAAGTTTTAGATTAGGTATCGAAAATAAAACATAAAATATTGTACATATCAAACAGAATTTTTGTTATTCTGTTCATTGCAGAGGCATTTATTAGAAACAAATACGATATTCTATAGTACTTTTAAACACTCGTTTTCGTTGTTATTCCAGGCTTATATGCCATAAATATTAATGTCAGTAACATCCGAGAACTGGTAACGAGTATTGTTTTCCTTTTTTAGTCGCTTCAGACCTTCAAATAGCCTCCTGTGAGACCCAACAAACAACATACTTAAGTCGATATAATCGACAAACCGGAAATGCTGGGTAAGAGTTTAATTTTTTATTCGTATTCTAAACTTTCTTATTATATTTTAAATCTTCATGGATAGCATAGGTAAGGCGAATAAAGGATATTAATTAATTAAATCATATTTGTTTGATAAATTATTGCTACTTTCTTCATCGTTACCTGACAACTTTTAGGATCACATGCGAACTACCATTACACCCAGTTAGTGGTAAATGGTCTATTATCAATGGAGATGGAAAACCAGGAGGTCATGTAAGCAAGAACACTGTCTTGCGGTTTGATTGTGACCCAGAGTACAAACTCTCATCCCGTTCTTCTTTTCTAATCTGCGACGAGAACTGGAATTTGTCCAAGGTTCCAACTTGTGAAAGTAGGTTGGCTATAATGTTGCCATAACACATTATTTTCTATATTTTTACATAATCACGAGGGATTAACCGCTGGGGAAATTCGGTGCACACTCATAAGGAAATGCAAAGATAAGGTATTCTATGTAAGACAAAAATTTCTGAAGAAATAAAGATAATGCAAAAGCAATACAATCGATCCATGGGAATTCTAGGAAGTACGAGGATATTTCAAAAGAAATTCCAGGTATTTTCCAATTCATTTATCCCATCAGTAACTGACCACCTTGTAGAGGGCAGGCATTAAAAAATTATGATGGTTCCAATTGTCAGTTTGTAATATGTTTGAGGCAGCTAACCAAATGTTTCAAGATTGGATCAAAAAGGCTGGATTATAGCTTGCAGCGTATTTTACTATATAAGACATCCGGTATCTACGTACGTTTTTGGACTATCTTCAGACTTTGTAAGGTATATTTGTGTATAAAATAAACAAATTCCAATGATAACTCAAGGGAAATTCCAGATAATGTATGGAAGATTCAGGAAGTTGTGGATAATAAACGGAAATTCTAGATAACTGGCAGAAATTCTAGGAAAAATTAATTAGTGAAAGAAAATACATAAGTATTACCCACGAAATGAAAATTTACAGAAAATAATGGGAAATAGAGTACATCACTTTGGCCAGCGGTTTCTCTCTCGCTTAATGATCATATTTCAACAAAAGTAATAACACATATTTTCTTAAGGAAAATGTCCAGCAAAGTACTCAACCTCGACCACCACCCTCAAATGCGAAGACAAGTATGGAAACGAAGTGACCTGCGACGAGGCAGTAGATGGAACTTACCTATCGTACACCTGTGCCCCCTTTTTCGAGACCCCCATAGGCTACAAGAAGACCATCCTCTGTATAGACGGTACTTGGAATTTTCCAAATCCAATCTGCCAACCAGGTAGTGTTTTGATATCCTTGATCCATTCTTGATTTTTCCTCGTTGGTTTGTTCGTAGTGTGCGGAAAAATAATTGAGAAATCCACAATACAGCTAGTAGTTGGAGGGACAATAAAGGAACAAAGAGAATATCCTTGGGTTATTGCTTTATTCCAAAAATTGGGAAATGAGTTCAGCAATATATGTGGTGCAACGTTAGTGAGCCAAAGGGTTGTTATAACTGGTTAGTAAATCTGAGTATATCGCTGTAGATTGTATTTTTTTACCAGCATAATCGTTATAATTTTAGCTGCCCACTGCGTGACAAATGATTTTGGAGACAAACTACGTCCAGAAGAGTTCACGGTTGGCGCAGGAAAATACTACAACAAATTTCGTGATCCTAGGGATGTTCGAGTTCAATACTCCGAGGTAGAAATTAACAATTTACTTTTACAGAGTTTGTAATAATAGTAATAACAAGTAAGCTAGCCGAAAAGTAGGCAATTATCTAGAAAAAAGATAATCTTCTATTGCATTTGAAAATCATATTTACAAAAAACTAATAATAAAAAACAATAATAATAACCGTAGGTAGCACGAATTGTGGTAAAATCAGGATATAGAGGAGCACCTCAACGTTTCCTGGCAGACTTAGCCCTTCTTATAACTAAAGATTTGATCACTATAAATGAAGTGGTCCAACCTGTCTGTTACCAAGATTTACCCAACATACATCTCCAAGCAGGAAAAATAGGAGCGGTAAGACTAACAATCTGTTCATATCCGCATTTTCTTAGTTTAGTTCTCAGAAAAAATTCTGCTACTGCAGTACAGTTTGATACAATTTCAGATAGCTGGATGGGGAAAGACAGAATCGGGTGAGCAACCAGACGAATTAAGAACTCTTGAAATTCCTTTCAAACATCAAACGACCTGCGCCCAAGAGCTTCCTTCAGACTGGGCCCACAGGTTCAACACCATCGATAAGATCTGTGCCGGATTTTTTAACCAAAACAAAAGCGTTTGCACGGGGGACAGCGGTAGCGGACTGTACTTTAAAAACCCCGAAGACAACCGATACTACATCCACGGTGTAGTCAGCATAGCTCCTGCAGAAAAGGGAGACTGCGACCCTCAGCAAAACTCTCTCTACACCAGTGTGGCTTACTATTATGAATTTGTGGATAGAGAAACCACCAAGCAGTACGTGCAGCAGTGTTCCCTACCCATGTATCCCAATCACGGAAAGTGGGTGGTACCTAAGCAGGATAGAAAACCCAGCGACATTGTTCCATCTAATACTATTTTGAAGGTGGAATGTGATGAGGGTTACGCATTGTCTTCTAGTAATGCTTTCATAGACTGTCAGTCAGCACACGCCATGCCACAATGTGAATGTAAGTATGAAATTTAATTTATTTTCTTAGCCGCAGTTTAATAGGTACTGGGTTTTTGAGAAAATTGTTTTAAAGTAAACGAATCACAAAATTATTTGTTATAGTGTTGTGTCCAAAGCTGAATTTACCGAAAGGCAGCATCTACAAGTGCAACAACGAAAGAGGAGCGGAAATAGATTGCACCAAAGCTACGGACGGGAGCAGCATCACCTACTCCTGTCCTGAAGGTTACAGAAGGGTACCTGGTGCCAGCAAAGTCGAATTCTGTAAAAAAGGATCTTGGAGAGGGCACAAACCCGAATGTGTAGCAGACGATGCTGAAAAACAAACCACTAACATTGAACAAAAGAAGATAGTGTGTACTTATGCAAGTTGGTACGCATTCGATAAAGTACTTCCAGAAGATTTGAACGCAACATTATGTACCCATATCGTATATTCTTTCGCTGGCTTTTTGGAGAAAGGAGACGTAAAGGCTCAAAATGAATTCTTTGAACTTGATCGAGATCAGACAGGTGGGTAACTGATTCAGTCTAAAGTATAGTCTACTAACATTATGCAAAACAATTTAATTTTCAATATTTTTAGGTCTCTTCCGAAGATTTACTGATTTGAAGAAGAAAAACAAGGATTTGAAGGTACTACTGAGCATCGGCCGCACTGATGGTACAGATACCTCGCTTTTTTCTAATATGGCGAATGATGAGAGTACAAAAGCTACGTTTATACAAAGTGCCTCCTCTTTTATCGAAACTTATAATTTTGATGGAATGAATATAGAGTGGTTTTATCCTAGGGACAAAGATAAGGTAATGTAGTACTGGAATACAAATCACAAAAACAAATGGCGGTTTTGTTAATTTATTTTCTATCTTGATCCATTTTTAAAATAACTTCTACCGTTGTCCGCAGGTGAGTTATACAAAATTGCTTCAGGATCTTAGAAAGAAATGCAATGAAAAGGGATGGCTTCTGACTGCTTCTGTTTACGCTATTCTAGATGAGACTGGATACGATGGTCCAGAAATGAGTAAGTAAGTATCGGTATCAAAGTCTAAATCACTCGGAATTACAAGTAACAAGAAAGTAAACAAACGTATTTAAATGAAGAGAGAAGAATGAAAATATGTAGAAGTGATTTTTTTAGGGTTTTGGATTTTATAATTATAAGAACCTATGATTACTATGGACCTTGGAGTCCCTACACAGGCCAAAACTCCGCTCTTTATGCATCACAGGTAGAAAGCAGTTGGGAAAAGAACAACCTAAATATAGAAGCAGGTGTGATGAATTGGTTAAAGCTTGGCGTATCGAAATCGAAGATTGTTCTAACCATCGCGTTTTACGGCAGGTCGTTCACTTTGAAAGACAAAAACCAAAATGGGCTACACGCACCTTTCACAGGTGTTGGTTTAGGAGATGGATTCCTAAGATATTCAAAGGTGACAAATAAATGAATATACAACGAGAAGTAGATAAATTAATTTTTAAACGATTTATTTCTCCAGATGTGTACTATCAAGAACTTCAACAACTGGACCTCAGTTTGGGACGAAGAGCAGAAGAGTATATACTCGTACAATGAGGACCAATGGATTGGACATGAGAGCAAGGACACTGTTAGGATAAAGGTATCTAAAGTAAAACTTTGAATAGTCATTTAAAAGAATTATTTTACTCCATCTCAATGTTTTAATTTTTATGTAAGTATGACTTAATGAATTCAAAAATTATTATGAGAAAATCCCTGAAAATTTTTGACACTTGATTTTTTTTAGGCTGCTTATGCCAAAGACAACGGACTGTTAGGAGTAAACGTTTGGCCTATCGACGGAGATGACATCTACGGAAAATGTGGGACAAAGCATATATTACTGAAGCACGTTCACATAGGCCTAGGAAATTTAAGCTTTGACGACCAGTGATAATCATTTTTGTTAATATTAAATAGAAGCTTGCATTCACAGTTATTATTCGAATTATTTAAAATAAATATATTTACAATTTAGAATAACGTTATTAGTAAAATTTTAATTGAAGCATTTGGGGAAATTTCTGTGGTCTTAATGTACAGTGCTATTAATAGCAATTTGAGACACATTTCCTATCTGCTTAATAGTCGGGGAGTCAGGGTAATTATGTTGGATGTTCATTTTATACAGAATTTTGTAATCGGTAAGTAATGGAATACTTAAGATAACCATAATAAAGTCTCTAATACGAGGGAGGTCGGGAAGGTCGTTGTTATTGCAAAATAAATTACAAAAATGCATTTTTTTTACATTTTCTTGAATAGCTCTTCTACTATTGGTTTTAGGAAAAAAGTAATAATATAAAAGTTGTTCAGAATCAAATTTTGTTTTTCAATTGCGAAATTGTTTAAAAACGTCAATAAAACTGAAAAATTTATATATCAAGAAAGTAAGTATAAAAAATGCTTAATTGTTACTGAAACTGCACTGGAGGGTGTCTTTTGGTTAGTAGAACGTAATCCCAAGGCAATTTTCCTATCTCAAAATGGCGGCCTATTGCAAAATTATTTGTCCATAAATTTCAAGTGGCTACGAAAGCGTGTTTTTAAATAAATTGATGAAACCAATTGGAATCGTTAGCTTATGATGTACTTATTAAATGCTCAAAAGGGATTTTTTTTAATTGCAGTTTAACAACATTTTTAACAATAAATGTCCGTCGTTAAGACCGTATTTCAGCGAGTTTATAATTTTGAGAATCGCGACAAATTGCATTGTAATGCATGTAAAAAAACATGAAATTAAAAAAAAATCAGACCAATAGAAGCCGAGATCGTCAACTTTTAGTAATTGATCTACTTACCCCAGACTGGCCAAAAAATGCCTTGAACAGGGGAAGTGATTTTGGCGCATTTGGGCGGTTGGAGAGGATCGAGGTAGCGTGACATTATGTTTGCAGCGTATCATCCTCAAAAATTGGGATGGAGGAGAACCGGTGGGTGGAACAGATCAGAGACGGGTGTAATCCCTTTTGTGGTTGGCTCTTGACCATTAGGAGGAGGGGAGTATTGGAGTGAGGACGGCGTGACAATATGTTCGTGGGTTATCTCCCTTGAAAATGGGTGATATGAGTTTAACCCCTCTTTGGGGCAGTTTTTGGCCGGTTTAGGGGGGATAAGTGTGCGAGTAGCTCGACAGTATGTTCACGACGGGAATTTTATTCTAGAGGCCAAAAATAACCACAGCAATTTTCAATTTTAACCGAGACCACTTTTTAATGTAATTAGTGCGAGTTGTGTCACCTGATGCATTACATCACAGTGGTTGTTGTAAGACAGTCATCCGATGCAAACTTAGCATCTCCAATGTTATAAATATGATAAAAACTCTAATTCCATGTTCAATTTTGCTTGCTTCTGTAACAATAATGTTCCGCTGGTTAATACATTGTTTTCATTCCAAAAAAGTGTCTTACTCAAGGGGAATTAGATCATAAAACCTGACAAATCTGAAAAAATTATTAGTACACATTTTATTGCACTTCATAAGAAGAAAGAAGTAAATTAAGAATTATTTCCTGCAGTTGTAAGAGCAGTTGCACAACACAAAGCTGTAGCTGCAGGAAACATGGCTTAAAAGGTACGAAAATTTGCATAAATTGCCATGGCCAATCGAGCGAAGACGTAGACAAACCTATAATCGAGAAACTGCAGTTTGAAAAGACACATTTCATACAAGACGAAGAAGATGGTGATGAATTCATTCCTGCCAAAAAAAGTAGAAGTGACTAATGGTAAATTACATTTTTTATAATAAAAGTTTTTATTTTTATAAATATAAATCATTATATTTAAAAAAGTTATGTTGGGAACAAAGAGGTGTAGGTGATTTCAATTTTTTTAAATTACCTTAAAAATAAGCTCTATGTAATGCAGAAAAGGCGAATTCCCTAGCAGCTTTTGCCTGACCCTGGGACAATTTGTTTATAACATTGTTTTGTACGGCCTACTTTGTTAGTTGTAAAGGGCAACTTAATTTCAACTTTTTGAAATTTTTCTTTTTCGATACGTTTCTACGGATCAATTAGAACCTATATCTACGTTATTAACTTCTAAAATAACGGTTGGTAATTAAACAGTTAGTTGCAAAAAATCGAACGAAATCAATTAACAAATAGCTGGAGCAACAGTTTCACAGTTAATCAAATCGGCCTTTGGCACACTTGTTGGTCTTTGGACTGACCGCCTTTTCCATAAACTTCAACATCCAACACTTTTTGCAATAATAATGCGCAATTTTCGAAAACTGAACAATTAGTTTTCCGGCATGTCGTCTAGATTTTCATGGACAGTAAAAAACGTGAAGAAACATGTAAATTTGCCAACTTAGCGACACTTCTTTTGAGTTACTTTTTTGATAGTAATAATTTTTTCACGTTCAAACTCTAATTCGACTGGAGTATTTTCCGTTTGCTGATAACCTAAAGTTCATCCACGCGTCGCTGATATTTTCTATAACTTGACTGGGCTCCGGCGACCCATTCTTGATCTGTCGCTAAAAGTATAATAAAGTGCGTATTTGGGAAGACCAAGATCAGTCCTTCTCCACCTATGAGCGGTTGAAATTTCTATATCAAATCAGTGTTTTGTGTAGTTACATACAATAATGAATTACTTCTCCTTAACTTTTCTTATAAGCATATATTTACTTGGTAAGTTTTAGATTATCGAAAATAAATATATGAGAATTTTTTTATTTTGTTCATTACAGAAGTTCTTACTAGAAACAAATACGATATTTTATAGTACTTTTAAACAGTCGTTTTCATTGTTATTTCATGTTTATATACCATAAATATTAATGTCAGTAATATCCGAGAACTGGTAACGGGTATTGTTTTCCTTTTTTAGGCACTTCAAATCATCGAATATCCTCCTATGAGACCAAACAAACAACATACTTAAGGCGATATAGCCGACAAAGCGGAAATGCTGGGTAAGAGTTAAATTTTTTATTCCTATTCTAAACTTGCTTTCTTATCATATTTTAAATCTTCACTGAGAGCATAGATAAGGCGAATAACGGAAATAGGAAAATGTAGTAATTAAATTATGTTTAATTGATAAATTATTGCTACTTTCTTCATCGTTATCTGACAACTTTTAGGATCACATGCGAACTACCATTACACCCAGTCAGAGGTAAATGGTCGATTATCAATGGAAATGGAAAACCAGGAGGCCATGTAAGCAAGAACACTGTCTTGCGGTTTGAGTGTGACCCAGAATACAGACTCTCATCCCGTTCTTTTTTACTAATCTGCGACGAGAACTGGAATTTGTCCAAGGTTCCCACTTGTGAAAGTAGGTTAGCTATAATGTTGCCATAACACTTTATTTTCTATATTTTTACATAATCGCAAGGGGTGAATCGCTAGGGAAATTTGGTGCACACTGCACACTCATAAGGAAATGCAGAGATAAGGTATCCCATGTAATACAAAAATTTCTGAAGAAATAAGGATAATGCAAAGGTAATACAATCCATTCAGGGGAATTCTAGGAAGTACCAGAAAATTTCAAGTTAAAATTCCAGGTATCTCATTTGCCCCAGCAGTAACTGATCACCTTGTAGGGGCAGGCATTAAAAAAATATATGATTCTAATTGTCAACTTGTAATATGTTTGAGGCAGCTAACCAAACGTTTCAATATTGGACCAAAAAGGCTAGAGTTATAGCTTGCAGCGTATTTTACTATAGTAGACATCTGGAAATACGTGTGTTTTTTGGATTCTTCAGACATTGTATATTGTGCATAAAATTACCAAATTGCAAAGATAACTCGAGGGAAATACCAGATAATGTATAGAAATTTGAGGAAGTTCTGGAAATTAAAGGGAAATTCTAGATAACGGGGAGAAATTCTAGGAAAAACCAGGTAGTGAAAGAATATACATAAGTATTACCCACCAAATGAAAGTTTGCAGAAGATAATGGGAAATAGAGTAGGTATATCAATTTGGCCAGCGATTTCCCTCTTGCCTAATAATATGTAATTCAACATATTTCAACAAAAGTAATAACACACATTTTTTTAAGGAAAATGTCCAGCACAGTACTCAACTTCGACGACCACCGTCAAATGCGAAGACAAGTATGGAAACGAAGTGACCTGCGACGAGGCAGTAGATGGAACTTATCTATCGTACACCTGCGCCCCCTTTTTCGAGACCCCCATAGGCTACAAGAAGACCATCCTCTGTGTAGACGGTACTTGGAATTTTCCAAGTCCAATCTGCCAACCAGGTAGAGTTTTGATATTTTTGATCCATTCTTGATTTTCATTGGATTGGCCGTAGTTTGCGGAAAAATAATTGAGAAAAACACAATACAGCTATTAGATGGAGGAACAATAAGTGAACAAAGAAAATATCCTTGGGTTATTGCTTTATTCCAAAAATTGGGAAATGAGTTCAGCAATGTATGTGGTGGAACACTAGTGAGCCAAAGGGTTGTTATAACCGGTCAGTAAATCTGAATGTGTCGCTGGAGATTGTGGTTTTTTACCAGCATATTCGTTTTACTTTTAGCTGCCCACTGCGTGACAAATGATTTTGGAGACAAACTACGACCAGAAGAGTTCATGGTTGGCGCAGGAAAATACTACAACAAATTTCGCGATCCTAGGGATGTCCAAGTCCAATATTCCGAGGTAGAAATTAATGACTTCCTTTCACAATAATAGTAACAACAATAATTAAACTAGAAGAAAAGTAGGCAATCTATTGCTTTTACTATTTTACTATTTTTTTTACCATATAAAATAATAACTGTAGGTGGCACGAATTGTGGTAAAATCAGGATATAGAGGAGCCGCTCAACGTTTCCTGGCAGACTTAGCGTTGCTTATAACTAAAGATCTGATCACTATAAATGAAGTAGTCCAACCTGTATGTTACCAGGATTTACCCAACATACATCTCCAAGCACGCAAAATAGGAGTGGTAAGACTAATAAACTGTTCATACCCGCATTTTCTAAGTTTAAAAAATTCTGCTACTGCAGTACAATTTGACACAATTTTAGATAGTTGGATGCGCAGAGACAGAATGGGGTGAGCAACAAGAAGAACTAACAACTCTTGAAATTCCTTTCCACAATCAGACGACCTGCGCCCAAGAGCTTCCTTCAGACTGGATCCACAGGTTCAACACCATCGATAAGATCTGCGCTGGATTCTTTAACCAAAACACGGGTGACAGCGATACCGGACTGTACTTTAAAAACCCCGAAGACAACCGATACTACATCCACGGTGTAGTCAGCATAGCTCCTGCTGCAGAAGGAGATTGCTATCCCCAGCAAAAGTCTCTCTACACCAGTGTGGCTTACTATTATGAATTTGTGGATAGAGAAATCACCAAACAGTACGTGCAGCAGTGTTCTCTACCCATGTATCCCAGTCATGGAAGATGGGTGGTACCTAAGCAGGATAAAAAACCCTGTGACATTGTTCCATCTAATACTATTTTGAATGTGGAATGTGATGAGGGTTACGCATTGTCTTCTAGTAATGCTTTCATAGATTGTCAGTCGGCACACGCTATGCCACAGTGTGAATGTAAGTTGATGTTTATTGCTGTCCCTACTTAGCTCCACTTTAATACTGAGTTTCTGAAAAATTTTTGTTTTAAAGTGAACGAATCACAAAATTATCTGTTATAGTGCTGTGTCCAAAACTGAATTTACCGAAAGGCACCACCTACAAGTGCAACAACGAAAAAGGAGCGGAAATAAATTGCTCCAAAGCTACGGACGGGAGCAGCATCACCTACTCCTGTCCTGAAGGTTACAGAAAGGTACTTGGTGCCAGCAATGTCGAATTCTGTAAAAATGGATCTTGGAAAGAGCGCAAACCCGAATGTGTAGCAGACGACGCTGAAAAACAAACCACTAACATTGAACAAATGAAGATTGTGTGTACTTATGCAAGTTGGGACGGACTTAATAACGTACTTCCAGAAGATTTGAACGCAACGTTATGTACCCATATCGTATATTCTTTCGCTGGCCTTTTGGATAAAGGAGGCGTCAAGGTCCAAAATGAATTGTTTGAATTTGATCGATATCATAAAGGTCTACCAACATCATACTATGCAGTAAAACCACATATCTAACCCATATGCGACACTCCTTTGATAAGACACAAATGCCGCTGTTGACCCTGTCAATTTAAACTGGATGCTAAACGTTGCCAGATTGAGCAATAAAAATTGATATCTGAAGAATGTTGAAAGTTTTAAATATTGATTGAACATGAACATAAAACGCTTACACCTATATTTATCATAATTTTCACTAAACGGGATGATAAATTAGGTAACTAATGTATTAAAATAAAATTGCTAAATTTTTTATTGAAATTGCACATATTTAATTTTACATTTTTTATTTTTCTTAAAATTTTGATTAATAGATTTTATATGATAGTAAATTCGCAGCCTTACAGTAACTTTACTAAATAGTCCAAAGGAAAATTTGGACAGGGATGTTGATCTCCGAGGTAGATCTTTACAAAAATTATAAATGAGACTTCCTGGGTAGTTACAAATACAATTATCAATCAAAGAGTGACCGCAAAATCCGCCCGTTTTTGCGTAGTGTGTAGCAAGAACGGGGAAGGTTGTACAGAGGTCTCCGTGGGCTTAAATTGATCGTCATGAAAAATCTAGGTGAGCATAATTCGATTTTTCCAATATTTGCCCGACTTACCCCTACTTAAGGGGTGGAAACCACCCCTAAAACAAGAAAAATGAGAAAATAGTCGATAAATTATTGGTAAAATTGGGGGAATTTCACATGGCAAAGGGTAAAATCAGGAATGTCCTTCTAAAAATGCTCATGATAAACACACCCCACGTGGGGGGTGTTTTTCATCTTGAGCATTTTTAGGAGGGCATTCTTGATGTTACCCTTGCCATGTGGAATTCCGCCAATTTTTACCCAGATTTTGGTGACCATTTTTTCTGTTTTCTTGTTTTAGGGGTGGTTTCCACCCCTTCAGTAGGGGTAACTGATCAGAATCCGACAGAAGAACGAATTATGGGGGCATGTATTTCATATCATTTGGATTTATAAGGCAGAGTGGCACAAAAAAGGCAATTCATGAAGGGAACATCATTTGCCGCCGGTTTTCGGCAATAGGGGTGGTTTTACCCCCACACGGGGGATGTTTTTCACCTTGAGCATATTTGGAAGAACATCCCTGATCTCTTCCTTGCCATTCAAATTCCCGCCAATTTTTACCAAGAATTGATCGACCATTTTCTCAGGTTTCTTGTTTTAGGGGTGGTTTCCACCCCTTAAGTAGGGGTAAGTCGGACAGATATTGGAAAAATCGAATTATGCTCACCTAGATTTTTCATGACGATCAATTTAAGCCCACGGAGACCTCTGGACGACCTTCCCCGTTCTTGCTACACACTACGCAAAAAAGGGCGAAAAAATGAGGTTTTTTGCGTTTACTCTTTGTTATCTCACTGAGTAATGAAAATAGAAAATATGTTATTTTAGGGATAGTAAACATCCAAATGCTGTTACATTAGTGCTGTAGTTAAGTATGTAAATTTGAAATCGTTTTACCCATTATGAATTCTGGGCATTCACATGTTTCTATTGATATCTAAAAGAACAATTTTTATTATAAACATTTTATATTTAAATAATTTTTAATAATTTATAAGGAATTTAAGATTACCTATATAGAAAGTAATACACTGATTTAGGCATCATTTGAACTGCCATTCATTATGCCTTCGATATAACAATACTCGACTAATGATTGTTAATTAAAACACCAAAGTTTTAAAAATAAATAACTATAAATCCACTGATTCGCAGATAAAAACGGTTCATACGGGTAACATCATTTTATGGCCAAAATAATCAACATTTTATTTTACTGTACAAAATTTATATATCCTTAAAGTTTTATATTTCATATATATTCTGTTTATTGCCGAAATAATAGTAAATCAGAAAATATCATCTGACATTTTCACACAGCTGTTCTGTTTCGAATTATACCCCAATATTCTATTCGTGTTGCACAAATTGGCTCTTCCTCTCTCAGTGTCGCATATGGGTTAGATATGTGGCAAAACAGTGGTTTTGAATGAAATGAAATGTCATTTTCGATATTTTTTAGGGTATTTCCGAAGATTTACTGATTTGAAAAAGAAAAACAAGAATTTGAAAGTACTTCTGAGCATCGGGCGCACTGATAGTAAAGACATTCTGCATTTTTCTAATATGGTGAATGATGAGAGTAAAAAAGCTACGTTTATAGAAAGTGCCTCGTCTCTTATTGAAACTTATAATTTTGATGGAATTAATATAGAATGGTTTTATCCTAAGTACATAGATAAGGTAATGCAATATTATAAAGCAAATCACAAAAAAAAAGGAAATAGTCTTTCACTTTGTTGATCCTCTTTTAAAATATCCTCTACCGTTGTCCGCAGGTGGGTTATACAAAACTTCTTCAGGATCTTAGAAAGAAATGCAATGAAAAGGGATGGCTTCTGACTGCTATTGTTTACGCTATTCCAGATGGGACGGGATACGATGGTCCAGAAATGAGTAGGTACGTATCAGTATCAAAGTGTAAATCACTTGAAATTACAGAAAATAAATATATATTGAAATGAAGAGAGAAGTATGGAAATACAAATGAATGTTTTTAGTGCTTTGGACTTTATAATTATAAGAACCTATGACTACCATGGGTATTGGAGTTACTATACGGGCCAAAACTCCGGTCTTTATGCATCATCGGTAGAAAACATTTGGGAAAAGAACAACCTAAATATAGATGCAGGTGTGAAGAATTGGCTAAAGCTTGGCGTACCGAAATCGAAGATTGTTCTAAGCATCGCGTTTTATGGCAGGTCGTTTACTTTGAAAGACAAAAATCAAAATGGGCTACACGCACCTTTCACAGGTGTTGGTCTAGGAGATGGATTCCTAAGATATTCAAAGGTGACAATAAATGAATATACAACGAGAAGTACATAAATTAATTTTTAAACGATTTATTCCCCAGATGTGTACTATCAAGAACTTCAACAACTGGACCTCAGTTTGGGACGAAGAGCAGAAGAGTATATACTCGTACAATGAGGACCAATGGATTGGGCATGAGAGCAAGGACACTGTTAGGATAAAGGTATCTAAAGTAAAACTTTGAAAAACACTTAAAGTCCTTTAAAATAATTATTTCGGTCTATCTCAATGCTTTAATGTTTATATAAGTATGACTTAATGAATTCAAAAATTATTATAAGAAAATCCCAAAAAATGTTTATCATATGATTTTTTTAGGCTGCTTATGCCAAAGACAACGGACTGTTAGGAGTAAACGTTTGGCCTATCGACGGAGATGACATCTACGGAAAATGTGGGACAAAGCATATATTACTGAAGCACGTTCACATAGGCCTAGGAAATTTAAGCTTTGACGACCAGTGATAATCATTTTTGTTAATATTAAATAGAAGCTTGCATTCACAGTTATTATTCGAATTATTTAAAATAAATATATTTACAATTTAGAATAACGTTATTAGTAAAATTTTAATTGAAGCATTTGGGGAAATTTCTGTGGTCTTAATGTACATGCTATTAATAGCAATTTGACACGCATTTCGTATCATCGCACCGAGATTGCTTAAACCATTATTCACTAACCAGTCAAACTTGTGGCTTCATAAGAATAAACGAAAACAATTTTATCTTGACCTTGTCTTTAGTGTTTTGGAAACAAATTTAACTAATTATTAATAATCGCGTCCTCTTAGCGCACAGTGAGCTGATTTTATTATGAAAAACGATCATTTCAAAATCGTTTTTCTTTATTTTTACTTATTTCTTGGTAAGTTTTTTCATATTTACGAAAGGTAATTAGTTTGAAGAAAGAATTGTTGTAGAAGGATGTGAATTATATCAAATATCGTCTACTGTCAAAAACACGACAATAAAACGAGTTCAGAGGTTTGCTGAGAACAACAATGTGTAAGTATTTTTGTATAGTCTTGGTTAAGTTTTCGAGATATAGATATTTCCTCATATTTAAGGGAAAATATAACACACATTTTAAAAACAGCAACAAGAAGTTATTGACCTCAATGACATCAGAGGTATATCCCATTATTACTATACAGGATGAGTCTTATTAAAGTGTAAAAAATGTAAGCACAGCTTTTTCTGCGTATATCCCTCAGTACCAAAGTGCTTCTTTTAAATGTTCCAATTGATTGATTTTTACACATAAGTATGACTCATATATTCATATAGCAATATTAAAAAAAAAACTTATGTATTAACTAGTTGTCTTTGCTTTTAAATAAACACATAAAATAATTGAAGAAATAAAAATATGTCATATTTTTTTTTATAAAAACAAAATAAAACAAACTAAATTAAATTAAAACAAAATGATATTAAATAAAAATAAAAGGCGGGTAAATAAAAGTAAAAGTATAATAAAATATTGAAAGTTGTTTTAAATACAGGGTGTTATTTAAGTACATGGCTAAACTTCAAGGGGTCATTCTTTGAGTGATTCTAAGGCGAAAAGTTTATTTAAACAAAGTTCCGGTAATGCTTTGTTTTCAAGATACAGGGTGTCAAACTTTAAAAAAAAATCGTTTTTACGTAAAAATCTTAATCCGTTAGCCGATTTTGTTACAATTTAACAGTGTTATTTATTGTAGAAATGAGTTAATTTAGCTCTAACTAGATTAAAATTATTAAGTCCAGTGGCGTCCCGGGGGCACCTTAACCAATATTTTTTACAAGAAAAATGTGCGCCACTGACTTTTTTAAAAGTTTTATAAACTAAGCATCTAAAAATACAACTTTCTTGGCCCTTGAATATTTTTCCCTGTCTTTTCGTTGTCCCTAGGACAATATAATAAAAAATTAAAACTACCGAGCTATCAAAAACTGGGATGTACCTGTTATTTTTTTCCATATTAATAGTTTATTCTAGTCTTACAAATTGTTATAAAGAATAATTGTTGTCCATGGACATACAATGCATTTATTTATGATTAAGCAATTAAAATTACACCAAAGTCATATTTTGAATTTTTTTCGCTAGATTAACTGTTTTCGAATTTTTAAAAAAGTTTGACACCCTGTATCTTGAAAACGAAGCATTACCGGACCTATATTTATATAAACTTTTCGTCTTAGAATCACACAAAGATTTACTCCTTGAAGTTTGGCCACGTACTTAAATAACACTCTGTATATCAATCTACAGCACAAGAATATGCAATCTACTGTTAGTGTAGTGAAAGAATGCAAAAATGGCGTATTTTGAGGGTTTTCAATCTGAAATTTTTATTTATATACCTCCCCCCTATTTTAGAAGATGCTGATCATGAATATGATGATCACAATTCTCCCCAATCCTTGCAACCTCCTAGAAAGGGCCAAAATTATTTTATGAATCTGATTTTATGAAAAAACATATTTTATCCCTTTTTTAACAGATTTTTCAATGATATTCACCCCGATATTCATGATCAGCACCCTCGAAAATGGGAGATTACCTTGTTGGATTCTTTAAAAACAGATTGGGGTAGTTTTGGCCCCCTTCTAAGGTAAGACTAGTTTTGAACCGTTCAAGGTGGCTGTGAGTGTTGGGGAGGATCGTGATCAACATCCTCGATAACGGAGGGTAGAGTTACGGAGTTTATCTCTGGGGCCCCATATAAAAAAAGAGTGGTTTTTAACCAATAGCGATGCGCAGAGTTATAAATCGGACATCAAATTTGGATTCACCACCCTCGAAAACGGGGGACGGAGCGTTGGTTTCGTAGCTGCAATACTTCCCTACCTTCGACATTTTTTCACTACTACACTACTACTACTACAAAAAAGTTATATAACTTATTATAGTTACTAGTATTGGACTACGAGAAATCCAATGTTGACAGATTTTTATTTTTGTTACAACTCTTCAGATTTTATATTAATTCTAAGAAGATCTTCTATTAAGATAGGAAATTATAGTTTTCTTCCATTGCAGAATTTCTTGTAAGCTTCCATCTTACCCAGAGAATGGGAAATGGTCCATTTTTGGAGGTAGCGCAAGCCCAGGACAACACGTAAGTGTAAACACTGTTTTGAAGTACGAATGCAATGCTGGCTACAAAATTTCCAGTTCAACCCCGTATGTAATTTGTGACCAAAACTGGGATTCATCAAAAATGCCAGAATGTGAAAGTAAGTAAATGGTAAGGTCTAAACTTGTTCATATGTGATGTCGCCAACAAAAATAATTATTTTAAAATAAATGAATTGAATTGACTTTATTTAGAACTGTGTGCTCCTATGTATTCATCGACTACGACTACTGTGAAGTGTGTCGACAAAAAAGGTATCGAAATCAACTGCCAAGAGGCTACGGAGGGCAGTGTCCTAACTTATCTGTGCACCCCCTTCTATGAAACACCATTTGGATTTAGAAAGACAATACTGTGTCTGGATGGATCGTGGAACTATCCAAAACCTGTATGTCAGCCAGGTACAGAAAAACATAACTTTCAAATAAAAATATTCACGTTCTTCAAGGAACCCTTATTATTGATTTTATTATTAAATGGATGCTTCACCTAATTTTAGTATGTGGAAGAAAGGTTAATGACGATGCTATTCCGTTAATATATGGTGGTAGAATTCAAAAAGGTTTAGAATATCCTTGGGTTGTGGCACTGTACAAAAAGGATGACGACTCGTATACAAACATATGTGGTGGGTCATTGATTTCTCAAAGGGTAGTTTTAACTGGTTAGTATTACAGACTTTTTCTATCTAAATTTATTTTTACTCCTAGGACTTGTAAATTGAGGTAGCTATTTGCTAATGTAAGTGACCATTATTGGTTTTTAGCTGCCCACTGTGTGACAAACGAATACGGCGAGTTGCCACCAATTGAAAACTACATCGTTGGTGCCGGGAAGTTTTACAACAATTTTAATGATTCCAGAGACGTACAAGCTCAATATTCCCAAGTAAATATAAAGAGGCTAAGTTGAGGTAACAGTTTAATTCTTGAAAACATAAGATTGCTTTTAGATTTCCCGCGCCATAGTTCACGATGGCTACAAAGGAGATCGCAGACGTTTCTTTTCCGACATAGCTTTACTTGTAGTTGCAAAGTCCTTCAGGTTGACATATTTAGTACAGCCGATCTGTTTCAATGATGTCAATAATATTCACCTTCATGCTGGCAACATTGGAGTGGTAAATTGCGTTTGAAATAAATGATGATACCTTCCATAATATTCTCTTTTTCAGGTGTCTGGATGGGGAGTTAAAGAAGACGGTCTACCTTCTGAAGAACTTAGAGTGTTGGAAATCCCTTACAAATATGAAACTACATGTGCCCAAGAGCTACCCAGGGAATGGGCGGATAAATATAATGCTATCGACAAAATTTGCGCGGGATTTTTAAATAAAAATATGAGTGTTTGTCGGGGCGACAGCGGCAATGGGTTGGCTGTTAAAAATCCTGAAGATAACAGGTATTATATTCACGGGATTGTTAGTATAGGTCCGTCTGAGAAAGGTGAATGCAACATCCAACAGAACTCTCTGTACACTAAGGTAGCTTTCTATTATGAATTTATTGATAAAGAATTAAGTAGATACAGTGTAGAAGACTGCATATTACCTCTTTACCCAAAACATGGTTTGTGGATTACTAGCGAGACAGAGAAGAAGCCTGGAGAAAATGTTCCTGCTGATACAGTTATAAAATTGAGTTGTAATGAAGGATTTACCTTGTCATCGGATGTTCCGGATGTCCAGTGTAAGCAAACAGCATTTGACATGCCAACTTGCCAGCGTAGGTATAAAAAAATATATCGTACTCCTACAATCAAAGTGTTTTCATTATAGCTATTTGTCCAGCCCTCGTTTTCCCACTATCGACTATAACTAACTGCAAAGATCGAAGAGGTGAAATCGTTAGTTGCTCGAAAGCCACCGATGACACAATACTGACGTACGCTTGTCCTGAAGGCTACCAAAGTCCCAAAGGCCCCAAGGGAACCAGTAAATGCGTCGGTGGCTCTTGGGAAGCCCCAGTACCAAAATGTCAACAAGTTAATTCGCAAGGAGGAAAAAACGTCGACCAAGCTTCTCCAAAGGTAATATGTACTTACGCCAGTTGGGAAGCGCACAATGGAGTGAATCCTGAAAATTTTAACGCGAGTTTGTGCGACTATGTAACGTATGCCTTCGTTGGACTGTCACCAAATGGGAAATTGAGAGTCCAAGACAAACCTTTAGATGTTGGACAAAATAAAAATGGTATGTCTGAAATCAACGTTCTATTTATAATCTAATACGTATCATTTTAGGTTTGTACCATAAAGTCACTAATATGAAACAAAAAAATAAAAACCTAAAAGTTTTATTAAGCGTAGGGGGTTCTGGAGCAAGCAACGCTTCTTTATTCTCTTCTATGGCAGCGGATCCTTCGAAACGCTCAGCGTTTATAGAAAGCGCGAAAAATTTTTTGCAGACATACAATTTCGACGGACTAGACATAGAATGGCATATTCCAAACGTAGACGATAAGGTAAAATAACATTCAAGTCCAATATTACCTGAAGACATCGCGGTTATTTTGTTATAGGCGAATTATATAATATTACTTCGAGAAGTGAATCAAGCCCTTAAGCAAAATGGTTGGCTTGTCACAGCTACAGTCCGCTCTGATCCGGAATCTACAGGATATGATGGCAGTCAAATGAACGAGTAGGTGTTCTTTGTTCCTTATAATTTACTTTCTATTGATCATTTAGAACCGATGCAATTATCTATTTTACCTCTTTCTGTTTTTTAAGAGTTCTAGACTGGATCAACGTGAAGACTTACGACATGTATGGAGATTGGAGCCAGTACACGGGCCAGAACTCAGCCCTCTATCCTTCTTCCAAAGAATACGATTGGGAGAAGAACCATTTGAACGTGGACGCGGCAGCGAAGAATTGGCTTGCTGCTGGTATTTCGAAAATGAAACTAGCGCCTAGTATTGCTTTTTATGGAAGGTCCTTTACGCTGCAAGATGTAAGTCAAAACGGCATCCATTCGCCCATTGAAGGAGCAGGACCTGGTAAAGGAGGAATGCTGAAATATTCAGAAGTGAGTGAAGGGAAATAATGTTGTTTGACTTTTCACATATATGTGTATTTATTTCTGTAATGCAGATTTGTGAGAAATATGCCAACTGGTCGAGAAGTTGGGACCAGGAGCAAAGAAATCCTTACAAATACTTTGAAGATAAGTGGATAGGTTATGATGATAAGGAGTCCGTTTGGATAAAGGTTGTATAAATAACACAGCACACAAAAAAAGAAAAGTAGTCTGTACTTTTCATGCGACATATGTTACTCGTATTTTTGCCTCCTGATCTGGTGTCAGAATTGAGCTATCACATCACAGGAATTTGCTAACCTCAAAAAACAGGTAAAAAATAGCAAAAATTCATGAAAAAGTGCTAGGCAAAATACAAAAATTTTTTTTCTATATTCAAATGTTCATTTATATAGTTAAGACTCCGCCCAACGAGAATCCGCGGTCAGCATTAGTAGTTTTTTTTTCTAACCTCAAAAAAACGGGTCAATTAAAGTCAAATATCACTAATTTTCAAACAATAACAGATTCGCGCCAAATTTGGTATACGGGCGTTTTCTGGGTCGCTGATCACGGATCCGAGGTCAATTTTGCAAAATTCAAGATGGCGGATCCAAGATGGCTGACCAAATTTTCAAAAAATAACAGAATCGCAGTAAACTTTTTATACGGGGGTTTTCGGGGTCGCTGTCTACGGATCTGAGGTCAATTTTGCAAAATTCAAGATGGCGGATCCAAAATGGGCGACAAAATTTTCAAATAATAACAGAATCGCAGCAGATTTAGTATACGGAGGTTTTCGGGGTCGCTGATTACGTATTCGAGGTCAGAGTTGCGAAACTCATTTTGTAATATTTTACTTTATAACCTGAGTACCCAATCATGTGTTAATCTACTTTTTTCGGCTAAGTATATCTTGTTCTTTATTCTGTAAAAGATCTATTCACGGGTTGAATATTCGTGATCAGTGACCTCGAAAACCCCCGTATACCAAATTTGGCGCAATTGTGTTATTTTTTGAAAATTTTTTCCTTTATACCCCTTTATACCAAATTTGATGCGAATCTGTTATTTTTTGAAAATTTGGTCGGTCATCTTGGATCCGCCAGCTTGAATTTTGCAAAATTGACCTCGGATCCGTAATCAGCGATCCTGATTACGGATCCCCGTATACGAAATTTGGCGCGAACTTGTTATTTTTTGAAAATTCGTAACATCTGACCTTAATTGACCCGTTTTTTTTGAGGTTAGAAAAAGAAGCATCAATTCTGACCGCTAATTCACGTTCGCCGAGGTCTTAACTATATAAATGAGCATTTGAATATAGAAAAAAACAATTTTTCTAGTTTTTCTAGCACTTTTTCGTGAATTTTTGCTATTTTTGACTTGTTTTTTGAAGATAGGAAATCCCTGTGATGTGATAGCTTAACTCTGACACCGGATTCGTGATCAGGATGCAAAAATACTACCGATAACATATGTCACATGAAAAGTACAGACTACTTTTCTTTTTTTGTGTGGATAGGAATGATTTATTTCAGTTTTTTTTATTATAGGCCGCTTACATTAAAGAAAATGGTTACTTTGGAGTCAATGTTTGGCCAGTAGATGGCGATGATGTTCACGGAAAATGTGGGGTTAAACAAATTCTTCTGAAACAAGTTCAAAATGCATTAGCAAGTCGTACAAAATGAAGACATGCATAATTACGAATATATTTATATCTAAAATAGAAATAAAAAATTAAATAGTATGATTCAATTCAATTTTTGCTAGGTACTAGTTTTATTAAGGATGAAGTATCTAAACAAAATATATTTCCCTACCAAAGTAATTTCGAAGACACAAAAATGTAAGGAACTACTAATGTTGAAGCAAATGCAACATGCAAACTTGCCAATTATTGAACATAATAAAAATTTGTTTCAACCTTTATTATTCACAAAAGATGACAGTTTAAAATGTACTCATGTATGTAAATTTATCCATCTTCAGAACTTATTAAAATATTGTTTTGTCTATATGTATATTGTGACCAACTACCGAATTTGAAACGTTCAAGTCAAAAATCTCGCGCGTGAGCGAGAGCAACGTTTACGCGCATGCGCGGGCCCGGCGCTCCTTCCGCATGCAATCCGTTTATTAATGTTAACTTTTACTACTGCTAGCGCGTTTATTACGTGAACTATCAATTTAAAACTTTCTGAAAACAATATGTTAACCCTTCCTTTAATTCTCTAAATTCTAAATTCCTTCTCTAAATTCCCGGTCCGATACGTCCAATACGTAACGTCCAAAATCAAAAAGGGCAGATCGAAAATGATTTAAAAATACACTTTTGCACGGCACTTAACCGATACCCAAAGTACCGGGCCTTAATAAGCTTATTTTAAATAGCTTACCTGAAAAATATTTAATAAAATTAAATGCAGTGTGATGAATCCGGTCCTATTATCTCGTTTAATATTAATGCAGGGTGAAACAAAGAGCGACTACTCTTACAATTACCCTTATGCCGTCAATGCATTTTATTGATATTCACTTCAGAGCATGGCTATTTCTTATTAGCCGTTTATAACCGTCTAACCATTGTCATCGACGTTGCACCTGAGCACATAATTTGGAGAGATGGTAACTTTTAATCATCATATGACGGTGACGGTGACTATTTGGACGATTCAAAATTTGCTTGGGAAGGGGAAAATTGTACTTTATGATGCTATTCTTTATCTAACGATAACCTCAAATATGTGTAAAAACCGCGTTCTTGCACTTTTAGGTTAGGATATCTCAAAACCCTTAGGTGATCGAGCATTTCTGAGGCCAGATTCGATTTGAGCGAGCCAAAATCGCGAAATGACTATTCGTACTGAATCCATACGAATCAAGTGGACTAGTGTTATCGGTCTTCTTGAAATGCTACCCAGGTACCCATCTCTGAGGATGTAAGGATGTTATTATAGAATTATGCGGATTTTCTACAGCCTAAGTTATATAATTCTGTCTATTTACATAACTAGATAAATGTACCCATGCCTCATCAGAATCAAACATCAGGTCTAATAAATTATCGTCCTTAAATGTTCATTAAACCATCGACAATATCGTTGATTGTAATAAGTAGTCTTGTACAACAGAAACCAATTAGGGATGCATATGTAGCTGCTTCTATAATACCTTATGATACATCTGCGGACATATCAATATAATAATATGTACAATTATTTCTTGTAAATACACAAATGAATCAGGGTCTTTTAGGTAGACTCATTATTTTATTTTTCAATTTCAATACAGAGAAAAATTAAAAAATTATTACTTAGGACTTTGATAACTCCCCTCCGCCTCATTTGCGAAAAGACATATTGAGTTCTAATAATAACAGTTTGAAAAATAAATAAATAAGCAGCTTCTAACTTGAAATCTTCTTTAATTACCAGATTTATAAATAAAATAGAAGACAGAACAGAATAGGAAAGTTCTAAAGTTCGGAATATAAGTCTAAACAAATGCTTTAAATTTGTAGGTATATATGTAGGTATGGATGTTGTTCGTTCTTGTGTCTATTGAAAACGTGGGGTGTCATAATACGTTCATCAAGTCCAGGCTTAACATCATCTTTCTCGTATGTGAAGGTTAAGTAAGTGAGATGAACTGTTTGATAAAGACGACTTACCTACTTTATTGTAGTTGCCGTTTTATGGGAAAAGTGGCGTAAGAAAGACGATGTTAAAACATGCTGCATTTATTGTACTAGTTAAATTAATGTTTGTTTATGGTAAGTTAAATATCTAAGTATTTTATGCATATACATAGTTATTGCTATTTATTATTTTAATTATTACGTAAAACAAGTTAATTTATTAGTTAACTTCAAATTAGCTGAGTTTTGAATTTATTATATTTTAAATAGGAATTAATTAATCAGTTAAACGTAAACAGATTTCCTGGAACTGTCTTTCCACTAACATTTGAACAATTTGTAAATCTATCAAATGCGCATAAATATTAACAAATTTCTTAGAAATATATATAGCATGATCACTATTCCGTACAATATTTTCAACACATATTTTCAATTTTTTTAGTCGGTATAATAGTTTTCATCAGTGCTAAAAATTTTTAAATTGATTAGCTATTAACTTTTTCAATTTTCAAAAATGTATTTCAACTTGATATTTCAAAATATCGATTGTTCATTATTACATTTATTTGACTTATATACAAGTAAAAAGGAACTGAAAACTAAAAAACAGGTGGTGAATTATATTTAATGGAAAGCAATCATTAAAAAAAAATTAACTTCAGTGATGTACAAACTTTTGTATTTGTATACAAATGTAAAAATACGTTAAAAATTTTCTATCCTTTATAAAGCTGTGCACAAATTTTACAGGACCGTTGAACTTTGTTGATGCCGCAAATTATTTCAGATATAGACGACAAACAGATAGCAGCGGGTAAGATACATAAACATTACATACTACCAATTTTGATATTGTCAGATATTTAAGATATTGGGTGATATACAATGTGTATATTAATTCGACTGCCGAACTTCTACAGGGCATTGCTTAGCGAAAATTAACCTCGGTTTAAAAATAACATGACAATATTTTTTTTTAAATAGTTTCTAAACCAGTCGAACTGTCAGTACCAAGCAACCTATTGTCGATTACTGATGAGTCATCAGTGATAAAACTCATATTTGTACAGAATGATTTTGTGGATCTCATTTTTCATAACTAGCTTGATAAAGAATATGTCGAATTATTTCCGTCTCTTGGAAAATCCAAATATAATATGAAAGAATGATGGTAATTACAATTAAAAAAATTGCCATTAATAATTTTAATATAGAACCCTATTTTCCAGTAAAATTGGAAAATGTACTACGGTAACAATTATTTTTTATTATTTATTTATCTAATTTTATTAGTCAATAGATAATCAGTTCCAAGGTAGAGTTGTTTCAAAATCTTATGAGCTTTGACCTTGATATGCGCAGAAACATAATTCCGACCGTTGCCTAAATTATTCTACGTCCTAAAAACATTACATCGATTATTCACAGTCCATCTCGAGCTCTCGTGGCGTAAACAAGCCTTTGCTCCGATTACAAATACCATAATAAAATGCTCTATTCTTTATTATTTTAATTTAAGCAATAAAAATATATACAGGTTCGGAAAGTCCCATGGTTCATCGGCCGTTACGTGAGAGCGATAAAGTAAGTCGTATAAATCCGTGCGATAGAGAAGGGTGGCTATAATGAAGTCGTCATTGTAATTCAACGACCGGTGGCCATCTTTGTTTTCGTCGTTTGGCTTTTCTTTAATAAATGTCACTACTTATACAATTTCGACTCCGGTATTGCGATATGTTAATACAATCCGTTAACAGAGGGCAGCACAACGCGTAACAAAGAAAACTTTTTACAGTAGCCAGTAGATACCTCTGTTTGTAAATCTAGTGACCTTGTTTGCCCTACCGAGAAGTTACTCAAATGGAGTATAGTGCTCAGCTGCATTTAAAGTTCATTTTCTTGTTATTAAAGTATACTTTTTAAAATGACTTAAAAATCCCAAGAAATAAAGCAAAATTCCCTATTTCCCCAATTCCAAAAAAATCTGTAGATCTGGCATCACTCTTTCTAGAGCTGCGCCTCACCTTAGACAAATTGGGCTGCCCTCTGTTAACGGATTGTATTAACCTTTCGGAATGCGAGGTCGGAATTGTATAAGTAGTGACATCTATTACAGAAAAGGCAAACGACGAAAACTAAGATGACCACCGGTCGGTAAATTACAAGTAGAAGTGGATCTTATTTGTGGAAGGACGAAACGGGCGGTGACTATGAAACGCCTTCGTTATAGCCATCCTTCTCTATCGCACGGATTTCTATGACTTACTTTATCGCTCTCACGTAACGGCCGATGAACCATGGGGACTTTTCGAACCTGTATAACGAACGTTCGCCAGTTGACTTTATTGATGCCCGAGTACCTTAGTTCATTTCTGGTTGTCATGAGGCACGTGGTCTAATTCTGAGTCAATGTTTTCACAACGTGCTTATTAGAAGAATTATGTGGATACGCCACGCCTTTCGCGCATCTCGCTACTCATGAGATTTTGAAACTACAATTGAATAGAAATAAGTACAAACAATTTTCAGTATTGATCAAAATAAAACAAATATTAGGCAATAATACAGTAAAAATGAAACAAGATATAAATTAAACTCGGTAACAGAGAACTATATACAAACTAAAACAAATGTTATGGACCAAGACAATTATAAATGTACTGTTATAACCTGCAGATATTGATAAAGAAGTGTACAAAATAAATCCGTAAGTACGCCTGGCAGCATTGCCAAAGTGTTGATTATATGTTGCTAGGATACGCGTAGGAATATCGGGCTGCTACATTTGATTCTTCCTAAAATTCTGCTGGTGGTGTACTCTATCGACAATTCGGAAATTTAAAACTGCTGGCCTATTCCAATAGCGGTCTGGGGCGATAGCTGTTTTGTCTGCGCAAGGTGTTAGGATTATCAATATCATTATTAAGTTGATTAAAAATTTAAAGCGCATTATGTTCTCCGATGTTTAAGGGAGCATAATTGAGGCTATTAGTTATTGGAATAACAATGTAATTGGATTCGTTGTATTACTATACTACATACCTGACATGCATTACATACTAGGGAATACGATTTAACTAGTGTAACATCTGAAATAGTTTTTGCAAAAATGTTTATCATTGCCAAAAATTATTGTCTACATTATTCATATAGTGTCTTTATTTTATTTATAGTTTTGACAAAGATATTGCAATTGCAAAAACACAATAATGAAAAACAGGGAACGACCCTGTAAAATTTCACATAGAATATTACATAAAGTGCTTATAAAACAAAGCAGTTAATAGTAAAAATTACTTTGTTTTTTATGCTTGTTTAATTAGAATTCCTGGAAATAGTAGATGATGATGTACTGTTTAGACAGAGGCGGAGAGGGCATAACACTTCAATGATAGAGGCAGAATTATGAAAAAAGTAGCAATTGGCATCGGTCAATGAGGATTTAAATGTACAACAGAACTACAGTACACTGTATTTAACCAAACGAAATGCTAACGCAAGTAATTCGCTATTGACGAATGGTAAGTGAGTGATGGAACACAAAGTGATGATGCAAATACAGATATCGACGCACTCTGCTGTCAGATAACAAATATGTTTACCAAATTGTTCTCAAAAATTGATTGTAGTTACTACACAGTGATACACACCGATATGACACACATAGATTAGCAAACTAATTCAAAAGTTATTCAATGTTATCCATATAAAAATTATTTAACTAAGAAATAGTGAACATTACTCAACGAATAGTAAGTATTATTAATTCAATACTGCTGACTCGTTTTGACAAAAAATTGTGTTGATTTTGAATAGAAATTTTATTGACAGTGTAAATTAAAGTCAGTCACTATCCTTATTGTATATACGCTGTCGTACACTAAATTGCGCATGCTCAATTGACAAAATAACGTCGAGATTAAAAATACATAAAGTTATTAGCAAATGCAGTATATTCCATTTATTAGTGTCGTAGTAAGATTAAACATCACAGTTTCCCTTGATGTGTTATTCTTTTCCAACTAATAATTTTTCCAATTTTTCTTTGGCACTAATTTTCAAAAATAACTACTTCCTCAACAATTATTTCTCTTTCATGTTATATGGTACATTTTTTATCAAGTTATCTATTTAAATGTGGATTCCGCATGGTTCGATATTTTGTGACTTGTATGAATATGTCATCAATACTCACAAAGTGGACCAAATTTAGTATTGACACTTCAATTGGCTTATAGTCGAGTTGGTAGAGGTTCGGCCTGTGTCAAACCTTGATAACCCGGAATTAACTACACAGGCCTACTTTAAATGATGAGTACAATAACAGTCTAATTTGCTGACAAAGTATTTTATCAGGAAAAAAGTTAATAACAATTTAATAGTCAAAAATTTTGCTCTCCTGATTTTCGGCTTTAGTGTCATTATTGTATATATATTGAACTATAGTTTTCGAAAGTTTTATCACTTTTTGTTTATAATTGACATTTTAACAGCAACTTTTTATATCGTTTTTTCAATCTCACGGCTTTGTTATTGCAAATTTCGTAATCGGACCACCGCCATTTTGTAGCTATTTTTATTACGAACAAAATCATGTCCTAAGCATTTTTCCTACAAAGTCATTCCGCTGAGTTATTTAAACAAAACTGCTAAAAAAAATTCTTTCACGATTAAATTGTAATTGTAATTAATAACTTTTCTTCCTGATAAAATACTTTGTCAGCAAATTAGTCTGTTATTGTACTCATCATTTAAAGTATTCCTGTTTAGTTATTTCCCAGTTATCAAGTAAATGTCACCAACAGTAACTTTTCGGCCTCTGCTGACTGGACTATTAGGAAAAATTGAAAAAAAAAACGTTGTCATTAAATCTCCAATAAATTTTATAGTTCAGTGGAATATTTTCTGTTTATTTTGACCAATGAGTGTCCCGTAGAAGTTTGGCAGTCAAATCATTACACATCCCGTATACTACCTAATAATTTGCCACTTTTTTATTTACAAAATGATGTGATAGGAAACAAGTCTCCTAAGGGTGGCTTGTCAAAAGAAATTTAAATTAGAATTAATGAAAGTTCTTAGCAATAACCAATAAAATGTCTGGTACTTTAGCAATCAATCTCGATTTAATGTAACAGTGATTAAAATTCATTCGATGAGCGACCCTAAAACGTTAATCTAAGATTTTATTTCCATGCATCTAAAGTATAAAAACTTATATTAGGTGTACCCTTCCTTCTCATCCTGAACACGGTCGTTGGACAGTCCTAAATGGAAATGGTAATCCGGGCGGCAGAGTATTGATAGCAAGTGTTATTATTTTCGAATGCGATGCGGGGTACAAACTGTCCAGTAAAATTCCTTTAGTTTGCCTTGGACAGTGGTCTTCGCCGGCACCCGAATGCGATGGTAAAGTAAACATTAGTAAATCCTAAAAAGTATTATCGAGATTAATTGCATTTTTCTCATTGATTCAGTTTTGACTAGTATATGTGCCGAAATCTCAAAACTCTTATGGTTAACGCTATACAGGGTGTTCCACCTAAGAGGGATTTTTCTGTAACTCTGCAACTGTAAAATTTATAACAAAATTTTTTTAATAAAAATTGACTGGAAACATGTGGGTCATGTTGAGAAAATATTTTTAGCTTTACAGGGTGTCCCATTTCGCGTGGGCGCTACACGACTTTGTTATTTTAAATGGAACACCCGGTATATTATTGCATTTTTGAAATCCTTGGTTAATATTAGGTTGAGTTTATTAAATGTACATAACGTTTAGAACTTACCGTTTTCGAGATAATCGGTTATTTTTGAAAAAAAAATCACGATTTCAGCTCTCTAAATAAGGCTAGATAGCGTCTAAACCGTAAAAGTTAGAAACCTGCAGTTTTCAAAGTTCGTTTTGGCATAAATTACTCTATCTTGTCATCTGTGAGCAAAACGTTTACGTTATTCAGACTCGGAAATACTGAGACCTATATTTAATAACTCGTAAGGTTAAAAACTTTTTTTACCCATTTTAATTGTCATGGGTGAATGCAAAATTGAATACTTTTTCGACTGATATAAGGTTGTCCATACTTTTCTCTAATAGTTTTCCAGAAAAATCAGGTTCTTTTCGAAAGTCCGAAAAAGTAGCTATGTAACAGCGTCAAGAAGGCCTTGCAAAACCACTTTCTCTCACATTTTATCAGGCCTGGTACTGGCATGTTTAAAAAGTGGTTTGATAAACAAAAGTAAACCACTAACAACTACCAAAACAAAACGCAAAACAAAACAAACTGAAAATCGGAACACAACAAGGAGAATAATACTTAGTCCGCTGATTTACATCAATTGCTCGAATTATCCTCCATTTTGATTAATACACAAACTAATTCGATTTTTAAAAGACTGTCCAACATTGGTCACCACGTCTGGCGTAATTTTTTGAAATGCTACTGTAATGCGCTGCCGCTGCCACATATCTTCTGCGGTAGTTGGTGGTGTAACGTAAACTTTGCTTTTTATAAATCTCCAAAGAAGTCGCAACTTGTCATATCTGAAGACCTTGAAGGCCAACTCACTGGTCCCCCACGCCCAATCCATCTGTTGGGAAAAGTTTCGTGTAAAAATTGACGAACCGCAGAGGTATTGTGAGGTGGAGCACCATCATATTGCATACACATTCTTCGAAATGTAGCTAAAGGAATGTCGCCTAACAAATTTTCTAGATTGTTCCTTAGATGCTGATCAAAAAAGAATTGTCGAATGACACGGGTTACCAAAATTGCTCCCCATACGTTCAAAGACCATCGTTGGCTATGAGTTGTCCGGAATTGGTGAAGACTTACTGTGTCATAATAATGGCAATAATGACTATTAACGAAACCATTTTTATGAAAAGTAGCCTCATCGGAGAACATGACTTGTTTAAAAAAAATCATCATCTTGATTTAACATCTCAAGTGCTCACTGACTACCCGCTGAACCGTCTCCGCTGAAAGTTTACTTATAGTAACTCTTGGTGTGATTGGATGAGACAAGAATGTACGGTGCTGTGCTGTGCTTTTGTAAAATCCTATGTATCGACATTGTACTAATACAATTCCAAGGCCTTCTTGACGCTGTTACATAGCTACTTTTTCGGACTCTAGAAAAGAACCTGATTTTTCTGGAAATATCAGTCGAAAGGGCAATCAATTTTGCATTCACCCATGGCAATTAATATGGGTCATTCCATTTGAAAAAAGAAGTTTTTCAACACGAGTTGAAGTTAATAGTCTTACATTAAATGTAGGTCTCAGTATTTCCGAGTCTAAATAACGTACACATTTTGCTCACAGATGACAAGATAGAGTAATTTATGTCAAAACGATCTGTAAAAACTGCTGGATTCTAACTCTTACGGTTAGACGCTATCTAGCCTCATTTAGAGAGCTAAGATCGTGATTTTTTTAAAAAACAACTTATTATCTCGAAAACGGTAAGATTTAAACACCATGTACATTTAATAAACCCTACCTAATATTAACCAAGGAATTCAAAAACACAATAATATACAGGGTGTTCCGCTTAAAATAACAAAGTGCCCACGCGAAATGGAACACCTTCTAAAGCTAAGAATATTTTCTTTACATGGCCCACATAATTCCAGACAACCTTTATTAAAACCATTTTTTTTATAAATTTTACAGTTACAGAGTTACAGAAAAATCCCTCTTAGGTGGAAACCCTGTATGTTAAGTGCAGAATTTATATATCTATTTAACATAACCAGTTTTATTAAAAGAAGTAGTGAAAAACCTGGACAAGATATTTTTTAATACAGGTAGTAACTGATCTCAAGGTCACAAACGATTAGCATAATAATAATATATTCTACACTTATCGACCCATAGTTTACAAGTCTGGAATTTGGCGCATGAAACGTGCTGTAAACATCTCTTTCTCTAAAAATATTAAAGACATAAAAAATGTTGTATAATTGGGGAATAATCTATTGGGAAATTTTAGAATGTAACAAACATAGCATTAATTTACTACATTTTAAAATAAATATTTATATTATTATATTGTACAGTATATTTGGACAATTAACAAATAAAAGAAATGCTTTTGTAAAATTGTATTGTTTTCGTATTAAATGGTTCTAAATACATTTTGCTACTATCTGACAATATACCAGAGGAAGGTGTAGTACTACTGCTAAGCATTCCCAATGAAATATTCTGTCGAGGTTGTGACAACGAATATTCCATATTTGATTCAACCTGACATATTTTTTTTAGTCAGTTTGTAAAAACTTCCAGCCCTCTTGTCGTTTTAGATCTGCTATATAGCCGTCATTGTTGTCTAGTACAGCTGATAATGTACGGCGATAAAAACATTGATCCGTGTATTTTTCAAAATATTTTATATTTAAAGAAGCAACTATGCTTTTAGCTATAGGACCAAATTTGTTTATATCGACTACTCTATTGGTGCACTTTCCTTTTTGGTAATTTAAAAAGAGATTATTACGCTTAAGATTTAGAAGTCAAAATACCAAGCATTACTTAAAAATTTTTCAATATTTTTCAGTAATTCTAAAATTCTTGGAAATGATTAAAAACTGTTTTTTTTTTTAACCAAAATAGTAGATCCTAGATAATTGATTATCATTAATTTTTATTGGATATATTTCTTTAGAGAGAATGTTTCCTAATCATGTACATATACTTTTCCAAATGTACCTATATTATATATTAAAAAAATTCCCTATTTGGCCCACAAAATATTAAATATTGCTCGACTGTCAGTAAAATGTTTCTAGTGTGATCTTATATCTTCATATGCGAAAAATAAAGGGTTTTTCTTTCTGAAAAAAAAAATCAGTGTCTCCTTATACATTTTTAGGAGCAAGTTGCAATAAAAGAGATGATACAGATTGTAATTTACCGGTTTACAAAAAAAAAAACTAGTTCTAAATCTTAAAACCAGATCTACAATCTACCTTTTTAGTAGTGACATCACATACTCCAAATAATAGGCAACCCCATAGTGCACACTGTCATGAAGATTCCATAATATTTTTACTAGATCTATTCAAAGTTTCAAACCACAAGTGACAAACTAATAGAACTATAGAATTTATATATTTAAATTTATAGAACAATATTGACTTTTATAGTAAGTAATAAATTAAAATTATATCAATTTTACTGAGCATGCGTATTAAAGACAATTTCATTTAAGCGAGGTAGCCTTGCAACAGGATATCATTCTAGAAAAGTTTGATTGTGGATAAGACAATAAGTTTATAATAAACCACTTGAAGAAAACACTCGACAAACACACTGACACAGTGCAACACCAAGAAAAACATTAAAAATACTTCGTAGAACTAGAAAATGACAAGATTAAGCAAAACAAGAGAAAATACGCTAATGATGACAGCGATAACATATTAACAGGATTTCACCTGCGTATGAGACTTCTTTCCGAGCATAAGCATTAGGAATAACACGGCTAATGTAAAATTTTTCCTTTATTTAAATTTAGGAATATTCTTTTATATAGTTTTTTGTAAGTTTTAAGCTCATTAGTGTATCTATTTTACGAAACACTCGTTGGTTGTTCTTAAATACTTCCAAATCCTTGTAAAAATAAATTAATTTGAAGTTGTTCAATTTTATAGTATCTATGTAAATAGTACACAAGGTTCAGAATTGGTCTGTACAATTTCAACTATGACAATTTGTTGCGAGTTGACTAAATATGTGATGTCACAATAAAAGAGTCTATTGTAAATCGGCCAATTCTAAGGAAGTTAAGAACCAACACAATTAGTAGTAACGTCCGAATAACTAATTGTGTTAGTTGGGAAGTACACATACTTTTAAGAACGAGTAGCTACAGAATATTCATCCAAAAGATCAGAACTGGGGTAAAGTCTAAGAATAAGATGCAGCTAGGACTTTTTATAAACCAACCATTATTTGTGTCATTATTAAGTGAGTATTTTCAGAGTTGTGTCCTCCCCTGTACCCTTCGGATACATACGATTTGAGATGCGTCGACAAAGTAGGAAAGGAAGTCAGTTGCACTGAAGCAGGGCATGGTACAATCCTAGAATACACTTGTAAGACATCCTATGAAACTCCTTTTGGTTACAAGAAGACGCTTTTCTGTGAAAACGGGAAATGGGATCGCTCCACACCAGTGTGCCAACCAGGTGTGCTGATTAGCTACATTTGATTTATCTTTTTCATATGTATAGGTATCTTTTTCAAATATTTGTCGTATGTTACAGTATGTGGGAAAAAAATTAGTAATGACGCAAAGCCGACGATCTATGGTACAGATCCCAACGAAAAGATAGAATATCCATGGATTGCTGCAATTTATTCTAAGTTAAAAGATTCGTTCGAAAATGTTTGCGTAGGATCTATTTTAAGTCAAACAGTGGTGTTGACAGGTTAGTTTAATATTTTTTTGTAGTAATAATTATTATAGTATCCTTGAACATCCACTTTGTCTTTTTTTAGTTAAGTATTTTACTACCTCTATTTAAATGGCCAACAAAACGGGAAAAACAAAAATATAAAAGAAACCTATACCTCTTTTCAGTCAATAACTAACTATATCGGGTGTCAAAAAGTCTGGAACACCTGAATAATTTCCCAGGTAAATTATTTTTGAAAAATGTTAAGGTCATTCTTGTAGTAACTTTTGGCGAGGAATTCAATGGCGACCTTGGATTTGACCTTGACGATGACCTTGAAGGTTATTTCACGATAATAAAGCACCCCAAACGTGAGCGGCTAGATTTTCATTAAAAAAAATTACCTTGAAATGACCTTGAAGGCCAAGAAGGTCGAGTTTGAAGTCACCACTAATTGCAATTAAACAAAATCACTAAAGTGGCTTTGTACTATTTTCATTAACTGCGTCCTTCGAAGATATCCAGCCCTCAAATTTAAATAACCTTTGAATGACCTTCAAGGTCTACCGTGAGTTATGACCTTAGAGTTTTTGGACGTACAATTTCCCGCTCTTTCGATTGCCGACCTCGAAAAAGGGGGTTTCCATTTAAAAAAATTTAGGTGACCTTGAAATAACCTTCAAGGTCACATCAAGGTCAAATCCAAGATCACCATTGACTTCCTCATCAAAAGTTACTACAATATATACAAATAAATAGAAAAAAATAGAGTCAAATTTCAATCGAATTGCACTCAGTAATGTATCAATTTCTGTTTACACCCGATTGGATGAAATTGCCGCTCCATTAGTATTGAACTTAGTATTGAAATTGAAATTTTGTGAGTGAATCTATTGCGGCAGAAGTGAGTAATTTCACAGAAATATTAGTTCCTGCTAACTATCGAGTGAGTGGCATTTTAATCTATTTTGAGCATGTAAGAATATTAAGACTTGCCCATTTCTCTAATATGATTTAAATTAACTATTACTAGGAAATTGTTTGCTCAGTCTTCTTTTAGTAGACTAAAATTTGAGTGAAAAAAAATCATCTTATACGATTAATTTGGATATATAGGACGTTGAAATTAATCAGACGTCGTGAAAATTTCGTTCAATCTCTCGGATTGGGTAAATTTTGCAAAAATAACGCCACAAGATTATATAATTTGTCTTTCTTCAGTACTATTATTAACATTTGAACCTGAGACATGAATGTCGGTTTTTCGGTAAAACTGTTTTGTTACTTATTAAATTTGAATAATTTTTGAGTAAAGTAAATATTATTTTTAAACATTTCTACTAATATATTCAATTTAGAGACAGAGCACATTGTCTGAAAAGAAGTCTTCGTAGGCATTCATGCCTAATATATGCATATTTCAACATGTTCAAACATGCATAAGTAGCCCATTAAATTTTAAAAAGCGGCAAACCTGCGGATGTAAGAAATTATCGTCCTATTGCCATATTGTCTAACATTGCAAAGGTCTTCGAGATGTGTCTGTATAAACAAATATTAGATAACTTAAAGTCGTACATATCACCAAATCAGCATGGTTTTCTTCCGAATCATTCAACTTTATCTAATCTTGCCGAGTTTACCCAGTATACGGCGAACTATGTTGATGACAAAGGGCAAGTTGATGTCATTTACACAGACTTCTCAAAGGCTTTTGATAAGGTTAATCATAGTATATTGCTACGTAAGTTGGAACGGTATGGTTTCAGTGATAGCTTACTCCGCCTTTTCAATTCTTACCTATATCATCGAAACATGTATGTCTCTTATAATGGTTTCAAGTCGAATAGTTTTAATGCGGCATCGGGAGTACCTCAAGGCTTTAACTTGGGGCCACTCCTTTTTATATTATTTGTAAATGACTTATCTCTAACATTAAAGTTAAATCATCTTATGTTTGCCGACGACTTGAAATTGTTCTTGAATATATCATCTGTGGCTGATTGTTTGTTATTGCAAGACCTTGCGGATCATGTTTATATATGGTGTACCGATAATTTATTTACCTGTTAACACAAAAAAATGCAAAGTGTGTACATTTACACTTAAAAATCAGCCTCTCATATTTGATTATAATATAGGTGTGTCACCTTTAACTCGTTTTCAGAACATTAAGGATCTTTTTGTAATGTTTGACAGCAGATTGTCCTTTGCTGATCATATTAATTCAAGTATTAAATCCGCTTATAGTATGCTAGGCTTTGTTATAAGAAGTACAAAATCTATTACCGATATAGGTGCATTGAAGAGTCTATACTATTCACTGGTACGTTCGAAACTCGAATATTGTAGCCTTATTTGGCACCCATGTTATCAGATATACAGTAGCCTCTTGGAATGAATACAGCGGCATTTTCTCCTGTCTTTTCGTGTTGACAATTTTTATCCCGACAGAGGATATAACCACCAATTACTGTTACAAAGATTCAGTATGCAGTCGCTGAATACTAGAAGGGTGGTTGCAAGTTTATCTTTTTTATTTAAATTGTTTCATGGCAGGCTTTAATCTCTCTTTTTAATATACGTCTTCCGAGACCTGGCTCTCGTGAGGGTTCACTGTTTTATTGTCGAAATGCTAGAACAAATGTGCTTGTAAAATCTCCTGTGTATTTGATGGCTAATAATTATAACCAAATAGCAGATCAGTGTGATTTATTTCATTGTAATTTTAATAATTTGTTAAGAATTACTTCGGATTACTTGAATAATTTTCAATATTAGATATAGGTTTTGCTTTTTTCCTCTTTGCTGTTTATTTATTTGTTTTCTTTATTTATTGTACAGTAGTATGCTTATATTATAATTATCTACTTATTTTGTCCTGTAAATGTAATGTTTTTTGTTGGGTAATAAATGCATTATTATTATTTTTATTATTATTATTTTTATTATTTATTGTATTTATATTTGTTACGAAATATGATGAGCATATTGAATTATTTGATTTTCAGCTGCACACTGTGTTACAAATGACTTCGGAAATGTGCTGCCAACAGAAGATTATCTGATTGGAGTAGGAAAATTATACAGAAGTTACCAAGCCCCTGAGGATAAAAATGCTCAATATCTAGAAGTAAATTTAAAAAATTCATATCTCTTTATTTACATTAAATAAAATATTCATTACTTGAATGTTTTCAGATAAGTTTAACTAATTGTTATTTGGGATTAGTTGAAAATTGGCATACACTAATGTGGATTAAATTAACTGAATTCTTTGCGAATGAAATGTGGAATTGATGTAGAAATTATTACTAAAAATTTATAGGACAACGGAGTCAATTCTAGATTTATTCTTATAGATTTAGATATAACAAATAATGTAGAGAATGTGTTTTCTTTTTTATCAGCGATATGTTTTCGCTTAATAACTGCCATGTCTATTTTCACACCAAAAAGGCGTTTAACCCTGTTGATAATAACAATGTTACGGATTTTATGTTTCAGTTGTCTAAGATTATAGTGCCTGAAGAATATAAAGCAGATACAAGAAAATTTTCTGCAGACATAGCCGTTTTAGTGGTTAAGAAGGAAATCTCTTTGACTAAAGTGGTGCAACCTGTTTGTTTCACGAACGTGAAGAACATCCACTTACATGCGGGAAGTATAGGAGAGGTATTAGTGTCGGAAATGGCCAACTGTTTCGCAACATATTAAATTTTTAGGTATCAGGTTGGGGATTTACAGAAAGTAATACTCCATCAGAAGTCCTGCGAACTCTGGTGATCCCTTACAAGTATGAAACTATTTGCGCAAATGAGTTACCTCCCGACTGGGCCGATAGATACAATTCAAAAGACAAAATTTGCGCCGGTTTTGTCAATAAAAGCATGAGCGTGTGTACTGGAGACAGTGGCGGAGGGCTGGCTTTCAGATACCGAGAGGACAACAGATATTACATTCACGGCATCGTCAGCTTGTCTCATCAGATTGAAGGCATGTGTAACATCCAACAGAACTCACTTTACACTAGCGTAGCTTATTACTACGACTTTGTGGATCGCCTTTTAACAAAATACGCTCCTCAAATTAAAGATTGCGTATTGCCAGCCTATCCCCAGAACGGCAAATGGACGACAGGAAAAGATTATAAACCTGGAGATTCCGTTCCATCAAGTACGCTTCTGAAGTTTCAATGTGACGAAGGTTTCATATTGTCTTCCACAGCAAAAGTAGAATGCAAAGCATCGTACAAGATGCCTACCTGTGAGAGTAAGTACCGGAGACTATTATGAAAAATCTGGAAAGCCAAATTCCATAGGTTGAAAAATTTTTCATTACCCATACATATTATCATATACCTGCAGCGAAATTATGCATACATAAAATTTTATTATACATTTCGGTACTTATCAAAACATTATTGAGGGTTTATGCATGAAAATATTGAAAAAATAATGATAGTTAAGAAAATCTAGTGATATCTTTTACGTGGATAATACATATACAGGCAAATATATTTTTTTCAGAATTGTGTGAACCGTTACAGTTTCCTAGGGATACAGAATTTTACTGTTACAACAAAGTTTCAGACATATCTGATTGTAAGAAAGCTGTCGAAGGATGGGCATTATCGTACCCTTGTCCTAGTGGGTACCTTGAGACAAATTATCTTCGTGTGATAAATTGCGCTAAAGGAACTTGGGGAAGGCCCAAACCAGAATGCATTCCAGGTAACTTAATAATATCACTCCTATACTAATACAATTTTTACGGAAGATTTCATTTAACGCTCCTTAGCACCTGTAATTTAAGGCGAGCATGCCATTGTTAAGTTACTCAATTATTAAGTCAAAAGTAGAGCCACTGAAAATCGTATACAGGGTCGGAAAGTCCCCATGGTTCATCGGCCGTTACGTGAGAGCGATAAAGTAAGTCATAGAATTTCACACCACAAGGGGGCTAACCCATCTGAGCCTGCAAATAGCGAGTTTAATCGCTTATTTTTCTTGAAATAATTAAATTCCACACCACAAGCGGGCTACTCCCTATCCCACATAGCCATGTGGGTTAGCCTGAAAACTATCCATTATATATCAAAATGAAGTAGGTACTACGGGCGAAAAAACAGGGTTGGCGGTAAATTCAAATATCATGAAGAAAGCATGAGCAAAAGCCTTGGACTGGGCGATGATAAAAATTGAAGAATTATTAATATGGAGTTGACATTGTGCTCTTCCTTCGTTTTGAAGTTATAATGACTTCGAATTTACCGAAATATCGGTACTAGATGATGTTAGTTGTAAACTTTTGGGTACCAACAATTGAAAATCGTACTACTACTACAGTACATATTGAAGTTGCTATATTAGCTATAACAATTGAGTGTTAGGTAGTAATATTTAATATTTCCTTTAGAATGTGGTAGAACAGTTGCTGACTTTTCTGGTACTGGATCGGAATATCCCTGGAACGTAGGAGTTTACAAGTTAAACAACAGTACGGAAGAGAAATACAAATATGTTTGTGGTGGGTCCTTACTTTCTCAATATATTGTAGTGACAGGTAAGACCCACTTAAACATACATAAAAAATATTTGATCTATAATATTATACTCGTTACTTGAAGTGTTAAATAGTATACAATAAATAATTATTTCTTACATCTAGCTGCGCAGTGCGTAACAGACAAATTTAGTCACTCACTGTCAAAAAATGACTATTATTTACGTATTTTATTTATTTACGTATTTAACAATACCTGACAGGTTTTCTACAAGAATACCGTTTTTATGTCATTTATACCGCGGAATCAGAATTTCTAAAGAAAACTGCAAAAATATGACGTTTAATAAAAATGTGAACAAATTAAATCGAGGCCTCCCCTGTCGGTACGCCCCTGATTAAAATAATAATTTAGTAAAAACACTGAAAAGTACCTACTATTAAAGGCAATTCATATGCCAAAATATAGATGGCTATCTGAAACGGTTCCAGAGATATAAAATAAAACCTATATCCCGGTGCAATCTTTGAATCGCCATAGCAACCTTATGACGCATTTGCGGACCTATGTTCATATGAACATTTCTTCATAGTTTAACATGTAGAATCACCCCTAGAATTATTCGAACGGTATTTCCGGACACCCTGTATTTTTAATTATGTGAGAAATATTACTGGACTACCAAGTAAACGGGATACAAGTTGCGACGAATTAGAAATATTCCCCATTAATTAAGTACCTACTCGTTTTGGAAATTTATGTTTTATTTTTTTTTTTGCTTTAATAGTTTCCTCGAAATTTCCCGAATGCAAACAAATTTCACGAAAAATTATTTGAATGTTTATTACAAATGTATCCAAACGTTTTTGAAATAGAGAAAAAATAAAATAGAAACTTAATATTTTGTTCAGAGACGAAAAATTTCATAATTTAGAAGTTCAAAAATCGATAGAAATATTATACAAGGAATTTAAAATGGTATTTTCGGAAACATGCAAATTGTTTTGTCCAGTTTTAACAATTCCTGCAAAAAGTGTCTCGGTAGAAATAAACTTATTGTGTCTTAAGCGCATTAAGACTTAGGTACCAACTTAAGAAATACGATGACACAAGAGAACTTAATCAACTTATCAATGACGCAATGACGACAGAAAAAGAACTATTGCAAAGTCTTAGTGCCGATCCTCAATTTTATGAAGACATTTATAGTCAATTTAAAAGACGGACGAATAAACCTGTTTTATAAAACCATTCACATGTTTTTATAATATTTTGTTAAAAATGGATGCAAACGAAATGTTGGCGGCGTTGTTTTATATGTAAATAGATAAGTTGGCTGGCTACCTTATGAAAACTTGTTTTTACGTTTTTTTCGTATTTTTTAATATTCATAAACCAAGTAGGAACAATTTTGTTAAGTATTAAGTAAATAGGTATATCACTTCTATTTTTATTGTAAATACAATTTTTAAAGTTCTGATATTATTATTAATAACATAATTTTTTTTTAATTTACGGCTATAGTAAGGCTATTGGCGAAGATCTGCATAATAAAAAATGATTGATCTATATAATTACATTTATTTAGCTATACCCATATACAGGCCTGGTCGCTCTGTAGAAGAACGAACGCGCGGGAAAAGACGGCACATACACAGCCGCACTAGGCGACCTGGCCATAAATTCACTTGTCAACAAATGGACTAGTGCAGCAAGGCGGAATTTGATGTGATGGTAATATTAATTTATTATAGGCACCTTCTATTAATCATTGATATTACAATTGCGAAAGGGAGAAATAAGAGGGATATTTTGTTTACTAATATTATTACAACATGGCATTTTGGAGGCCTTTTGAAACGGAACAAAACGAAATTTACTATCAATATAATAAAATTGTTTGAGGACATAAATAATTAAAACATGTTGTTGACCAAATGAACATATAATAGAAATTTTCTGTACATTATACATATACAAATTATTATAATTTTTTACCTTTGTCAAAAAACTTCAGAAAGATGGGAAACCCAAACGTATTAAACTTATTTAAAATCCCAAACTTCAACATTTCAAGTTGTTCATTAATTTACTTTAAATTATAGTCAATTGATAAAATAATACAACTTTTGCGACCTCTTCTGAAGTATGCAAATTTTGTTTTCGCATTGTTATTGAGAACTGTCGAGTTTCTTGTTGTCAATGCCACCCAGTATTTTGTTCTACCTCTACAAATACAATATAAAATAAGTTTCATGTAGTTCTTTAAATATGCACTATCAATTTATAATTATATGTAAGTTCCATCTTCACACAACTGACTTAACCGGTCAAACAGGATTTTTTTGTTCACGCTTATGTTTTCTTTCCCTAATTATATTTTCAGCGACCACGGTGACTAGTTTGTTTTCATCATGAAAGCAAAAGACAGTGCGTACATCTTACTGAGCAGCTTGCTATTTGTTGCTGGTAAGTTTAACCTTTACAAATACGTCACATAATTACAAATTTGATTTTATCTAATCTTAATTTATGAGCATTACAGAGCATTAGGTAAAACATTATATAACATAAAATATTATAAATCACAGCGCAATTTAAATATTTTACATTATATATTGAGATAATTCCAATTGAAAATTATATCCGAAAGACAATACCCGATTAGCTATGAATTAATCTCAGTTCAAGATCAAAGGTGTAGAATAAATTGCCAACAAAGTAAACCAATGTATCTATACGTTTTTGTGGTTGCTGAATCCGAATTCGGTGTTCGCTTGATCAGGTCTGGATCAAGATTAGTTCAAGGTCAAATGTAGAGAATCAATCGCCAACAAAGTAAACCTATTATATTTATACGTTTTTGGGGTCGCTGAAACCAAATCCGAATCCATTAGGTCCGATCAGGTCTACTAAATACTCTCAAGTTATAAACTCAAAACGCTCAAGTTAAGCATTTAAGCGTATTAAAATAAGATTTAAAAAAAAACAAAGCTCTGAGTCCATGATTCTCGAGTTAATTGTTTTTGACAAAATTCTAGTATCAACAACATCAAGTTTTAAAGCAATGTGTCCGTTAATGCTTCATGTACAATTTTTGAACATGTTTATATCCTATTTGCATTGGTACCGACGCTTGGTGAAATCTTTTTTCCCTGCTCGTCAAACCCAATCAAATTCTTCACTTTGGGTTTACTTTGTTGGAAATTGATTCTCTACATTTGACCCAGAGGTAATCGGGTCAAACGGACACCGGATTCGGATTCAGCGACTGCAAACACATGGTATTATATTTCGGAATTCCCACTTTTTTTGTAAAATAAAAAATATAAATGTTTGGACTTTAGACTTAAGGTGATGTACAATTTTTTTCTCAGGTGCAAGTTACTCTGCTAACGACACAAATTACTTCAGGCAAAAGCGACAAAGTGAAAGTAGCAGGTAAAAAAATATTTCTAATTCTTATTTCACTATAATAATTACTATTTCTGTATATTTTAATTCCTTTGGCTTTTGAATATTATTAAATATTGAATTTAAAATATCTTTAATGCCGCAAATAGTTTTACGAAGTTTTAAAAAAATGCTAGATGTACACTCCCACCTCACCCCGAACAAGGGCATTGGAAACTTCTCAATGGAAAAGCCAATCCAGGCGAAAAAGTGCTGATAGCAAGTGTCATTACATTTGAATGCAAATCCGGATACAAGCTGTCGAGTAAAATTCCCTTGGTTTGCCTTGGAGAGTGGTCTTCGCAAGCTCCTCAATGTGAAGGTAAAATAAATATTACAGGTTTTAAGAATCAAAATTTGAACCAATTTCGTCTAACAGTATGCCACAATATTCGTGTACACAAGGATGAAGCTCTGCATGTCTAAAAGCATACCCGTGCTAGGTACAGACGCCCTAAGAATGCAGTATAACACATGTAGCTTTCTGGATGATGTGATGTGATCTATACAAGGTGTCTCATAAATTAGTGTGCAATACTTTAACAGTAGATTTTACTATCAAAAATAATATTATATTTTTCTATAAACAAGGGTCGGAAAATGCTTCCTAAGGGAGCTATGCCCCCTTAAAGGGGCCTCAGGTGATCATATTTTTCAAAATATTTCCAAAACAGCCAAAGCAAAAATTTTAGTTTAATATTCTGTCAAATTAATTGAAGTAAACAAACGTTTGTTTTCATGGTCTACCTACCTATTCATGTAATCCTTTTCCATTCTTGAGATTATGTAATAAAACTTTAAAATCGATATTTTTCGAAAACGGAGCATCAAATCAAGAGTACATTTTTTTGTGAAAAACTCATATCTATCATAGTTTGGTGTTTAAATTTGAAAATATTGACATGCAAAAATTAGGGCACATTTTACCCCTTGAGCCTGAGACACCCCTGACTAAAATTATTAAACAGTTTTTATGTAATTCGTTAGAACATTCATTGAAAATTCAAAATGATACGCTAACTAGTTTTAGAAATATTTTGAAAAATATGATCTCCTGATAGCCCTTAGAGGGGGGGGGGGACGTGTAGGAACTCCCTTTTTTCGACCCTTGTTTATAGGAAAATATAATCTTACATCGGAGTAGGCTCTGATATATGTCTAATGTCTCGTCATCGTGGGACACCCTGTATATGATACTAACTAAAATAAATAACTTTGTAAGGTTTTACATTTACATCACACAAAGGAACTTTACGAACATCCTCTCGTAAACCGATAAAGTGGAAAACTAAAATAAGAATGAAGCAAATGAAACAGTGATGACGTATTCACCCATTCCCGATTCGCCGAATTATCGTGTCAGTTTATTTTCAACTCTTTTACCATCCCATCATATCATACCAGGTGTGAAGTCAATCGGCAACAGCCGGTTACAAACACGGAGATATGGCGTCGCAACTGAACAGCGGTGGCTAATCTTTGTTGTCCCTCGGAAACATTCGGAACACGATGAAATTCTGTTTAAATTTAAACTGTTCACGGTTTAATTTTCTTGCAATTTTAGTTACTTTGGATTAACTTAATATATTTAGCACCGATTCTGAAGTGACTGAATAAAAAAAATACAGCAGAAATAATTATTTTAAAACATAAATTAATTTTATTTACAATTAGTAACCTATTTGCATGCCAATATGGTTAATCACAGGCACACAAAAAAATGTCAAGACCCAGAGGGTAGAAGGCCCCGCTTTTGGGGTGGCTGAAACCGAATATGACCATACAAAAATTTAAGTAGCCATTTCCCCGTTACCACCCCCATACACCCCCTTCTGGGAGTTGAAATGTCAATTCTCATACAAAGTCGAGACAGTCATAGGGTGTGTATTCCTATGTGTATTCCTATGTTTTCTGGGCCATTAAGAAGACTACCAAAAATGAATTAGAGCCCCTCATTACCCCCTAGCTTCACTTTACTAGCCCCATACACCCGTTTATGGGGGTTGAAGTGTCAATTTCATACAAATTCGAGTGGGTTATGTATGCCTACGTTTTCTAAACTGCTGAAAACAAATGTGGGTGGCAAAAGGTGCTGAGGGTTGACGAGGGGGTTGGATTCATTTTCGGTAGTCTTCTTTGTTTTCGGCAGCCTAGAGAATGTAGGCATACACAACCCACTCGACTTTGTATGAAAATTGACACTTCAACCCCCAGAAAGAGGTGTATGGGGGTGGTAAAGTGACGTTAGGGAGTAACGAGGGGGTCTTATTCATTTTTGTTAGTTTTCTGCGTTCTTAGTGGCCCAGAAAAACACTCTACTCGACTTTGTATGAGAATTGACATTTCAACTCCCAGAAGGAGGTATATGGGGCTGGTAACGGGGAAATGACTAGTTTTTTTTATGGTCATATTGTACTGTCTAACAGTTGATTGAAAAAATATATTTACAATTAGTGACGTATCTACGTTTTTATTTTTTTTAGAATGTTTTTCAGAATGTTCAGCGCTTCAACCACAGTGATATTAAAAAACTATGGTTAATTTAAAATAACACCTCGCTAAGTTATACAATAGCAATCTGTTTTACTAAATTGTTTTTCATTTTAACTTCGCATAGTGTAGGTTGATTTAAAAACAACCTAAAATGCTGATAGGCACTAATATGCAAATTCCGGGTGTCCCGACTATTTACTAGATTAAAAATCATAAAAAACTGACCCCCCACTTAGAGTTACATCCTGTACAATCAGTCAATTTATCAAAAACTGTGTTTAAGCCTAATCTTTGAAGGGCCAGAAAGGCCTTAGAAATTGTTTAATTCAAAATCGGTACTCATTTTTTTATTTATTTGAATGTACGGATTCAGCACTGACAGCTTGTCAAGGGTGTTATGTTGCATTTATTAAGATCACATTTTTTCATATATTAAGATCATTTTCAGAGTTGTGTTCACCACTGTATCCTTCAGACGCATATGATCTAAAATGCACTGACAAAATAGGAAGAGAAGTAAATTGCAGTGAAGCCACCCATGGGACAAAACTAGAATACTCCTGCAAAACTTATTACGAGACTCCTTCTAACTACAAGAAGACACTTTTCTGTGAAAACGGCAAATGGGATAACCCCAGACCAGTGTGCTTGCCAGGTATCAAGCCGATACAATTGTGTCTGTATCCGCTTCATTTTGTCTTATGTTTCAGTTTGTGGGAAAAAAATTTCAAAAGATACAGAAGCCTTAATATATGGTGCTAAGCCCAATGAAAAAATAGAGTATCCATGGGTTGCAGCAATTTATCAAAAGTTTAATAATTCTTACGAACATATTTGTGGAGGATCCATTTTAAGTCAAACAGTGATTTTAACAGGTTATTTTAATGTTTGCCATTACTGAAATATAACAACAAATCAAATAATTTGATTTTCAGCTGCTCACTGTGTTACGAATGATTATGGAAATGTACTTCCAAAACAAAACTACAAGGTTGGAGTAGGGAAACTTTATAGAAGATATCAAGCAACTGAGGACACTCGTGCTCAATATTTGGAGGTAAATCCTAAAAATTTGTTTATTATTCACTACTAAATTTTGTTAAATGTACGATGGATGGATTCAGAAAAAATTCAAAATTGCTCTGTATGTAACAAATATACAAAATAATTCTTTCATCAAAGCTTTTTGCTCACCTATTACATGAAAAAAAAGTTCAGTACCAATTACGCAAGTCCCTAAAGCGCTGATTGATATTTTTAGGATGATAAATTTTAATAAGAAATTTAATCACGTCAACTAACTTTTATTTTGTTCGACAACTATTGGAATATTCAAAATATTATGATAAAAAAGATTATTTTACCATTTAATCCAAAGAAGTAGTATTTTGCGAACTGTTTTTAGTTTTCAAAACATTCAATTTACAGAGGACATTAAAATAAAACAATTGACCCAAGCACGCCTTAGTAAAATGTCACTCCTTACCGAGAGGGTGTTTTATCTGAAACCCTTCTTTCAATATCTTGAATGCCCTAGAAAATTACAAACTTTTTAATGGCAATTTTATGGTTACTATTTTTTATGCAAAAAAATCTTTATAGAGAAAAATAGTTTATTTATTTGAACACTCTTAAGCCATTTGTTTTAAAGAAAAACGTTAATTAGTGAATTTTCAATGTGCATTGGTGACGCCACATCTACCAAGTAGGCATAGATATCTCAGATATTTGTTGATAACATTTGAAAGAATTGTCTGTTTGCTGAATTAAATAATTCGTGTTGCGTTTTAAAGTAGGCCTCAACATTATTAATTTTCTAATGAAGATTTGATAGATGATCTGTGTTTACGTTAAAGAAAACTTTTGTGCATGCAGGACGGTATTTTATATTGTACTTTATTAGGAGGCAGCCAGAACACAAACTTTATAAAAACAGGGTCAAAAAAGTATAATCGTAAATGACCGAAAATAATACCTGTGGAAAAAAAGGAGATATACTAAATCCCATAACAGCAAATCCACAAATAAGTACGCTCCGTTTGTATTCTACTGCAATGATAAGAAAAGAAAATTATTTCCTTATGATTTACTCAATTTTACTCTATTCTGATTTCCGAGTATATGTAAAACTAATTAATAGTTGACTTTTTCTCTAATATGATTTAAATTTATTGTATTATTGAGTAATTTTGTACTATGAAAATTTCCAAAGGAGGCGGTGCCCCATAAACCAATAAGCTGTGACAGTGGTACAATATTTTAGATCTCGATTATAGGAAACCAGTGCATTTAAACATAATTTTCACCAAAATAATCGGATTAACGGACACTTGTCCAGCACTACACGCCATACACCATTCCACGAGATGACCTAATGAGAACGATGAGAATAGACAAAGACAACGCACGACAACCATAGAATAGGGTGGGGTCACTTCTACACTATCTACAAATGCACCAAATACGAGTTTATCTGCAGAATTTACCTATTTAACGGGTACCTATATTTGAGTGAAAGTATTCAGTTTTAATTCAAATATTATGAAAAATGAATGAGTGTCGAAATGCTCAATATTGACTGAAAATGTACGCAATAATTTCGCTCTATGGATTCACTCCGTACCTTTATTGCTTTCAATCGCACCAATTTTTTAACAGTGTAGAGTACACCGTTGTCAATTTTATATCAGTAAACATAATACTGACTCTATTTAAAAAAAGTTTTTATGCGTACGAAGATGAATTTTTAATTGGCGCAACAATCATCCATGAAAATTTAAAAACCCATATTTAACGAGAAACAGGCACTTTCAACATGAATTTTCTATTAACTTTTGGTGAGGAATTATTGGAAATAGTTGAGTCGGTCCCTGTGAGCTTCCTCGTAGGCTTAATGGCGATCTGCACGCAATTTTTGGAAAATCGCATGGAGGAACTAATGGACGATGTGCCTCTAAGCTTAAGACACAATTATTACTTCATGCACGATGGGCTACCAATTGATTTTCAAAATCAAGCTCGTTCCTATTTAATTGCGCGTTTTCCACTTCGATGGTAACGAATTCCTGTGGCCACCACGCAACCCCGATTTAAACCCTCTTGATTTTTTCTTATGAAGTTACATGAAGTCGATAGTATACAAAGACCGTATGAATACACGAACGGAACTCTAGTTAAAGATACAAGAAGCTGCCAATTAAAAAAAAATAATCAAGAAGGAAACTTGTTTCAAGTCAGGCGAAATTTAATTAAACGTATAAGAAAATGTTTTTACATAAATGGAGAACATTATGAAAATGATTAAAATAACAATTATAATATGTAGAAGGACTAATTTTTGTTTTTGGTTGCCATCAATGCATATCAGCTTGAAAATATACTAATAAAATAATTAACATTTTTCTCTAAAACCAATGGACTTAAAATCTTCAAGTACTGCACCTTTTTATTAACGCTCTCTCAAAGTAATTAGAAAACCTTTTAATTCAATATCTTTGATTTTCACGTCCTCTATTGTGATAAATTTGCTTTCCAGTTAACCAAGATAATAGTACCTGAAGACTATAAAGGAGATGCGAGAAGATACGCTGGGGATATAGCCGTATTAGTAGTTAAGAAAGAAATCACTTTGAATGAAGTGACACAACCTGTTTGTTTCACGAACTTGAAAAATATTCGTTTACATGCAGGAAGTAAAGGAGAGGTATAGCTGTTAAATCCCCCCCATATCCACCACCTTTCAAATATTCTATTTTATAGGTATCAGGGTGGGGTCTTGCAGAAGGTGAGATTCCTTCTGAGGTTTTGCGAACTCTGACGATCCCCTACAAGTATGAGACGGTTTGCGCAGAAGAGTTACCTCCCGACTGGGCCGACCGATACAACTTACAGGACAAAATCTGCGCTGGTTTCGTCAACAAAAGCACGAGCGTGTGTAGTGGAGACAGTGGCGGTGGACTAGCTTTCAAATATCGAGAGGACAACAGATATTACGTTCATGGAATTGTGAGCGTGGCACATAAGGGTGGATACATCTGTAACATCCAACAAAACGCACTTTATACTAGTGTAGGGCATTACTACGAATTTGTAGAACGTCTTTTGACAAAGTATGCTCCTAAGATTAAAGACTGTGTTCTACCTCCTTTTCCCCAGAATGGCAGATGGACGACTGAACGAGGAAAATGGAAACCAGGAGATGTCGTTCCATCCGAGACGATTCTGAAAGTAGAGTGTGATGATGGATTCAAGGAATCTTCTACAATAAACGTTGAATGTAGTGCAGCCCACAACTTGCCTACGTGTGAGAGTAAGTGCTTTTTAATAATCATTTTCAACTAGTTGGAGAATCAAAAGTAAAACTTGCTTTCATTAAATAATTGCGTTCCTTAAAAGATTCCTTTCTGTATCACCATCTATACACATTCCTTTTATACATAAACTTATTGTTAGTTGCATCTTTTACTTACAGTTCCTAATTTTTTCTACTAAATTACAATTTTGAGAACATATGAGTGAAAATTTATTAAAATTGAACATTTCAACGTCCATAAAAAATACATCAAACAAAATTTATTTGTTCGTCATATCCTCAGAACGTTTTTGCTGGAAAACCAACACATAGCAATTTGTTACAAAACAATTACCGTTTATTGGGCTCATTTAGATTCTTTTTTTCTAAAATTTAATAACGAAAGAAGATCGATTTTTCCGAATGGTTACCATAATTGTAGTCCAATCGGATTAGACTTTAAAAGTGCCTACTGTTTTGGGAACTAATTAAAAGAGGGTATATTATTAATCAAACATTTTCGGAAGAGTGTCAGGATATTAGGACAATAGTTTGGGACCAGTTGCCGGTTGCGGAACATTGTTTAAATAATCAAAGAAAAACCGGAAAACTGGTTTTTTGTGTTCAACTTTTGAACCGTTGATGCTACTGAAAAAAAGTTTAATACTTTTTTATAGGTATTAAAAATACCTACAAAATGAGATGGATCAAAATTCGTTAATTAGTTTTCTTGCAAAACTCAAAAAGCAGCCAATTTTAGCGTTTTTTCAATTTTATATAATTCAATTAGTTTTGCTTCTAAAAAATCGTAGGTACTATAACTTTTTTTGAAGGTCATTGTATACAAGTGGTAGAAATTTTAGCTCAAAATATTTATTACTTTTTGTTAAAAGCTATTTGTTATTAAAAAAAGGCTCTTGGCAAATTCTAATTTCTACATGTTTGAGCGTCATAGAGACTTGTTCGAGAGCTTATTTTGCTCGTTTGTATTACAACGTACAATAAAGTAAAAGTTGATTATTGAAGTGTAAATTGTTTAATTTTTTTAATATTAAAAGTTAAGTGGTAATTTTTTTCAGATAAAATTTTCACATCGATTATTTAATTGCTACGCTTTTTATGCAAATTTTGAGACTTTACTCTACGATGCTCTGGAGCTGAGATACTTTTTTTTTCAAAAAATTATTGTGGCAGATAAATTTTAATATTACCACTAGAAAGGTAGGCAAGTGCGCTGGTACGGACTTTACCTTTCTCGCGGGCCTTCGGCCCTCGGGCCGCGCTGTGATTATTGATTAAGTAAAAATAGTATAATAAAAACAACCCTTAACTGGACCTTTTGACACAAAGATTTCTTTAATTAGTATGGTATGACGATAGACTATTTTAATCTTACATATCTAAAATATTATTGTAAGTTCTTGGCCTGTTGCTATTCAATATTCCCACCACTAATAACATTTGCCAGGTCAAAACTTGAGTATGCCTTTGGAACCCAATATAAAAGCCTTCATAAATGATTACAAGCCACATGACCAGTAATTTCGTATGGAACAGTAATTTTACTTCCTTCGCGATGGCAATTAAGTTTTAGAAAATAGTAAATTATTAGATCAATAATGTCAAGGTTACGTTAAAAGACAACATCCTGTTTCATTGGCTAGTGATATTTCATTCAACCAGTTGACAAAGTTGACAATGGCGTTGTCTCAAGCGTAGATGCTACGGTTTGTCATTGTTCATTGTAAACTGATGACACTGAAATTTAGGTATTTTTAGTTGACAGTACCAGTTGTGCAATGTCGGTTGCCTAAGCACGGCGTGCAATCATTTATGAAGGCTGTGCATGTTGACCATTCATTTCATTCATATTTGTAAAAAGTTCAGAGGAAATTCCTTAAATGTCTCTCCTCTAGACTTGACAATATTATATATCCTATCAGAGATACTCCACAATCTAAGTTAAACAGATTTAATATGAATTTAATAACATTCACTATTCCATCCTTCTTATCTCGCTCTTAAGGCTCATTTACACGGGGATAGTAATGAGGCAAATACTTGAGAAAGTAGAGTACATCTACCCGTATACACTCAGTAGAATAGAGTAGCTAGTAGAGTGTGCAGTAGATGGTAGCTTAGATTCACTAGCAACATGTGCCAAATTAACTAATCTAATACCACCACCATCATCACAATGTCCACTCGCCTGCGCACTATATCCATGGAACGCGCTCTGGTTCTGTAGTAGAATAGAATAGGCAGAAGATTGAGGACGTCACTCAACTTTCTTTTTCTTGAATTTATTTTTTCACCAAACACCACACCACTCTATACTAGCAACGGTACTATACTTTGTGCGACCAGTCCCAGAGCTGAAACGGTAGAGGGGACAGTAGAGTGTACTCTACTTGCTACTCTACTTTACCCGCAACCATCCCCGTGTAAATGAGCCTTTATTATTACCTGCTCCACCTAGCAATGTAATTCACAACTTAAACAATGTGTCTAAATCATAGGGAAAGTAGTATCTGTAATATTCAGTTTTGTATTTTATCTGCCAGAGCAGTGTATTTATAAATAAAGCAATAAGTATTACTGAATGAGCAGCCCATTCTACTCTAATACTTCGCTAATGTATGTTTACATTTTTCAGCGTTGTGCCCATTGCCGAAATTTCCCAGAGGAACAGATTATCAATGCAAAAATAAAGAAGGGCAAGCTATCGTCTGTTCTACAGCTATCGACGGATCGACTCTATGGTACAATTGCCCCCGTAAATACCAAATGGCGGACGATTTAGTTAACAGAACATGCGTGAGAGGATCCTGGGGACAACCCAAACCGGAATGCATTTTCGGTAACTTAACATCACAGATTGATGCGCGAGGAATTACATTCCTTATTTACATTGTCGTCCTTTAATTTTCAATTATTTTCAGAATGTGGTAAAAACGTTGTTGACGATTCCGGAGTAGGATCGCAATATCCATGGAATGTAGGGGTGTATGAGTTGAACCACAACGCAGATGAAAAGAAGCAAGAAGAAAGGTATAAATACGTTTGTGGTGGATCGTTAGTTTCCGAATATGTTGTTGTAACAGGTGAGCAAAACTGAAATTCGACGTTATACTCTTGTCTGGTATATTAATTTTGACATAATACGGGGTGTCACAAATTAGTTCTTGGACGAAAATAATAAGACTTTCACATTTTTTATTTTCTTTGTGTTAAAGTTTTAAAAACGATTTTTATTAATAAATACCTTTCTTGTTTTCTATCACACTTGGTTAAAGTTTTGAACACATTCCTGAGGTTATATGTTTTTACATAACAATCGTAAAGCCAATTTTGCCCTAAATTGCAGAATATCTTTAAAAATACTATTATTTGTATGTTCACATTATTCTTTAAGCAAAATCGATTGGTCTGTACTTATTATAAATATTAATTCATTTTTAGGCCAATCAATAGAGGTTTTCTTTGTGACAAAAATACTAGTAACAAACTGTCTGTGCCATATGACATCTGTGCCATACACAGTCTGTAGATATATACTTATACAGGGTGATTTTGAATAGAGTAGCACAAACGCTACCAGTGCATCTAGATGAAAAAATAAGGCGAATGAACTAAATATATCTTAGAAAAAAGTTGCACTCCTGAGGTATTACAGAGTCTTGAATGTTGTAGAGCCAACCAATATTTCCTTCAATTTATCTTGAACGAAGTGGCGTAAATCATTTATATTTGGTACAGACATTTGTCCAGTGCGGACACATACTTTCTATTAATATTGTTTAAATATATCCACCAGAGGCGCTGCTGTCGACTACATGCAACATATTACTCCAAAGAATTTTTACATGTCTTATATACATTTATATACATTTATATACATTTATGTCTTATTTACATTTTCGGACGTAACAACTAAAAACAAACATTTTTTTTCTCTTCCATTTTTTCGATAAACGCGATAGTTTTTTTAGACAATTTACGAAAAACAAACTTCGGAAATTTTACAGCGCCAATGGTTGCAGTCAGGTTGCAGTAATACAAAAACATCAACACACCACCACTCATTAATAGCTAAAGGAAAACGCTTTTCTGGTAAAGTAATTTTAATAAATTTATTTTGAAGGAACAGTAAGTATTCGTTATGTAACAAATCAAGTCATTTTAAGTGTCTAATTTAAATAATAAATTTTAATTTAAAACTACCTACTGTAATCTCGAATGTAATACTAAGGAACATAACGTTATTTTAAAGTAAAAAGTTTCTAAAGAATATTTTCAAAGTAGTTCCCATTTTTCTGCAAACACAATCTAACACGACGATTAAAATTATGACGTACTCTTGTAAATATTTCTGGGTTGTTACGAATATCGTCAACTGCGAGAAAGATTTTTTGACGCAATTCTTCAACAGTATTAACAGGAGTAGCATAAACAAAACTTTTCAGTTGTCCCCATAAGAAATAATCAAGTGGGGTAATATCCGGTGAACGGGCAGGCCAACTAACGGGTGCATCGACACCATGACCTATCCAACGTCCCGGAAAATTTAAATTCAACCATTGCCTGACAGCTAAGGTAGGTACTATGTGCCGGAGCCCCGTCATGCATGTACCACATAACTTGTCGTACACCTAGTGGTATATCCTCCAATAATATTGGGAGATTTTCATTTAAAAATCGAAGATATTCAAGAGCTTTCAGTCTATGGGGAAGAATAAATGGACCTATTAGAGCATCTCCAACAATTCCTGACCATACATTTACACTAAAATTGTGCTGAAATCTTGATGAACATATTTCATAGGGGTTTTCATCAGACCATGTATGACTATTACGATGGTTAACTAAGCCATGTCTTTGAAAACATGCCTCATCGCTACGCGGCGTCGTGCGTAACTTTTCCATTCCTGCGTAAAATCCTTTTTACAACACTTATTATGTAATATATTATATTAAAATTACTTTAAGAGAAAGGCGTTTTTTTTGCTATTACAGAATGGTGTGTTGATGTGTTTGTTACTGCAAATATTGATTCACAACTTATCCAAAAAAATTTGGGAATAGATGCGTCATGAAAAATGGAGTCAATACTGCAAAAAAAATTGTAAAATTCTTATAGTTTCCGAGAAAATGTTGTAGTATTTTCAACCATTACATCGCTGGGATACTGTGGTATCTAGCGTCAATCGCCCACGTGGCCCCAAGCGATTCCAATACTGAAATCAGATTTTAGTATTATCGTTGCGATAGTGTTTACATTAGTTTTTCAAGTGGTGAAGCAAGACAACATTTGTGTTATGGTGAAGCAAGACAACATTTGTGTTAGTTCGTAGAAACTGGGTAAGACGGGTCCAAATGTGTTTACACGTCGATCAAATTTCGCCCCCGGTTCCAATCCAAATGTCAAGCGGAGAAGACCGAGAAGCCGTGCCAAATAACGTCGTTCGCCGGAGAAGAAACTCCTATTTTTTTTCCAGCCCACCAAGGCAGACCGCGACATTTGAGGGTATCGCCAGATTCCCAAGAGCTGACATCCTATCAAAGATCGCCCAGGTTTCGGCGCGTTTCCGCAAGAGAGGGGATCGAACATCACCTTTGACTACTTGCAGTTATATAACCAGAGACCACTACCTGGCCAGTAGATGTAATGTGTGGTCCAAATTTAAAGTTGCGAACTTAGAGCCGATATAGTCAAAATTACACATATCCGCATGTTACTTATTATCGTTATTGCTATTGTATCGTTATACTGAGTGTTAAATAAACATATATCTATCAGATATACTGTTTGTTGATAATAAAAAGTTCTACCAAGTCGCTCAGGCATTAATATTAGAAAGTATATAATTATTATACGAGGACTTTTCAGAATCTTGACCAATATAAAAAATTTTTCCAGTATCCAAATTTTTTACATATCGATCCAGGTTCTTAAACAGTATTAAAATAGTCACAAATATTTAAGAATTTACTTAAAGTCCTATTCAAAATCCAATTTACTGACTTCGCTCAACATCACCCAAGCACGGTCCTAATGTAAAAACAAGTTGCAAGTAAATTAGAGCGTGTTCTGCCAACTTAGAAGCACTAAAAGTTATTCTCTCAAGAAAAATTAAAAACGTACGTCATTCCATAGATACGAGGCGTGCGGGAACGCCACAAATTTAGCTTAGTATGTTAGAAAACAAAGAAGTTAAAAAATTGTTTTGTTCCTGATTTAACATATTGAAAGTTCGATTGTTTTCCACCAAGTAATTTATGACACAGTGCACACTATTGTTTTTTTCATTTAGCTGCCCAATGTGTAACAGACGAATCCTATCACTTATTATCGAATGATGATTATTTGATAGGAGCTGGCAAGCTTTATAGGAGTTTTAATGATCCCAGAGACACGCACGCTCAATTTGCTAACGTAAGTATAAGATTTGGATGTGATAATTTAAATATAACACTTATACTTATATGTTACCCGTATATTATACCTTTTATTACGCATATCATAAATGCTTGTATAGATCAGTTTTATTTTCCTAAATCCTGGAAATGTGCAAACGTCATTCCTCTTCCTGAAGTTAACAATCCAACAGAGCCTACACATCTTCGAGCGATTTCACATTGAGTAAGATTCTTGAAAAAGTTATGGAAATGCAAATTACTGCATTTCTTAATGCCAACAATATCCTTCCGGAAAAACAATCTGGTTTTAGGCATGGATATAGCTGTTCAACTGCTCTTTCTGATTTGACAGATGATATTTTTAAGTCAAGAGCTAATAGTGAAGCTATGGTACTGGTCTTGTTGGATTATAGTAAGGCGTTTGATACTCTTAATCACGATATACTCAATTCAATTTTTCATTATATAGGTTTTACAAATCCCGCATCATCGCTAAAATAACCTCATTTCTTTGTGATAGGAAGCAGCGACTATCACTCGATAATAACTTTTCACAACCTCTTGTCATGCTGTCTGGTGTGCCACAAGGAAGTATATTAGGGCCGTTGCTGTATTCTGTCTACACTTTAAATGTTATTAAATCGCTGGTTTATTGTAAATATCATATGTATGCGGATGATACACAGCTTTACTATTCTTTTAATCCCTCTGAAGTAGTCCATGCTAACTTTAAGATTAATAATAATTTATGTAACTTAGCAGCTGCGTCTAAAAATCATTTGTTAAAAATAAACCCAAAAATTTAAGTCTTGTTATCGATTATAATTTTAGATTTAAAGAGCATGTAACTAGTATTCTTGCGAAAGCGTATTCTGTATTGAAAATGATATATTCGCACAGACATTATCTGAACAGAGATATAAAAAAAAATGTTATGTGATTTCCTGATTCTATCCATATGTAATTACTGTGATAATGTGTATGGTCCGTGCTTTGATAATATTGATTCTAAACGTTTACAAAAATTGCAAAACTCGTGTCTTAGATTTATATTTGGAATCAGACGCACACAAAGAATTTCACACAAACTAAAGGAATTATCTTGGTTGAATATGTACAATAGAAGATACTTGCATCTAATTTGCTTCTGTTACAAGATTTTGAAATTAAAAGGATCGACGTTCATAATTTAAACAGTCGCAGAAAACATATATTAAACATACCTTATCATCGCAAGTAAATTTTTAAACGCTCTTTTAGTTATAATATAGTTTAATGTATTAATAAGCAGAACGTTATTGATCTTTCTCTGTCCTGCAATTTATTTAAAGCAAAATTTCAATCAAAACTGTTATCTGCACAATGATCCCATATTGTTAAATTATTATTGTTATTACTATAATTTTTTCTTACTTTTCATCCTTTTCTACAAAATTTTCTATTTTATTATTATTTTTTCCATTTTTCTATTCTCTTTTTCATTCCTTTCACCATTACCATATATGCACATATATTTTGTTTATTTCAGCCATCTTAAAAGTATCTGGTATTTTAGAATTGTATAGGTTTTAACAGCTCCTGATTTTCCAAATCAGTAAGCTGACATAGTAACCTTTTATTTCCAAAAATACTGTCTGTAAAATGTTATACCATTGTACTTGAAATTGGAGACAATAAAAAAAATTATTATTATTATTATTATTATTTGTACAAAGTTATAGACACAGAGTGCCCGTAGACCAATTTCTATTTTTTCTAGGTTACCTACATCAATATACACCCAGAATATAAACTTTCAAGAGGAACTGGCTACAATATAGCCTTAGTGATAGTATCGACACGTTTTAATTTCAATAATTTTATACAACCGGTGTGTGTTGTTGAAGGCGATGACTATTATTACTACGATAGTCCTTTTGACAAAGCAGAGACGGTAAGTTAGAGGAAGTGTTTATCAGTGACACATTCTTCTTCTTTCGTTGTTCTAGATGATTGGTTGGAGACTTACGGAAGGGCATTCCCTTGAAACAGTCGAATCTCTAGAAGTCGATCAGCCAACGGAAAGAGGTCCCTGTAAGGTCCCTTCTCACATCAGCCCCTATTCCTTCCCAGTACAAAACAGGTGTAGCAAATTTAAGAATGAATCAATTTGTTTGCTCCCTGAGGATCGGGGCAAAGGTGTAATTATCAAGCATAAAGATAATGGTAGATATCACCTTCTAGGTGTAGTTCTTTATTTTGAATATACGACGTGTCAGAAGGTTTTCTGGAACACCGATGTTACAGGCGTTACTTCGCTGATTCAATTCATAGCGTCTTATTTGAATTAAGTAAATGTAAATAAAAACAATTGTAATAAACATCCCAATACGAATAACTGATTCGATTTATTCTCCGATTTATTTTATTTGCTCGATAAAGTCAATACAAAGTAACAAGAGATGTACCATTCTGACAATTGCAAACTTATTACCAAAAAGCAGATTAGTAACAAAAGTCCAAAATGATTCAGCTGGAACTAAACATATTATGCGTTACAAGTCGACTGATGGTTCCAATTTAAAAACAAAATATTCATTAATGCATTACATGTTATTTAGATAACGAGCAAAAAGGTCTCTCTGATGTAGGTATGTGATATTGTCAAATATGAAAATTTTAATCATTATCAGGTAATTAAAAATGTTTCAAGTTAAATATTAAAAGAATTAACCCAGTACAAAATTATTTTATATTTCAACATAATTTATGTACACACTTTTTTTCGAACGTGACATAAAAAGTCTTAGTCGACAAAATTGTTGCGTGAATGTTCAGGTGAAGGTTCAACAAACAGTGACTTCCCTTTGCCCACGGCACTGTTATTGAGTGGTTGATAATTTAAACAATGTAGAAATCAACCACGGGGGACATTGCAAGCACAGCAAAAACGGTACTAGAAGGTTCAATGCTCGAGACATAGGAAACTGGAGGAGTTTCCTTCTGGTCCTCGAGAAGTAACCTGTTAAAGTGACCCAGGTCTCGCCTTGCCTTATGATGGTTGGAATTTGGTAATGATTTTGTTTGTAAACTATTATTACACCCTCCAAATAGAAATTTTATCAAAACCAATGTCCTGCATTCTCTTTCATGTAATTTGTTTTTTTTTTTGCTTCTTTTCGAAAATCAATATATTGTTATTTGTGGAATACTGTATTTGAGTTATACCCTTATTGCGATCGTAACAATATATAAAAAGACTTAATCTCGTAAATATACCACTCAACGACAATTTCATGTAACTAACACAGAGCACTATGTTTGCCACGTTCGCTTTGTTAATTAAAAGTATCCCCAGAATTGCAAATGGATGACAGAACGAGGAAAAAGCATGAGGTGCGTTTATCTACACGATTCTGAAAGTTGAATGTGACGAAGTCAAATTATCTTCCCAAATAATCACTGAATGTGGTGCAGCATTCAATCTTCCTGTGTGTGAGAGTATTAAGTACATCATCACTGGTCAATTATTTGAAGATTCAAGTATTATAGAAATAATAAGAATCATACTTTCTAATATCAAATTTCTTCGCCTCTTAAACAGCTTCTTGCAGCTTTGTTAAAAACAAAGTTTCAGCAGAATGAAACAGAAGTTTCCTCCACCTGCAAGGAATTATACATTTGATAGTACATACTTTGTTTGCTAGTAGCATTACTAGAAACAGAATTACTAATACAGAGCGGCTGTATATAGAAAACTAGACGTGCTACGATTATGGGGTAAAAAATCTATTAACAAATATGACCAAAAGAAATTGATTTAAAATATTTTCAAATTTGTAACTTCACCGCTAGGGGGCGCAACTGCTATTGTGTAACAGAAAATTGTCGGTTTTTCGAAATATCGCTTATATAACCTAAGTTGCAAATAGATTTTTTAGATACACTGTTAAACCCTTCACAAGTTTTATTTGAACTTTTTTTGTTATTACCATAGCAACGTCAGTATGAAGGACGCTATCTTGAAATTTTTAAATTGTCATAACTTCTAAATGCCTTAATAGATTTCAATAAACGATGGCTTATTGTAAAGAACTTTAATAAAATTCATTTTTATGATATAGGAATAAAATTATTTTCCTGCGCAACGGTAGACGCTAATGAGAAATGTTTTGTAATTGTTTCCGTTTACTAAAAAAATTTTATATTTGGAATTAATAAAAAAAATAAAACATTGCAGTTATCAAAAAAATTTTAAAATAAGGTAATAATTCTTTTTAATTAAGGACAAGATTGGTATAGTTTTACAATTTAATTTTGGCTTGGATTATGTCAATGTTATTTAGAGAACTAAATAAAGGAAGATGTTCTAGCACAACCTGACTATTTTAGTAATAACTAGAAAACGAAAAAATATATCGACCTCAGGTTTGTGTATTTGTTTTCCATAATGAATGGTCTATAAGCCATGAAAATAAACCTATATCGTTGCATTTATTTTTTTCAGTAAATGGAGACAATTACAAAACTTTTCTCATTAGCGTCGTCTACCGTTGTGCAGGAAAACAATATTTTTATTCTTATATCATAAATATAAATTTTATTAATAGTTCTTTAAAATGAGCCATAGTTTATTGAAATCGATTAAGGCATTTAGAAGTTATGACAATTTAAAAATTTTAAGATAGCATCCTTCATACTGACGTTGCTATGGTAATAACAAAAAAAAAGTTCAAACAAAACTTGTGAAGGGTTTAACAGTGTATCTAAAAAATGTATTTTCAACTTAGGTTATATAAGCGAAATATCGAAAAACCGACAATTTTCTGTAACATCGAAAAATGTCTAAAATGTAGTGTTTTTTTTCAGTAAATTAAATGAAAAATTCATAGAATATGTAAATTTGGTTTAAAAACTACATTTTTTTCTTACTCGTACTTAGTACTTTCTGATATAAAAAATTTGCCCTTTTGGGTCAAACCACATAATATTTATTTCAGCCAAAAACTTCGTTTTCTAGTAACACATTCATTTGAAATTTGTGTTTCAGTTGTTCAAGATAATAGTCCCCGAAGATTATAAAGGAGATATTAGAAAATACGCTGCAGATATAGCCGTGTTAGTGGTTAAGAAAGAAATGTCTATAAACGAAAAAGTACAACGAGTTTGCTTTACAAACATGAAAAACATCCACTTACATGCAGGAAACAAAGGAGAAGTATTATTTTTCTATCTAGCAAATGTTAGAACACACCCAAGACACTTTTTTAAACACACAACTTTTTAGGTATCAGGGTGGGGCCTTGCGGAAGGTGAGATGCCATCGGAAGTCCTAAGAAGCCTAGTGATCCCTTACAAATATGAAACGGTCTGCGCAGATGAATTACCTTCCGAGTGGGCCGATAGGTACAATTTAAAAGACAAAATTTGCGCCGGTTTCGTCAACAAAAGCACGAGCGTGTGTAGTGGAGACAGTGGCGGCGGACTGGCTTTCAAATATCGAGAGGACAACAGATATTACATTCACGGCATCGTCAGTGTGTCACATCAAGTTGGATACATGTGCAACATCCAACAAAACGCGCTTTACACTAGCGTGGCTTCTTATTACGAATTTGTAGATCGCCTTTTAACAAAATACGCTCCTAAAGTTAGAGACTGCATACTGCCCGCATTTCCCCAAAACGGCAAATGGACGACAGAGCAAGGAAAGTGGAAACCGGGAGATGCCGTTCCATCGAGCACGGTTCTGACAGTTGAATGTGACAAGGGATTCGTACTGTCTTCCAAAAGAAGCGTTGATTGCAGTACAGCCCATAACTTGCCCACTTGTGAGAGTAAGTATCTGATGTTGCTATAACCACTATGTATGTGGAATACTCCTAAATTTCTTCTTTTAATACAACTGCTAAAAAATGCTGTATAACTTTCTGCGAATCTCCATTATTAAAGTCTGATCATATTATCATTTGTATTATTCATTCATATCATTTCATTTCATTTATCATTATCATTTGTATTATTCTACTGGCTTCGGACTGAATCTTCATGAAATCTACTGCCAGTACTCATATCTCCGACGACATTCACGTAGTGTTGTCAATTTGCGCAATTTTTTCTGATTTTTTTTTTAGTAGAACACCTCAAAACTGTTAATTATCATTTTACATTTTTTTATAACCCAAATTGCACACATTGCTTCAATTTTCTGGCATCAATTAAGATCCCTAAAAAATTTGAATATTTGACTATAAAATGAGTTATTTGGATAATGATAGTTTACTCTCAAATGTAGAGGAGCATGCTGAAATTATCATGGGTTCTCGACGACTAGAAAAACGAATTCTATACAAGTTTGTGTTTACTGCGCTATAGTTTAGTTTAAAAAATGTGTTAATATGTATTTTTTCCATTACAGTAGTAGTACTATGATAAATTTCATTACAATACAACAATACACTTTTCAGTGTTGTGTCCAAAGCCGACCTTTCCTATAGAAACATATTATAAATGCATCAACAGAGAGGGACAAGACATCGCTTGCTTCTCGGCTACCGAGGGATCCCATATGTGGTACTCCTGCCCTTCTAAGTACAAACAGGCAGAAGGTTCCTTTAACAGAACTTGCTCAAAAGGGTCTTGGGGATTGCCCAAACCAGAATGTACTCGAGGTAACTTAATATTTCACAAGAGTAGCGTAACGCTTGCAAAGACTAATTTTCCTTGAGCAATTGTTAATCTAAGGATCTGAGGACCAGAAGCACGTATAAATATTTCCTTCCTTTCAACTGTCTAGCAAATTTAGTTATCGGTTAAATCATTGTCCCTCACTTTTCCATAAATACGTTTTTATGAGACGGATATAGATTTAACTGACAAATAAATTTATTAAGAGGAAAAACAGGCCTAAATTTATATATTTGATTTGCAATGTTTACTAACGTCTTGTAAAAGCTTCCACTAAATTATTGTTAAGGTGCCATGATGTTCAAACTGACGATGCTTCCGGTTTTTATTTTCTTCAGAATGCGGTAAAAAAGTTGTCGACGCCTCCGGTATAGGATCGGAATATCCCTGGAATGTAGGGATTTATAAATTAGACGACAACGTGGAAGAGAAGTATGGGTATGTCTGTAGTGGATCGTTGGTCTCGGAGTATGTTGTAGTGACTGGTGAGTATACTGTCTAAATGCACCATAATTGACTTGATTGATTAGTTATACATTATTGTTTATCCTATTTAGCTACTCAGTGTGTAACTGATGAGTTGGGTGACCTAGTGCCAAGAGAAAAGTATCTAGTAGCAGCTGGGAAACACTATAGGAAATTTAATGATTCCAGGGACATGCAGACTCAAATTTCTGATGTAAATACGAGTATATATTCGATGTGCCAGCTCTAAATCAATCCTACGTTATTTTAGATTACCTACATAAATGTACACCCTGGGTACAAAGGAACAGAGAAGACTGTCTACAATATAGCTTTAATAGTAGCGTCAAAAGTTTTCAGTTTCAATAATTTTGTACAACCAGTATGCATTACTGAGTTAAGCGACTTTTGGTTTAGAGATGGCGATGCGGCAATGGTAAGTTAGAGCAAGTGGATAGGGAAGATTCGGCTTCTACAGCGTATTTGTTAATTAATAATTTGTGGCATAGTTTTAATGTTTTATTTATTTATTTGGGCACTTTGCCACCTGTGGAAAAAGTAAAAAATTAATAAAATTAATTTAATAAAATCTCAGTGAGATTTTTGGTTAGACAAAACATTTTCGTAACAAATAACTATTAACTGGTCCTTCCGGCTTAAAGTTATTTGATTAATTTTTTATCTCTTTCACACACACACATAGTAAAATCTCCACACTTGGAAGCCATTTTTGACACTATTTCATTTGCCATTATCTACAAACCGTAACCTTCACTTATGTTGCATTATTTAGCCACTACAAAACATCAATTTTGACAAAAAAAAAGTTTTTTTCGAATAACTTGGAAGTGCGTCTGTAAGTTCATAGAAACATACAGACGAGGCATGGCTCTTTCAATATCTTGTCACTTTAGTTTTGTCATAAGAATTTATAATGTGTTCACACACAGTACAAAACAGGTCATTTCCCTTTAATTTGTATGTCCCTGTTACCTTCGGGATCACGCTCAAACCACATTTGAAATAATTCCCGTCAATTTCTTCTCTCTCTTTTAGCATTTTACTTCAGTTTTCCCCCCGAAACTAATAGTTAATGTTAATGTAAATTATATTATTATTTATAAATATTTATTTAAATACACACGGTAAATTTAACAATTTACAGTAGACGTAAAAAAGAAAGGTATCGACGCGACACCAACTACTATAAGTATAGTTATAAACACAGACAAAACAGCTATCGCCCAGCTATATTGTCTGTGGTTATATTACACTGCACACTTCTGCGTCAGTTTCCTTCGCATAACTCTAGAAGTTATAGTACCTCTATCGATTTGTTCATCAAAATTGTATCATTGTTCATTTTAGAATAGTTAAAATCAACGAAACTGATTTATTAATGACAATTTGTGAAAATAATGACAACTGTAACCAATGGGGGCAGGCTTACTATAGTTTTATATCAAACAAAAGTACAACACAAAAAAATGTGTTCTTTTTTCTGTGCATCGCCGACAACAATAATCATATTGAACAATTCTTATAAGAGAACCATCTATTTCAAGTTTCTCTAAATTGGAATTTGTTTCTGTTATTGTAATGTATTTACATAAATGAAAAGACTCCGCCAGTTTAATAACTTATTTATTTCGTCAATAAATTTATTTATTTTAAGTTTAAATCGAGAATGCATAAGTTTAATTTAATAAAAGAAAATTAATCGAGACTCAAATTACAAAAGCAACGCGTTCTAGCATTCTTTAGGAAGCAAAAAAGCTTTGGAGTTCCAATGCTGGTTTGAACTTATAAAGTCTGTTCAGGAAATAACCGAACTTTATTTTTTTAAACTTTATTAATAATTTTATACATTATTGGTCTTTGTATCCTTCAAGGTACTCCCATTCCCTGTTCGCACACCTTTCCCAATGGTGTTTCCATTTCGTGAACCTTCATTTGAAATGGCCTTTAAAGTATGTGACGAATTTGCTTTAATGACATCAATAGTCTGAAAACGGTGTCCTTTCAACACTGATTTTAATTTATCTCTTTTTGCGGATTTTTTCACGTAACCGCTGTAAAACGCCTTGATTATACGGTTCACTGTTTCATCTTGAGGTATGGAGATTAATTGTATTGTGTTGATTGAACTTTTGTATCAATGTCGTAGGCGTAAACCGTCTCTCGTTTTGATCCTTCGAATTAATGTTTCATTGTCATTGGATTGTTCAAAGGGTTGCCGACAAACGCCCACACGATTTTCACTCTGTTGTTCGCGGTCACCAAACGGGGCACAAATTTTGCTGCAACTTCAATTTTTCAGTCAAACTTTCATGACATGACTCAATTGAGATGCAATTTCTCTGGAAATCAATAACCATATCTTTGATTTTCTGAACGTGGGAGTCATCAGTTGAAGTCGAAGGCCTTCTTGGCCGAGAATCATCATCAATTGATTGACGACCACTTTTAAATCGTGAAAACCATTCGTAACTTTGCATACAACCCAGAGCATTATATCCGTAAGCTTGTTTAAAAGGTTGAAAAGTTTCCGTGAATGTTTTCCCCAGTTGCACGCACAATGTTACGTTGTTCCAGAAAGTCGTACATTTGAAAAATCGTCGCTGACACTAAAACAGGTTGCACTCAAATAACAATATCATGAAAACTAAATGAGATACGAACAATCCAAGAATGTGTGGTTACAGAGGAGGTTACGCGCATTGCAATCTTTTATCGCGCATACGCATTTCGAAACCTATGCGGCGCGCGGCAGCGCAGCTGCTCTCAGTCATCGCCACTCCCGCACTGCCGAGAAATTCCAGTGGCCACGGTACCTTTCTTGATTTTTCTTTCATTAAGCTTTTATCTGCCGAAAAGGCACTAAACGGATATTGAAAGTACTTGTACTTAGCCATAAAAACATTTTTTTTCTCGACTTCACGATTACGTAAGGAGGACCACAAAAAAAATCGACGAAAAGTCTCCTCGGCCAAACCTATCGTATTATATGTTTTTTGGGTCGCTGAAGCCGAATCTGCAACTCATTTGGTCCCATAACGTCAGAGTTTTTTCTAACCTCAAAAAATAGCTGAAAAGTGGTAGAATTCAACTAAATCAACCCTGCAACCTGTTAAAACCGTATCACTCCACATCCTTATGATCCCGAATGAGTTCGACAAGCCGTAAAATGATAACTCGCAAACGTAAAAATACATAACCTCAAATTTGCATGAGGCCAAAACCCAAAATCCCAAAATAAGCAGCGAATAAACTTACGCATAGGGCACAAACCTTCATTTTTGAATAGTAAACTATTTTACGGTTTGTCGAGCTCGTTCGGGATCATAAATATGTGGAGTTATAAGGTTTTAACAGGTTGCAGGGTTGATTTTGTTGAATTCTACTAATTAGATGACTTCAAACACAAACGCCAAAGCCTACTTTTATTGCTCTACCGCCTGGGCTAAATTGCATATCACTAAATATCTCCATTAGCGCATAATTAAAAAAGTTCGGTTATTTTCTGAACATCTGTAGTAAAAACAGAAACCACTAAATTGACACGTTTATCAAAATGTTTTATCGCTAGAATTTATAGTAAGATGGTGTGAAATACCATGTGTACATTTTTTGACAGAATATTAAATGCACAATTTTTACTTTTAAACATTTTTTATCTAAAAATCTCACTTTTCATAAATATTTACTAAATGCAACATAACAGGCAGTATGCAGTCTAAACCCTGCTTATGTGGATGAGAAGGCATGCTACTAATTTCCTTAATGCGCTGTAATTTCTCGAAAATATTTTTTTCCTGTAGGAAAAAGAATAATTATCATATTGTCTCTTTTCCTTTATGTTCCATGGCTCTTTGCCATGTCTTTCCTAGTACTTAAGACATAGTAATATATTTTTAATTTTTTCATTAACGTAGATGACGGGTTGGAGAGGTGCTGAAACAATGGAATCTCTAGAAATTGAAAATAAATCGAACGGTGCATGTCCGCTTCCTTCCTCCTTCGAACATCTTTTTTTCTCTTTGGATAACACATGTGCTGAATTTAAGAATGGATCTTCTTGTTTACTCCCTGAAGACCGCGGCAAAGGTATAGTTGCGAAACATCCGGAGGATGACAGATACTACATTCACGCTGTGGCTACTTATTATGAAAGTAAGGAGTGCCAGAAAAAATTTTGGATCGCTAAGATATCGAGTTACAGTAATGTCATTTCTTGTACAACATCTCGACTGTAATTATTTTCAGTACATTTAAAAACCAGGTAATAAAAATAATTGTATTACCCAATTGTATTGAAATAATGTTTTACTTTTATATTCCAGTTTAGATTTTTACGAAGTGATGTATCAGGAATGGTTAAGACTGCACAGGCAAACATTTCACAAAAACGTGTTACAATAGCGGCAAAATGAATACTTGACCACAACTGAATAAACTGAATACGATTAACGCTACAGCTGGAAGTAATGGTAAAACGTACAGAAAACCCCAAAAAAGCAAATAAGATTCTCTCATCTGCTGATTCTATATTCTTGAAGACATATTCCTGTATTAAAAATATGTATTTTATTAAACGTGAAATAAACGTGAAATAAATAAATGTGAGTTCTATGTAACTATTAGGGATGGGCGTTTACGCGTCGACTTTAATTGTCGACGTCTACGTGTAGACTTCGCGTAGACTATGTAAACAACGTAGACTATGTAGACAGTGTAGACAAAGCGGAGTTTGCGCTCTAATTTCAGTTTAAACTAACCTATATTATATTTGCGTTACATTTACGTATGATCTATTTTGTGCTGTAGGTACTCAAGTCATCACTCAACATTTTCTGTTTGGCTGTTTTTACGTAAACTTAAAATGAGCGGACGTAAACATAGAACATAGACATAGAAATTGACCAAAAAAATATCAAGTTAATTTAGGGTTGAAGTCAGAAAGTTGGTTGAGGGTTTGCTTAAAGAATACACTGTGTCTGAATTAAAATTTTCTTGGTAGCTAACGTTTAATATTATTCAGGTCCTGCTAAGTAAATCAATTCTATTATACAAACATTTGACAATTTATGGTGACTTGACATTCTTGACAATTATGTGTTAATTTTAGAATAATTTTTAAATTGGTTAAAATTTCACAGTTTTATAATTTAATCTCAAGTTAAAAGCCTTGAAAGCTTGACAATTAAATAATACAAAATGTTCTATAAATTAAACCTTCAACCAATCTTCTGACTGCAACCTATTTTTTTTAAGTTTTGAATACATTATTTATTTTTCGTTACTTTTTTTAACTACCAATAATGTTGATGATTATGTTATTATACACTTGTTAAACAATTTTAAAGAATAAAGTTTTATTTTATTTAATTATGTATTTTTATAATGGGGTATTTTCTTTCAATCGAAATGAAAGTGAAAACTTTCATTTTTGTATACTTAATATATATTTTTTTATATTTTTTAAAACAAAAATTATTATAAAAAAAATTATATAAATATATAAATTAAGACAGTCAGTAAAAAACAGTTTATTTAATTTTAAAATTTTAGTCTCCATTCGTGACCTCATTAAGTGAAAACTAGGGAATATATATAATACTCATATATGTATAGAGGTACATATACCAATAAATACACATAATATTTAGTTTGAGAAAATGCAATAAAAAACATTATCTTGTGCCTCTGCAAATATTTACAGAAATATGTTACCATTTATCGTTTATTGAAAAGCTCAGCTCTATATGATCTGTATTAAAATCTTAGATCTTATATATTTACATAATATGATCTAGGATTGAAACAAAAATTATTTTGAAAGGGTACCTATATTATAAATTAGTAGAAATATTTAATAAAAATTTTTTCTATTAATTTCTGTAACTCTAACACCTTTAGAAAAAATAAAATTAACGTGTTCTAACTAAACTAAAATATCTACACAAAGTGTTCTTAAAACTTAATCAGATATTCCAAATTGTTGCTGACTTTAAAAATGATAAAATTTTCATTAAAGAATATATGCGACATATCTTTATTTAGAGATTTTATAGAAAAAAAAAATTTGGTCAATCTGACCTGACCTAAAACTATCGAGGAGCATCAAGCGAGACACACTTTTTTTTCTCGTGAATTCTCGGCAGATATTGTTTGATCTTTTGTACTCGGTTCATACATTTTTTTTATAGATGGTTGTGATAGGTAGGTACTTTTCCAAATTCCAAATTTTCAATTTTTCTTTTTTTGCAAGAATCACGAGTTACAGCCTTACGAAATTCTTTTTTTGAGGTACATACCTACCACACCTTTTTCTAGTTTTGAGAGTTTCTTAATTGTTGACATTGTCGACATTGTCTACATTGTCGACTCTTCCAAATTAAGTCTTCATCTAGATCATTGTCTAGGCGTAGACAATTGCATTGTCTACCCGCCCATCCCTGGTAACTATTACAATCCTTTATTGTAAATATTGATTGAAAAAAAAATGCACTCAATTTCACTTAATTTTACTCAACAAAGCATCAATTTTTGTAAACACCCTATTGAGTGAAGTTTTCACTCTATGAATATGAGTCGTACCACTAAAATTTTATGACTAAAACTATTGCAACAGAAGTAAGTGAATTTTACTCAAATCCGAGTTTCTGCTAACTATCAAGTTAGTGACTTTTGACTCAATTCTGAGTATGTAAAACCAATTAATTATTAACTTGTTCTCCAAATTTAACTATTATTGAGTAATTATTTACTCAGATCTAGTTTATATTTTCCTTAAATTTTAGTTTAAATATCATTATATTAAAGTCATGAACCACTAGGCTGCTACAGTGATATTTACACAGATCTGTTTTAGAGACAATATTTTAGGTTTCAATAAAAATAATTAGTTAACTGATCGGACGAATAGACTGCTATAACCTCTGCTTGTACGTTACAGATACGTAAATAAGTATAAGTAACAATCTATCTAATTACCCATTTATTTAACCAAATATTAATCGAGCCTCAATATATTATTGTTTTTAATTATTACAATCAAACCACTACATTTAAACACAATTGTCATCAAAGTAACCGATAAATGGATACTTGTTCAGCACTACACGCCATACACCACGCCACTAGATGGATGACCTAATGGGGACGATGGGAATAGACAAAGACAACGCACGACAACCGTAGAATGGAAGCTAATTCAAATAAATTCAAAAAATTACTAGCTGTTTACAAGCTATCGCTGGTGCAATAAAAATTTGCGTTTACATGACAATTTTTACCCCAACTAAGGTCAGGGGATGATATGAAACTCCTAGAACGGTAATGGTGGATACCACCCTACCCTCCCACGCGTATGGAAACTCAAAAAATGTAATCGTTAAATGAACCAAACTCAAGTATAAGGCATTTGATGCTGTGTTTAGTCGATTAAAGCTAGTCAGCTGACTCGTTGATGATAATTAGTACGTCAGCTGACCGTCGGAATAGGTGAGATGAAAAAATAATTGAAAATTATTTTTTATGTACCGAAATTGAAATATATTGCAACTTATAATATAGTCAGGTAATAAGATCGTCAGCTGAGGCAATCAAACCCCCTGCGGCTGCGCGCTCGTGCCCCCATCGAATGATATGTTTTTCGCATTAACTGACTACTCTTTTACTCATGAACCGCCAACTGACTATGTTTTTTGCTTTGTGTACACAATAAACTATCTTTTGGACCCATTTTTGACTGATACAAATTTTTTTCCTGCAAAATACGAAATTTACCTGTATATTTATCTCGACGGACGGACTTTTTTTACCCATGTACTGATATTTGACGAAATTTCATTTGAGCATATAATATACTATTATTTAAACCCGTTTTAGCTACTCAAAAGTTTTGCATAACCTTGTAATTAGGTACGTAAATATTCATGATTGTGTATCGGACTGATTCGCGTCTTAAATGAATTTTCATTGAATTAGCTTTTTACACGAAGCGTTCATTGAAATTATTATAATATATAGTATGTATAAAGAATAAAATATGTTTTTAATGAATAATAAGTGTGATTTATTGATAGTAATAGCAATAGCAGTAGTATAAAACATGATTTATTACGTTACATTTCGAATCATTGGAAATGATCTTATGTTGTTATTTTTTTTTAAATGTTGTGAATTTAACATATTAGTTTGAAAATAATATTTACATACAGATTACGGTATATACATATGTACAGTATTACATAAAATACAAAAATCTTGAGATGAAAAAAAAATCATATTTGATTGTTGTTGAAAAATTTAGTATATGTAACTTATCGATGTCGATCAGCTTACGGCATTTATCTATATTTTTATAGATAAATTGAAACTGTTTATTTTTCACTCATCTTCTTCACTATCAGAAGTTTCAAGCATTTGAGGAGTTGATTTTCAAAACGCAGTTTTCGACTTTGTTTTTTAAAACGCATTTCTTTCGTATTCAAAAAAGTTTTAAACAAAATACCACAAAAAATATTTTCTAATGTCAGGTGAAGGTGATACACTTACTTATTATTATCTTTATAGCACCATCAATTTTTCACATATGATTATTACGTAATAATCTCAAAATGTATTATGTTTCAAAAACTGCGTTTTGAAAATCACCTCCTCATTTCTTCAGAAGACTCTTCATCACTGGAATGTTCGGGATCTTCGTCGAGAAGGTCTTCGTTGCTATCTGAAATATGTAATAGTAATATTTAAATAACATATAAAAAAAATCGAGAAGATATATTATCTTTAAAAAGTAAATAGCCCCAATGGATTTACAAGAACTGACTATAAATTAGTGTTACATTATTTACCATTGATATTATTGGTGTCTTTGTCCAATTTTAGATCGTCTATTGTCGCTGGCAGCTGGTCTCCTTCAAACCAGTTGAAAACTAATTTATTTTGAACTTCTTTCCAACCTCACTCTTCTGGAATCCCTGATACTGGAACTTTTTCGTGAGCATGTATCCAAACTTCTGCGATGTATGACGATCGTAAAAAATGCTGATACAACTCGGATTTGCAAGCTGGTAATGATGATGCGTCGACAGGTTTTGCTGCTATAATATCGGTCAAAGTTTTTTTTTCCGACGGCTTATATTTTCGCGAAAATAAAGCTGCTCTTGATGCTAATGATCCTGAGCCTGATGCTAATCCTATAGAACATCTATGAGACACTCTGAAGCGACATATACAAGCACGATCCAGCTCATAACTGAATTGCAGAATTAAGAATTGCTGCACAGGAAGAATGGAATCAAATTCCGCAGAAAACCATCAAAGATCTTCTGCAGAGCATGCCTAGGAAGATGCAGACTATCGCTAAAGCTAGAGGGGGAAATAGTAAGTACTAAATTTTTATTATGTTGCCTTCGAGTATTGTTACATTGTCTTTATTTTTACTTTTTTTAATTAAATGTAATAACCAAAATCAGGCTATTTTATTAGTTCCTCTACGAATCTGTTGTCAAGCTTCAAAATGTCATTTATTTTACTATAATAATATACGTAAAACACTCCAGTGCAAGGCATCTGGTAATAAAAATCACAAAAAGTTTTAAGGAAAAAAAATATAAATAATGACCTAAAATAAAATATGCAATATTTTTGTCTACTGCATTTGTTTACATTCCACATACAATTGGCATGTGACTTCATCACCTGGGAAATGTTTGGATATCCCGCACATCATTTAAAAGTTACTCAACTCAAGAAACAAAACAAGAAGCATCGAAGGCTAACTACCTTTAATCCAAACTGAGAAGAAATCGTTACTTCCTTTGCACAAAATATAAGTGGAAGGTTAATTTAAAACTTTCTAATAACATATTGGAAATAATAGTTATTTTACTGCAGGTAAAACATCGTTTATATTTCATACTGAGATACACTACTTGTGATACATTTGCAGTAAACATTAAATATTAATAAGTATAAAACTTTAAACTCTACTAGTTACAGAATTCCTCTAATTCGATAACCTGATGAACTGGTCAATCGAGACTGTTTTCTTCAATATCTTATAACAACACATTTTCAGTCCAGACACTAACCAGTTTATACAACATGGTGCCAACATACAGTGCCTACGTTGTGCTGTGTAACTTATTATTTGCTTTTGGTAAGTTTATGTATTACACAATTTGATAATGTCCATAAATTATAAGGAGGTTGTTATGTAAAAGCTATATTTTAAAGGAATTAAGTTTCTTTTAAATGTATAAAAAAACATCGCAAAATAGTATCTCATCGATATATATATATATATATATCGAAAATGACTGGAAGTGATTAATTTTAGGGGAGGGATGGAGTGTTTCAAATAAACTTTTTCGAATACTGTCATAAATTTTCAGTTGACAAAGTGGGTCTTTTTTGTCACCTAGCTGCAAAATACTTTTATGTTCTAGAACGCAAAAGTCTTTTTTGTTGTAGAACATAAAACAAATGTCAAAATAATTTCAAATTTTTTCAAAACTTATTTATGATTTTATTAATTAAACAATATACATTTTAAGTAATATAACATTTCAATGCAAAACAGTAACTATTATAAACAGGACTATTACAATTTATTTTGCACTACATGTAAATTGAAAGTGCAGATATTGCAGTGAGTTAAATTTATGCCAGATCCAGTGCTGCCAATTATCGTAGCTTTTAGTTCTGGGTGTTCAATGAGGCTGCTGCTGTAATTGTTTAAGTTTACTGCGCACGTTGTATTATTGGCAATTTCCATAGACTCTGCTGAAGATGGTAACAATTTATTTGCGTTGGAAATTTTATTTCACGAACTCCATCGATGGATATCTGGGAAACCGCTCGAAGGATTTTCTTGAAATTGTGATGGTGTGATTCAGACCGTGGGACCTACCAAGCTAAAATATTTTCAAGGTCATCGTTAAAAAAATTAGGGGTTTCCATTTAAAAATTTCGAGTTTTCCACATTTTCTGAACTTCATATTCGATACATATTTTTTGACCACCCTGTATAAAAACTGTCAAATTTTAATGTCAAATTCGATAAATTAGGTCTTCCTCTACAACATGTCCAATTTGCACAAAAAAATAAACCTATGTTTCCGGTAAAACTAAATTTTGCTGACAGTCTGCATCTGTCAATTTTTGCTTAAAAATAAAAATATCTCGGAAACGGTCAATCCTAAGTATGGAGTGTGTTATATGTTTTCAACTTAAAAATGGATGCTGTTTCCAAAAATGCAATAATATACAGGGGGTTCCGTTTAAAATAAGAAAGTTAATATCGACTTCCCGTATAACCAGAAGTACGATGACCTTGAAAATATGTTGGCTTGGTAAGGCCCCACCGTCTGTATCACACCATTACAATTTCAAAAATCTTTCGAGCGGTTTCCCAGATATCCATCGATGGAGTTCGTGGTGGTACACCCTGTATGTTTCCACTACCGTACTAGACCGCCACCCCCTCCATGTCGTCTAATGCTGATTATATCGGCCCCTGCATCTGCTAACAAAATGGCGGAAGAACGCCTAAAGTAGTGCCTTGTATGAGGCAAATTGAGATAAATTGCTATTTCTTATGACACATTCCTTATTTTATTGGCACCAACCACTTGTTAACACATTTTTCCCTGACATACTTCACAAAAATCTTCGACTTGTATATCTTCATTTGATCTGCACTTGAAGTCACAAAACATTTCGGAGTATGAGTTTTAGAATCGGTAATTGAATCTTTGTCTTCCATATCATCGATCGTTATCTTTAGTAACTCATCTCTTTTCAAAGCATTATTAAAATACCCTGAAAAGTTGTCCAAAATTAGTTAGTTTTTTGGGAAAGGGATTGTTAATATAGGTTACACCATTTTTCTCTATTTAGAAAATTTTATGTTTTATACTACTTGTTTTGGATTAAAAAAATGATACTTTTAACATTGAGCAGCATATTTCGAATACACCATTAAAAGTTGGTGGAAATTTCCATGATTATTATGCTCTTTTTACATAATATTTAAAAGTAATTTCTTATTTTTTTTCTTCTTGTTTTTCAAAGTACCTACAGTTAGAAATAAAAACATTTTTTTATAGTAATTGCAAATTTATTTGCCCTTCAATTGTTAGATTCTTAGATTAGGTAAAAAAGTTTACTCAAGGAAGGCTTACAAATTGATTATGATAAAAATATTAACTTTAACTTCTACACTCTACACTAATTATTTAAAGTTTGCTATCCCATGAAAAAGAGAAAATTTATTTGTATATAAAAATGTTAATTAATTATGACAGAAAATTGTTAAGAATAAAGCTAAGTAGAAACACAAAATACTTCATATAAATCATTTGATCATAGAAATTTAATAATTGAGATATACTGCTATTGTTCAGATAAATTTTTCCTCTAGAAACTCATATGTCTTATAACAAACAAGATTAAAATTAACTAAACATCATTTGACGGAAATTTACAATGGAATGTATCATAATCAAACGTTTCTAGATAGACAAATCTGTTTTGTGTTTCTTGTGTTTAGATCAACGTCTTGTAGAATGTCAAAAAGGGGAGAAATATATTGATTTAGTTGCGTTCCGAAATTAATTGATTAATTTTTGAGAAATGAAAAACATTATTTCTACCTCCTCCTAAAAGAGTCGATAACTTTTTAGGGGACACCCAGATGGAAATTTTAATATGAAACATCCCAATAGCTTAGAAAGCATTCGACCATTTAATTCTTTCCAATATTTCCCGGATACCTGGTTTTCAGAAAACAATCTCAAGAATTGTTGCAAAAATTCTGTAAAAAAATATATACAGGAACTCGCAACAATCTTAAAAATAGGTAAACGATTTGACTGAGTACATTTTTTTTTTCAGGTGCATTGAAGTCGAGTTACTCTGTTGATGACACCATTTATTTCAGATACAGGCGACAAACTGGTAGTAGTGGGTAAGAAAATCATCTTTATTTTACATGTATGGATGAAAAGTAATAGATGTGTTAATATTATTAAAAAACCTTCAATGATTCTGCTTTCAAGTTTTAAAAATATTCCATTCCAGGTGTACCATTCCTCCTCATCCTGAACATGGTAGATGGAAACTCCTCAATGGTGAAGCCAATCCGGGTGATACAGTTCAGATAGCCAGCATTCTTACATTCGAATGTAACGCTGGATATAAGCTGTCAAGTAAAATTCCATCAGTTTGTCTTGGAGAGTGGTCTTCGCCGGTTCCCGAATGTGAAGGTAAAGTAAAAATTAGTAATTCGTCAGAAGTATTGGCCGCACAAACCTCAACAATATATAATTCTATTTTAAGATGGATAAAATTCCATTCATGAATAAATTTTAATATTATTGAAATAAAATATGAATTAGGCAATAAATTCTATTTGTTATTGTCGCTAAGCAGAATTGATTTACTAGATTTACTACATCTGCAAAGCTATTAATTTAGAAAGCAAAGAAAATATTATTTATTATATTATTCATATTTTTATTTATCACTGATGTCGACATGCGTACAATTTATCTCCCGAAGAAATAATATTTTATATTAGGAATTCAAGATGTTAACGTATTAAGTAATTTATATATGATTGTTTTAGTATTTATCTCTCTTGATTTGAGTGTTTAGCCAAGGAGTGGTGCAAGGATTATTTTTGTGATTATTTTTTGACCGTTCTAAAAACCAATGAAAAAATTATAGTGGAAATAACCGTCTGTCATTATTACTACGAGAATAATTTGAAATATTTCATTTTGCATAAAACAAAATTAATAAAAAAAAAAACAGTTTAATACATGAAATCAGTTATAAAATCAACGAATATGCATGTATAAATATTATGATAGGGAAAATATCGAATTGGAAGCAGTTTCTGTCATTCTGGGAAGAAGAAGGCTACAAATTAGAAGACAAATAGACACAAACACAAATTGTAAGATACTAGGTACAAAAAGAACCCGGAAAAACAAAGTAAAGTTGTGCATTTCTAAATAGAGAACAAATCTTGAAAATGATAAAATGCTACAAGAGCACATCGTCTGGCTTGCAAAAGAAATTCTACTATATTGCCTTGTTATTTTAAAGACGAAACAAGCAATAGGGATTTGGTCACTCGAAAAAATGAGTCCAATATTCTCAAAAACTGCGGTGGAGCACAGAGATGTGCCACAGCCTCCTACATCTACTGTAGGAGGCTGTGGATGTGTTAACAGCAAATGTTTAATTCCAAATATCCAAACCCTGCCTAGGAAATTACTAAGTGGACTACAAACATTAAAATTAACAGGCTTTTTCAGATAGTGAACATTGCATGGGATAATCTATATTCGACATGAATGGAACATAATGTCGAAGAAAATTAGGAACCGTTACGCGCGATTAATAGCAGTGTCTCATCTCACTAAAGCATACAGGTATCAACAAGTAGGAATTTTTTAAAATTACGGGTCATAGTTTTACTAATTCACTGAAATCTTACTACAACTTGACAATTACCCTTTGAATTTAATTAATAACCTTACAGAAAATTAGAAAAAAATATGTTTTAACTCAATAGAACAGATCAATGTTCTCAAGGACAAAACATTTACATACTGAAGCTTGACATCAGATTCGTAGAGGAACTAATAAAATAGCCTGACTTTGGTTATAACATTTAATTAGAAAAAGTAAACAATAACGACAATATAACAATAATCTAAAGTAACATAATAAAAACTTAGTACTTACTATTTCCCCCTCTAGTTCTATCATATTGCGGAATATGATTCCATTCTTCCTATTCAGCAATTTTCATAGATGTTCTATAGGATTAATATCAGGACTCATTGGTGGCCACTCTAGAACCTCAATGCCGATATCCCCAAGGTACTGGATCACTGTTCTAGCGGCTTAAGCCCGTCATGTATTAACACAAATTTAACGTATGTTGCGTATATACCAGTCATCAATCATTTTTAAATTTATCTCAACAAGCTCCGTGCGACTCTTCCAACCAATGCCTCCCCAAAGCATAATGGAAAAGTGTTTCTGACTTAATATTCAAAAATAACTTATTGAATACCACACGTGGTTCTACGAGTATACTTTAGAAAATAATTTTCCAAAACTTTTCTAAAACATGTTGCCATTCGGCAATTGCCAATCGAGCCCTTCGTGTTCTCCTGTCTATTGCTTGACAATAAGTTTTCGATAAACTTTTAAAATATTTTCAATTTATTCTCTCTCTCTCTTGTGGTAGTAATCCAGTAAGCAAAGGTTTTTTCCAGGAAAAAAATGTAAATGTAAATGCGCGCAGTTAGAATAACGTTTTCAACTTTTTTAGCGGAAAGTCAAGAAATGCCTTTTTTCAACACGATCTAACGATGTTGTGGATTGTCCAGACTTTAGAGTTGTCATACGTTATATGTAGGAAATTTTGTCTACTTTAATTTGGGATATCATAGTTATAATAAAAAAAGGCTTAGTTTTCGAATTAGGTAGGTATAGTTATTAAAAAACTGAAAAAAGTGCCGAAAATTTGAGGTTTTTTGCAATTTTACTGGCGACGCCTAATGAGGTGGCAAACCTCAGGTTCGGATTCAGCACCCCCAAAAAACATGTAGAACCGGTGAGAAAAAAAATCTTCTACATTTTTTTTCCTGAAAACACCATTTCTGAGCCTTGCATGACTGAACTATAGGTATTATTACTATTGAATCTATTTTTGCTTAATTAAAAATCTGACGCTGAAAAAACAGGCAAACAAAAAAATACACAGTATATCAAGCAGTTCAATTAGTTAACGTTCCGAAACTCATTGTTTTCATTTTTAAAAGTATGAGTGGCGTTTCTATTTTAAATAGGTTTAATAGTTCAAATTTTATTGGTGTAATTCCGTACATGTGTACGTGTATTATTCCATAAACTTGTATCCTTGTCAACTACAAATATCAAAAGAAGTAATAACATTGATTTTCGAAACGTTGACTATAATTAAAGTGCGTGAAATAATAATTTATGAATCTATTTGTTTAATTTTTTCAGAGTGAGATTTTTGGTTAACCAAAAATAATTTAATAGAAACAATACTTGACTAATACTTTCGCAGTCAGAATTTATTAGTTAGTCAGTACCATTTTTAATATTCTGCTACTTAAAAATGATGCTTTATGGGATATAAAAACCTATAGACAGGCAGTATCTTCGCTACTAGCTAGCTGATACAATTCCATAAAAATTCTGTGATTTTTTATGATAATTTTCAGAGTTGTGTCCTCCATTGTACTCTTCGAATACATACGATCTAAAATGTGTCGACAAACTAGGGAAGGAAATAAATTGTACGGAAGCTACGCACGGAACGAATCTGGAATACACCTGTAAAACTTACTACGAAACTCCTTTTGGCTACAAGAAGACACTTTTCTGCGAAAACGGGAAGTGGGACAACTCCAAACCGGTGTGTCAGCCAGGTCATTCCCATACAATGATGTTGACGGTGTGACTATATATTTGTCTTATGTTTTAGTTTGTGGGAAAAAAGTTACCAACGACACAAAGACGTTGATCTACGGTTCAAAACCCAATGAAAAGATAGAACATCCATGGGTGGCGGCAGTATATCAAAAGGTGGATGATTCGTTCGAAAATATTTGTGGAGGATCTATTTTAAGTCAAACAGTGATCTTAACAGGTTAGTGTAATAGTCATTATTGTACGAAATATAGGGAGTCCAAAAATAAATATCAAAATTTTAACCATGCATATTTTTTTCTAAAGATTACAATTTTGTCCGGTATTCTGTACCCATTAAAATGATGCTAGCGAGCTCTTTATTGATTGAACAAAAATGTGCAGTGTTCCCAGAAATGAATGTTAGTTTAGTGACGGGTTCTGGAGAACAGACGGGAAAATAATTTAACCACTTAATTCACAAAAAAAGTTATAGACGTTCAAAGTTAAATTTTCAGTTTTTAATTTTTGTAATAATTAGTAGTAGCAGTTACAAAAAAAAATAAAATATTTGTTATATTTAAAACTTTACATTTTCGAAAAAAACTGTTAGACAAAAGTCGTTGTTTTTCTTGAGTTGAATGCGTGATTGAAATTTTGATACTTGTTTCTGCATATTTCACAAGAAATGTAAGTAAATCACTTATTACAAAAAATGTTGTTCTTTTATTCAGCTATAATAAATATAAAACTAAAATATTTATAAATAAAAGGATTTTAAAATTTATTGCATAATATACCAATTATAAGTAAACTTTACAAATTGATTACAGCTGCCCACTGTGTTACGAATGACTATGGCGATGTGCTGCCAAAGGAAAATTATATGGTTGGAGTCGGGAAACTGTACAGAAGATATCAAGCACCTCAGGACACACGTGCCCAATATTTAGAAGTAATAGTAAAAACTTAATTATTATTTACGTAATAAGTAAACTTACCAAACATTGCTTTAATAAAGCAATATGTGTTAATTTTTTCAGAACAATTCGACTGTTGTCCCTGTTATTCACATTTACTTATTTTTTATGGAAAAAGGTTTAGTTTCCAAAGATATTTACATATATACACCGCAACTAACCAAACATTTTGAATAATAGAAAAACTAATTCGAAATGTATTTATTTTATATCATATTAGCTTATTAAGCTGTCAAAAGGAATTAATTTAACAGTTAAATAATAAATAAAACAAACTTAAAAATATTTTATATAATTTGGAATGTGTACATATTTCATAGTTATATTTAAGGTTAAGACGTAATATTTATGAAGTATCAGCATCTAGGTAAATAAATTCTCAATTCAAATTTGAAAAAGTTTAAAGAGGAATTTACTTACCTTAAATCAAATAATACATAAAAACTGTGATGGACACAAATCAGTAGCCGCTTGCCGGTATCTTGATGCACAAAAAAAGTATTATGTAATATGACCAATTATATGGAAAAATGTCCAAAAAGTAGTGTTTTTTGAGTAAATTAAATAAAAAATTCAAAGAATATGTATATTTGGTTTAAAAACTACACCATTTTTTCTTACTCTGACTTAGTACTTTCTGATATAAAAAATTTGCTCCTAATTTTGATTAAAAAATACTTTCAACATTCAACGGCCTTTTGGGTGCTACCACATAATATTTATATAACGCGATTCTTTGAAATTTGTGTTTCAGTTGTCCAAGATAATAGTTCCCGAAGCTTATAAAGGAGATATTAGAAAATACGCTGCAGATATAGCCGTGTTAGTGGTTAAGGAAGAAATGTCTATAAACGAAAAAGTACAACCAGTTTGCTTTACGAACATGAAAAACATCCACTTGCATGCAGGGAACAAAGGAGAGGTATTATTTTTCTATCTAGCAAATGTTAGGACACACCCAAGACACTTTTTTAAACTCATAACTTTTTAGGTATCAGGGTGGGGCCTTGCAGAAGGTGAGATGCCATCGGAAGTCCTAAGAAGCCTAGTGATCCCTTACAAATATGAAACGGTCTGCGCCGATGAATTACCTTCCGAGTGGGCCGATAGGTATAACTTAAAAGACAAAATTTGCGTCGGTTTCGTCAATAAAAGCACGAGCGTGTGTAGTGGAGATAGTGGCGGCGGACTGGCTTTCAAATATCGAGAGGACAACAGATATTACATTCACGGCATCGTCAGTGTGTCACATCAAGTTGGATACATGTGCAACATCCAACAAAACGCGCTTTACACTAGCGTGGCTTCTTATTACGAATTTGTAGATCGCCTTTTAACAAAGTACGCTCCTAAAGTTAGAGACTGCATACTGCCCGCGTTTCCCCAAAACGGCAAATGGACCACAGAGCAAGGAAAGTGGAAACCGGGAGATGCCGTTCCATCGAGCACGATTCTGACAGTTGAATGTGACGAGGGTTTCGTACTGTCTTCCAAAAGAAGCGTTGATTGCACTACAGCCCATAACTTGCCCTCTTGTGAGAGTAAGTATCTGATATTACTATTAACAACTAGGTACGTGGAAAGCCAAATACAATTAATATTCTTCTTTTAATACAACTGCTAAATAATGCTGTATAATATTCTGCGAAACTCCAAGTTGAAGAATAGTTTAAGCTTTTCTGTATTACTTTAGGTTTTTTAAATCACAAGTCAACTTGAGGAAGAATAGAGTTTTCTAAATCCTACAAAATTGTTTCAATATTTATAATGTTCATTTTTGTAATATTACAAAATGCTGTATTGCAGTCTGCTCTTATTAAACATTTTTATTACTATTTTACTGGCTTCGGACTGAATCTTCATGAAATCTACTGTCAATACTCATATCTTCGACGACATTCACATAGTGTCGTCAATTTGAGGATTTTTCCTCTGATTTTAGGATTTCTTTTAGTAGAATACGTTTTATAACCCAAATTGCATACCCAGCTTCAATTTTCTGGTATTTTCTAAATAATTTGAATATTTGAATACAAAATTAGTTATGTGGATGATGATAGTTTACTCTCAGATGTATAGCAACATGCAGAAAATACCATGGGTTTTCTACCACCAGAAAAATCACTAATTTTGTAAGAGATTGTGTTTACTCGTTTCGAAGAATGAGGTTGTGGTGTATACGTTGTCCACCAAAATAATTATCACGCCAGGTAGAACTCCTTTATTAAATAACTGATTGACATAAAAATTGAAATAATAAAGGTACTGGGTTACAACCACTTGATGAGCCGGTCTACTAGACTAGAGAATGTCGCAGATTGCCTGCCTAAGGGTACGGTCAGCTACCTAGAAGGGTCGTCATTCTTTAAGATTTATGGCACGACAAGTGCTCCTGAGACAGGCAAAACTGCTTCGATACAATTTCTTATTGGTTATTTTCTATGAACACAGAGGCGTACCAGGAAACGTGTATCCTCACAGTGTAAATGTAAAATGTTCAAAAAATGAAAGCACATGAGAAAGTTTACTATAAATAGTATTATGTATATAAATTTCATTATAGTCCAAATCTAATACTGTAATGAACAGTCTTATAACACCAAAATACAGTTCGTGTTTCCATAGACAATAGGAATAAAAGTAACTATTAACATATAACCATTTTTATTCACTTTCAAATCACCAATAACTACACATTTTTCAGTGCTGTGTCCAAAGCCGACCTTTCCTACAGAAACATATTATAAATGTATCAATAGAGAGGGACAAGACATCGCCTGTTCTTCGGCTATCGAGGGATCCCATATGTGGTACTCCTGCCCTTCTAAGTACACACAGGCAGAAGGTTCCTTTAACAGGACTTGCTCAAAAGGGTCTTGGGGATTGCCCAAACCAGAATGTACTCGAGGTAACTTGATATTTCACAAGAATTGCATCACACTTACAAAGACTAGTTTTCCTTGGATAAATTGTTAATCTAAGAATTTAACAGCCAGAAGCACATACATATAAATACTTGCTTAGAACTAAACGAAGGGCCGTTTTTCTTTCAACTGTCTATTAAATTTAATTGTCACTTTCTTATAAATGTGTTTTTTATGAGACGGATATAGATTTAACTGACAAATAAATTATTAGGAGGAGAAAAAAACCTGTCAAAATTTATACATTTGACTTGCAAACTTGCTAACGTCTTGTAAAAGCTTCCACTAAATTATTGTTAAGGTGCCATGATGTTCAAACTGACGATCCTTTCGATTTTTATTTTCTTCAGAATGTGGTAAAAAAGTTGTCGACGACTCCGGTATAGGATCGGAATATCCCTGGAATGTTGGGATTTATAAATTAGACGACAACTTGGAAGAGAAGTATGGTTATGCCTGTGGTGGATCGTTGGTTTCTGAGTATGTTATAGTGACTGGTGAGTATACTGTGTAAATATTTCCTGTATCATAATTGACAATTATTAGTTATACATTATTGTTTATTCAATTTAGCTACTCAGTGTGTAACTGATGAGTTGGGTGACTTAATGCCAAGAGAAAAGTATCTAGTAGCAGCTGGGAAACACTATAGGAAATTTAATGATTCCAGAGACATGCAGACTCAAATTTCTGATGTAAATATATATTCGATGTGCTATCGCTAGCGCTAAATCGATTATACGTTATTTTAGATTACCTACATAAATGTACACCCTGGGTATAAAGCTACGGAGAAGACTATCTACAATATAGCTTTAGTAGTAGCGTCGAAACTTTTCAGACTCAATAATTTTGTACAACCAGTATGTATTACTGACTTAAGCGACTTTTGGTTTAGAGATGGCGATGCGGCAATGGTAAGTTAGAGAATGTGGATAGGGAATTAACAATTTGTGATATAATTTTAATGTTTTCTTTATTTATTTGAGTATTTTGCCACCTTTTGTATGTTTGTTGTTCCCCTGAATTTAGCAATGGTTTTTTGGAATAGGCAAACTCAAATTCTTATTCTACATAACATTCGGGATTTTTCTGTATAATAAAATAAATAAATATCTCCATTAACGCATAATTAAAAAAGTTCGGTTATTTTCTGAACAGACGTCGTACATATGTAGTAAAAACAGAAACCACTAAATTGACACTTTTATCAAAATGTTCTATGAATATTTGCGATGTCTTCCCTTGTACTTACGATGTAGTAATATATTTTTAATTTATTTCATTAACGCAGATGATAGGTTGGAGAGGTGCTGAAACACTGAAATCTCTAGAAATTGAAAATAAACCAGACGATGGCTGTGCGCTTCCTTCTGCTTTCAAACGTCTTTTTTTCTCTTTGGATAACACGTGTGCTGAATTTAAGAATGGATCTTCCTGTCTGCTGCCTGAAGATCGCGGCAAAGGTATAGTTGCGAAACATCCGGAGGATGACAGATACTACATTCACGCTGTGGCTACTTATTATGAAAGCAAGGAGTGTCAGAAAAAATTTTGGATCGCTAAGATATCGAGTTACAGTAATGTCATCTCTTGTACAACATCTCGGCTGTAATTATTTTCAGTACATTTAAAAACAAAGGTAATAAAAATACTTGTATTACCTAATTGTATTGAAATAATGTTTTACATTTATATTCCAGTTTAATTTTTTACAAAGTGGTGTATCAGGAATGGTTAAGACAGCACGAGCAAACATTTCACAAAAACGTGTTACAATAGCGGCAAAATGAATATTTGACCACAACTGAATTAATTGAATACGATTAACGTTGCAGCTGGAAGTAATGGTAAAACACACAAAAAACCCAAAAAAGCAAACAAGATTCTCTCATCTGCTGATTCTATGTTGAAGACATATTCCTGTATTAAAAATATATATTTTATTAAACGTGAAATAAACATGAAATAGATAAATGTGAGTTCATATTACTAGTGGAAATATAAAAGTTTTCTATGTAACTCTTACTCTTCTGTGTAACTCTTACAATCCTGTAGATATTGATTACATACGACTAGTTTCGAGATCAGGTATTTTATTACACTGAAACAAAAATTCACTCAATTTTACTCAATAAAGCATCTATTTTTGTTAACACCCTATTGAGTGAAGTTTTCACTCTATTAATATGAGTAGGTACCACTAAAATTTTATGAGTGAAACTATTGCAATAGAAGTGAGTGAATTTTACTCAAATCCGAGTTTCTGCTAACTTTTAAGTGAGTGACTTTTGACTCTATTCTGAGTAAGTAAAACCTAGTAAGAGTTGACTTGTTCTCTAAATTTAACTATTATTGAGTAATTATTTACTCAGATCTAGTTTATATTTTCCTTAAATTTTAATTTAAATATCATTGTATTAAAGTCATAAACCACTAGGCTGCTACAGTTAATTGGTTAACTGATCGGACGAATAGATTGTCATTATACATTACAGATACGTAAGTATCTTATAAGTAACAATTTAACTGTTCATTTATTTAACCAAATATTAATCGAGACTCAATATATTATTGTTTTTAATTATTGTAATCAAACTACTGCATTTATTGATAACACAATTATCACCAAAATAACCGGATAAAAGATACTTGTCATAATGGGGGACGATGGGAATAGACAAAGACAACGCACGACATCCATAAAATGGGGTGAGATCACTCAATAATGAGGACATTTACTCCGATTTTTGTGCACGCTAAAAAAAGTCAAAGCTTAAAAAAGTTACAGTAAATTTTACCCCCCTGACCCCCAGTGTTCGAACGTATGTGATGAAAATTTGTAAATTTTGTTTTCGTAGCGGATTGAGCACTGAGCTAAGCTAGTTACCAAATTTCATAAATTTATCTCAACTGGTTTCGAAGTTATTTAGAAAAAACCATCATCAGAGTGGCCCCTTTAACTGGCTATAACTTCCTTAGGAAGAATTTTTGGATCCATGTTTATATAAAGAAAAAGTAATCTTTTTCGACCCTGAAATATTGCCTCCTAAATTCGGGACACCCTGTATATCTCATTCTATGTATTTATGTATCGTGCAGATAAGATTTAATTTTAATATTTTCATTTATACGGAGATATAACTTTTTTTTTTAATATTTTATACCCTTTATCACGAAACCGAGTGCCTCAGGAGCAAATCATTATATAAGAAAATATTTTTTTTTTTGGAAGAATACAGGCCTCTGAAGATTTTACATGTTACTGTGTTAATACGCAGATATGTAAATATGTTGGTATTTATCGTCAACACAATACTTTCCTTACACCTTTAATTAGGTTTTTTATGTTATTCTTCTCTAATCTCAATTTTTTTTCTCTATTTATATAACTTCATATTGTAATAACTTGAGGATATAAATGTTTACTTACTTACTTATGTACTTACACATTGTAGAAAAGCAAATAACGAACGCTGCTTTCAAAAATTAATTATATTTCCCAAAGTACGAGTAATAGAGGTTAGTAATTTTTACCACTTCGTAAAACAGGAGGTATCCTATCTACATATATCTCTAGAACCTAAAATATATAAGCTTTCTAAAGACATTACTATTAAATTTTATTTAATACTTAAACTACTGGTTTTGAAAATTATAAATTACTAGTTGACCCGGCAAACGTTATTTTGCCATATAAATTATACCTAGGATTATTTTAGTAGATTTTTCATAGATAAATTTCAATTCTACCATCTATATTATATTTAGTGTTATTCAGTGTATATCGTGTATATTTTTTTTATTAATGATAATAGTAAACGTCACTATTACGATTCATGCACAAACAATAATAATAATGGCCGAAAACTGTAGGGGGTGAGAAACGGCTTATTGTGTGAGAGATCTCATCCCTACTCCGTGCTGTTTACTGGGTCAGAAGTGACACCGGTCGACGCCTGGCGGGGATAAAAAAATTATCAAGTGATAATTGATCAGTTATCGACCGGGGTTGAAAATTATTGAATTACTAATATCGCTATTAAAAAATAGGGGTTGATGGTAGAAGGGTGAAAATTTAGGATTGTATGTATTTTTTAAGGCCACATCATAAAAAAATAAAAATAAAAAATTTTGTCTAAAAAATAAAAAAAAAATTTGGGGTGGACCACCCTTAACATTTAGGGGTATGAAAAATAGATGTTGACCGATTCTCAGACCTGGCCGATAAGCACACAAAATTTCATCAAAATCGGTCCAGCCGTTTCGGAGGAGTTTGATAACAAACACCGCGACACGAGAATTTTATATATTAGATATTATTAACTTTTGTTATATTTCTTTTTAAAAGAAGAGAAAGTAAATTTTTAATTTTGCAAACTAGTTTTTATCATATTTACTTTTGATTTGAATAATAAATTATTATTTACCATATTTACCTATATTCTAAAATTGTTTTTTAGTACTAGTCATGATATATAAAAATCTAGAGGCATCGATAATTTGTGAAAAAAAAATATCCATCAGCTACTTTTTATTGTTTTTAGTCTAACTGAAATCTAATACTGTACATATTAAATATTATATCAATTTATTTATGTTATTGACTTCGAAGATTACTTTATTTTTATCGCAAAGAGGCCATATAGTTCATCGAGTTAAAACTTTGCTTGTCCTAAAAATACTATTCAATAGCATTGCAATTATAAACTGAATAATATACACAATGGTTATGAACAATGCGATCATTATTTTAGAATGCATGCTATTTTCCTTTGGTAAGTATAAAAATTTGTTTTAATGTTTGGAATAATTTAAAAAAGGTCGGTTTTTGTTATGGATATGATAATACAAATTTTAGTAAAATATTGTTCTAAACATTGGAAAACAAATTCTCACCAAATTTGAATTCTTAATTTTAATTTTAAATCCTCGTTATTTCATTTTAAAATTTTCCTGTTCATTTAACACGTAAACTTACAGTATTTGAAATGGCTGGCAATACTTATAGCAGCTATTGGTAATTCTTTATAAAAGTAGACATAATGATTACAGATATAATTAAAGCTTCAAACAGTTTCCTTGGTGACTTCAATTATACAAGACATCGACGGCAACTTGGATATAGCGAGTAAGACAAAAATATATTCTGCTTGTTATAGGATTTAACTCAATGACGGTTCTTATTCAAATCAGTTCTAAAACTTTTTAGATGCTCACTTCCGACCTTTCCCGAAAACGGTGACTGGAAACTCCTGAGCGGAACTGGTAAACCAGGCGAGAAAGTGCCAAAAGGAACTGTTATTCAATTCCACTGCAATAACGGATATAAACTGTCCATGCAAAGCCCCTACGTGGTATGTGACGGAATATGGAATTCATTCCCCATCTGTCAAAGTAAGCAACTTTTAGTAATAGAGAATGTTTACTTTTTAAATCAAATGTATTTAAAATTTAATCATTCCGATTATCACACTTTGACCTATGAATTTTATGCATACTGTCACTTATTTATCTTTTCAATCTTTGAAAGCACTTCCATAAGTTCATATAAGGCACAATTTAGTTAGAATTTTCTCTTTGTACTGTAATCCTTTTAATTCACTGTTATGGAAAGCCGCTGGTACATTTATTTGCTTCAATTTCCAAAACTTTTACATTGACACTAATAGCAACACTCTTACTAAGGTTGCTGAAATCCTCGTCCAATCTCGTTCCACTTTGAAAATCCATTTTTAATATTTGACTTTCTAAATTGTTTATGGAATATACCACATATCTTCATCATCAAAGTTATGAGTTAGAAAAAGATTTAAAAAATTGAGACACTAAAGAATCTTTCCCCTACTAAAGAAAATCAGATTATGCTTCCGATGACCACACAAACATTTAAGTTTCTCGATTGAGTTTCGTCAAGGAAGACACTAATCTTGCAAAATTAAGGATAAACTTTTTATACCAAGGAATTGGGCAGCCAAATCACCTAATATCTTTCGCACATTTTGGTGGAGATTAAGCATTTAATAAACGATTAAAACCAATTTGAATGACGTTTAAATGAGATGGATAGTCTTTAGTAACAATAATTATGTTATCCAAATAATATGTAAGTATAGAATCTTCTAGTTCACACCGTACAATTGTGTCTATGAAATACTGGATTGGTGCAGGTGCATCAGATGGCGTAGGCGTGAATTGGAATCGTCCCTTTTCTGAGGACTGCATAATTGTTTTCTCCGTTTTCCTTATTATTAGATTCCAAAGGGATTTGATGATAATCACTCTTTAAATCAATAGCACTCAATACCTTTGCATTGCGCAACATACCCAACATACTATTTATATACAGTTATGGATAAGCCTCTTTTTTTATTTAGTTAATTTATCTCTCCTAAGTTTATACAAAAGCAATATTTGTTAACGGTCTTAAACAATTGGACTAAACTAAATAGACTTAGATGGTTCTATAATACGGAACTCTAGCATCTTGTTTACTTCAGTACTTATCAGATTTTGAATGTATGACGAAATCGACATTCAATGAACTGAGGTGAAAAGTCTCTAACAAATGCTTTACTGACAGCCTTCTGTGACACAAATCATTGTCTTCAGCAACTACATTACAATTTTCTTGAAAAAAAAAAAACATAATTTTAGAAGTTACAATCAGATTAGTTTCTCACATGTAAGAGTAAACTCTTCAGCACAAATTCACGTTTGGTTTTTCTCCACAATTATTAGTATTTGATGTTAATTTTGTCAAGTAAATGATGTTTGTCCATTATACTCTTTAGAGTTTAGTTTTAGGTCTTTATCCAACGGCGTAGATTTAATGAAATTCTTCTGTTTCCAATTCCGTAATAGCTGTAGGAACGACAAGTGACTTGCTTTGCTAATCTCAGCTTAACTCACACAATGATATGTCCCAGGTCTTGCAAGTCTCTTATTTACGGTATCAAATTATCCTTAAGACTATCACCTACACCTAATTTCATGCCATAGCGTTAACTTAGTGAAAGAATTTGTTCTTACAAACATGTCTTTTAATGATTTCATTTCATCCTTGACCATCCTACAATCTTGGATAACATCCAAATGTAGAAGTATGTAATTTTATTTTCAGAACTTTGTCCCCCAGTATATCCGTCAAGTACATATTCACTGAAATGTATTGACTCAATGGGAATGCCAATCAGTTGTACAGAAGCCACAGAAGGAACGTACTTACAATTTAACTGTGCTCCTTTTTACGAGTCACAAGTTGGATCGAAATCACGCCTTTGCAGAGATGGAAGCTGGAATTATCCTAAACCTATATGTCTGCCAGGTATGCCACTCTTAAAACCTTAAAAAGCCATATATCTCGAAACATTCGATTCACAGTTATACAGAAAATAATGATATGTTCCTCCACTTTTATGTTTCTAGTAAAGTCGGGAACACAGGAGTATGTAAAGTAAAATGTCCTCTTTTGAAATTCTATTACCTAACATAAATAATATCTTTGGTTGCAGTTTGTGGGCAAAAAATAGGTGAGACTGCCAAACCTCTAATTTTTGGAGCTAAGCCAAATGAAAAATTACAATATCCATGGGTCACGGCAATTTATCAGAAAATTAACAGTTCATACGTCAATATTTGTGGAGGGTCCATTTTAAGCCTCAAGGTGGTCTTAACAGGTTATATCAGACAATATTCATAGCTATTTTTTACTAAATAATTTTCTCTTAGTTCATTGTAATTGAAATTAAAAATTTATTCATGAACGAACTCAAGAATTTAAATTTTACATATACCATTTAAGTTTTATTTGTTTTAAAATATCAGCTGCTCATTGTGTTACAAACGACTACGGAAATGTGAACCCTAACGAAGACTACATGGTAGGCGCTGGGAAACTTTATAACAAATATCAAGCTCAAGAAGATGAGCAAGCGCAATATTCACAAGTATGACACCGACATTTTTTGTATTAATTTTTTATAACAACAGATGAAACATAGCATCGGCATTGGGAAACAATTTTATTTTTGCTATAGATATCCAAAATAATAGTCCATGAAGATTACAAAGGAGAAAATAGACGCTTCCTAGCCGATATCGCTGTACTGGTGGTGAAAGTAGAATTCCAAATCAATGAAGTGATACAACCCGTCTGCTTTAACAATTTGAATTCCATTTACTTGCATGTCGGGAGTGAAGGAGAGGTATTATTACTTATGTTATGTTGCATGTATTTTCAGTTTAGTTATTAGATCTTTCAGTCTGGCGTTCAGGTAATATGATATAACATTCGACCGTACCCAATACTTTTATTTCTATGTATGTAATTGCAAACGATAGACAGAGCTGTCGACTATACCACAGTATGGAAAACAGTAAATTAACTCCCCCTCTTTTGTGGACCACAACCCTACTGCTCTAAAAGTCCAGTAAAGGAACGTGTGGTCTATGCGCAATAGCAAGCTGAGCCCCTAGTCCACCAACAAGCCCAGCGACACACCAGACATATTGGTCTGGTGAGTTTGGCCGAAAAGAAGGATAAAGAATCATCATTTAAATTTTATCAGTGCCATTAACAGTGAAAATACCAACACTACAATGTAATATTTTAAAAAAATTTTCAGTCAATACAATATTGAAATATTGAAAAATTATAAAAATTAAAAGGAGCACTTACTATGACCAATGTTTTATTTAATTTTTTTTTAATACTACCAAACAAGCCACAAATGAAAACATACCAATGAAGTTGAAGAACAACCTGAGAGAAAACAGCTGCAACTGCAATACCAACTGAAAACAGAGGCGGTAAATCACTCCAAAAAAGAGGCTATTGTACAGACCAGGTTTTATGATTTTTTTGCAGTTTCAAGCAAACATATAAAAAACAATTGACTGTTACGTTTCGAAGACATACACCAATCGTTTGTTTTTCTAATATGAATCACCTGGTATATTTGTCGCTTATTTCTCTGAGCTTAATGATTGCAATGATATACCATATACAGGCAAATTCGCTTGTTACAAATTCGCATCTCACTACAGGGATCTCGAAAACAGTAAGAGATACAAACTAGCTTAAATGGGGACAAAGTTGCGTAATCAGGGAACCAACATTATGCCTCTAAAAAATCAAAGCTAACTTGATTAGTTTTCGACATATTTGAAAAAAAAAACGAAATTTTGGAAATGTTTTTGTTTCATTTCAACCTTGTTTGAGGTGATATTGAAAAAATAAGAACACTTTCTTATGACCACTTTTTGCCCTCTATCGAATGTCATAATCAATAATATGTAACGTTTCGTCTCTCCGGGACCATCATCAACTTCATTTTTTTAAATACGACCCTATAAATTTTGTTACATTTTTTGCAAGCCTTTTGCCTTTTTTTTGCAAGAAACCCGGTTGAACTCCACTTTTGCAATCGATTTATTGGGCTGACGAAAATCTCCACTGGGTGCGTGAATGCCATACTCAAAGGCCTCAGAAGACAAACGCAAGGGCTGGAATTATTGGGGATTTCATAGTAGGTCCTCTCTCTATTTTCAATGAAAATTTAACTGGACAAAAATACCTAACTATGCTCCAAGATGAACTGGTTCCTGCTTTAGCGGTTTTATTCCCAAATATTTTGGATCCCGATTTATTTGACCAGCGGATATGGTTTCAACAACAACACATTTTGCTCAAAATGTGCGGACCTATCTCAACGAACTGTTTTTGAATAGGTGGATTGGAAGAAAGGTCCAATTGAATGGACAGCAAGATCACCCGATCTTACCCCGTTAGATTTTTTATGGGGATATCCTTATGCTACTAAACCTAACGACATTGTCGAGCTTCAACAAATAATCAGGGATGAAATTAGGCAGCTAACGCCGGAAGTGCTAAAAGGTGGATGGAAAATTGTTTGCATTAAAGCTGTTTCAGTAAACATTTCCTTATTTTATTTTTTCCTACACATTGCTTATAAGAATTAACAAAAAATAAGTAATTGTATTTGCAATTGAAGAAAATAAAAAATTAATTAAACTACCCTTTACCCCATTTAAAAAAAAGTTAGGCGTTGCTGCAATCCCCCCACATAATTAAAAAAATAAACAAACCTTCATTAAGTTACAGAATTTGTTCCAGTTAAACTTTTCTATTCTGTATGTAGAACCAATTAAAATCACTATTTAAAATAAAAAGGACACGAGAATGATTGCCATAATTTGATTCTTGAAATTGGGAGCCTCTCACAAATGTTCAATTTTTTAGGTATCAGGGTGGGGACTGGCAGAATGTGGAGTACCCTCCGATGTGCTGCGAACGCTGAAGATCCCCTACAAAAGCGAAACAACGTGCGCAGCAGAGCTGCCTGCCGCATTTGCTGACAAATACAACATGGGTGATAAGATTTGCACAGGTTTATACAATCAGAGCACGAGCGTGTGTGAAGGCGACAGTGGGAATGGTTTGACCTTTAAAAATCCAGATAATAACAGATATTACATCCACGGCGTGGTCAGTTTAGGGCCTAGAAGCGAACAGCACTGCGATATCCAACAGAACAGCCTCTATACTAAAGTAGTTCAATATTATGAATTTGTGGACCGCATACTGACTAGATACATGTCGGAAGAAAAGTCTTGTATTCTTCCACCCCATCCCCAAAATGGCGAATGGATAATCAGCATGAAAGGGAAAAGTCCAGGAGATGCTGTTCCATCCAGTACCACTCTGAACATCAGATGTAACGTAGGCTTTAAATTATCGTCGACTACGACAAATATCGAATGTGCTTCAGCACAAATGATGCCGACTTGTCAATGTAAGTCATCCGTTGTCTTCATCCAAACGTCTCAGTTATTTCGAGACGGATTACATGAAAAAAATAAGACAGAAACTATTTTCATAACCACTCTTATCAAAATGTTATATTTTTCAGTATTGTGTCCACCACCAAATTTCCTCAAGGGAACAAATTACCAATGCACCAACAGAGAGAGGCAAGCCATCAACTGTTTAGATGCAGTCGACGGATCCACATTATCGTATTTTTGTCCGAAAGGATTCGAAATACCGAAAGGCACAACCAATACGAAGACGTGCATTAAAGGTTCTTGGGGTTCGTCGCAGCTAGAATGTCTTCCTAAACCCGTTAAAAGTAAGTTATTATTAGAGAGCGGACAATGTGCGACTTTAACCCGAAGAATAGGTCAAATTTTGGTAGAGATGTGTACGCGTTCAAACATGTATTGTGTATAAACTATGCAAAATATAATTATTATGTATAGCAAATATATCGTATTATCCTCGCGAAGATTTGTACCCTTTATTTAAAATCCATAAATCATGTGAACAGGTTAAATAACGAGAAAATAATTAAGTTAATTTAGTTCTAAAGAAATGAAATGACACTCGCGCCCATCTCTAGTC